CCTAAGCACCTTTCGGGTTTCGGGTTTAGGGCGGGCTTAGGGTTTACTGTGTAGGCCCTAGTCATGAGCACAAAACCCAAAACCCCGACACCAAGCACAAGATACCACAAGACCTGAGACCCTGAGGTTGTCTGGGGCCTGAATAATCAAAATAGGGTCTCGCTCTTGGGGCCTCGTGCAATGATATAGGGCTGCAAGGGGATAGTAATACTAGCTATCCAGCCCCTGTTGCATGTCCCCGTGCGGGCATAGTTTAGGGTTGAGGGTTTAGGCTGTAGTCATTTTCGAGACTAGACCCAGGAGTAACCTAGGAATAAAAAGGATGCCCTTTTTGGTTTAAAGGGGCTTATAAGCTAGGATACCCAGAAACCTCAGAATAAAAAGGCCTCTCTTTTTGGTATTGGGTAACTTTATAAGTATAAGGAACCTAGGACTACAAAAAGGGAATAAGGGTACTACTGGGCATCCTAGTTTAAGGGTTCATTTAGGGGTTCCTTTAAGGGTTCTCTAAGGGTTTAGGGTTTGTGGTTTAGGGGCTTCGGATACAGAGAGCCGGGAGCCTGAACCCTTAAAAAGGGACTGAGGGCATGCTCTAGGTCCGAGGAGACCCTTCTGGGTTCTGGCCACCTACTATTTGCTTAAGAACCCCCAAAAGTAAAAAATATATTCCTTATGGGGGGTAATATAGGGATTATTATTATTTTAGTTTTTTTGGTGGGTTTCTTAAGCAAATAGTAGCCACCCTGAGCGCCTTCAACTCAGCTGCAAGGCTTTGAGGTCTTGGGCTTTAAGGCAAAAGCCAGAAAGTTGGAATATACCCAACTATGAAGGAGCGACTCAGGAGCCTACCTTAACCATTTTTTGTGGGGTCCCTATGAGTTCCATATAAGGGCAAAAGCCAGAAAGTTGGAATATGATTATCCTAACCCTTCTATGGTAAATTATAGGGTATCCTACCATGAAACCATATTCCAACTTTCTGGAGTTCCCTGTAAGGGCTAGGGTTCAGGGGTGGGACCTTGAGGGTTACTGTAAGGGGTCTTGGGCGCAGGTTGAGAGGAGTTAGGTTGTAGACGCCTTTTTCATGAAGCCCATCCCATTGAAAGTGGTGATACCAGGGATGCGAGGGTTGGGGCCCTGACAGAAATGGTTTGGGGTTTAGGAATGTTTAGGATAAGGAGCTGCAACCCAAAAGAGCTTCAGACGGTATCCTAAACCCTAAACCCTAGTAGAACCTTCAACGGAACCCGTAACGAATCCCGTCAAGGAATCCTTCAGGAAAGGAAGCGCCTCAAGGAATCCTTAAAGAAACCCGCATAAACTTGGCTGACTTCTGAACCCTTCCTAGAAGTTAAACTTGTATCCTCCTTACTATAGTTCATATAGAAACCCAAAAAGTTAAAGTCCTAAGAGTCAACCAGCAGAACGCCAAGTAAAGGAACCGCCACCGTTCAGAGTTTTCCAAAGTCCTAAACCCTAAACCCTAAATCCTAAACCCTAAACCCTAAATCCTAAACCCTAAACCCCAAACCGTGGCTCCGGACGCCTGCGCAGCCTGGCCGGCAAAGGCCACGACGAGGGATCCATGGGCCAAGCCGTCAACTTCACCCTGGGGTGACGTGGGCTTTGGGGTGTAGGGTTTATGAAGGGGTTCCTCAAGGGCCCCTTTAAAGGGATCTATAGGGATTCTATAAGGGTAAAGGGTTTAGGGTTTAGGGGGACTTAGTAACTGGTTATTTTATAGACTTATAAGTACCATAACTGCAATTAGGGTCCCTTTTGGGGTACTTATAAGTCTACTTACTACCTACTTACTAAGTCCCCCGACCCTCCAAGTAGGGTTTCATTAGGGTTTAGGGTTTCATTATTAGGGTGCACGGTTTTGGGGCGATGGGGGTTTTCGGGTGGAGGGCTTGGGGTCTAAAGTTTAGGGTTTAGGGTGTACGGTTTTGGGGTGCGTAAAGGGTTTGAGGTGCAAAGTTTGAGTTTTCGGAGTGAAGAGTTTGGGGTTTAGGGCTGAGGCTAAGGGCTTGTAGGGCTTGGAGTCTAGGATTTAGGGCTAAGGGCATAGGGCTTGGGCTTTAAGGTTTCGGGTTCTGTTTGGCTTCTAGACGGTTTCCGTTTTACCGTAAATACTATAGTTTTGCGGCTTAGGGGCTTGAGGCTTAGGATTTGAGGGTTTGGTCTTCACGGTGAAGGACGAACTAGTCAAGGTTCAAGGTTAGAGCAAAATGTGTGTTCTAAGGGAGATTGGATTCTAGTTTGCAAGGAGCCCTTCAAGAAAACGGACTTCCCTTCATCCTACTAGGTCCTACTGTTCAGTCCAAAACTGAATCCCAACACAACCTAGGGCAAAAGGGTTTCTACGTTACTACCTGGGAACGTAGTTCAGGATGAACTAGCCTCTTCAAGAATCATTCTGGGTTGCTCTTTACTACCTTGCTAAAATTAGAACTTTTAATACCCCTATAACAAAAAGGCTAACTCCACAAGTAATAAAGATATAAAGTGACAGTAAAGGTCAACCAAGCGTTATAGTACACTTGAAAAACCTTGGAGACCTTCAAGACGGGTTTAGGGTTTCAGGCTTTATGGTGTCGAAAACCCTGAACCCTAACCATTCCGATCTCCGATCCAGGAACCCCTGAACCCTAAATCTTAAATCCGACTTAGAGGATCATGGGTCTTAGTAATTAAGTAGGTTATAAGTGGGGTTATAAGTCCCCTAATTAAGTGGGGATATTCTAACTATAGCCTGCTTATAACCTTACTTACTAAGTCCAATAAGCCTCCAAGTAGACCCCGGCCTCGCGCAGGTACCCCACGTAGCTTTCCACTCGCAACGGTGGCCGCACCAGCGCGAACTGCGTCGACTGCACCGACACCTGCAGGGACAATCTCAATCCTCAAAAAAGCTAGGTTAGAGTTTGGGGTTTAAGGTGAAGGGTTTGGGGTTGAGGGTTAAAGGTTGTAAATGTTTCGGGTTTAGGGTTTAGGGGTTAAATCTCTGCTAGATTCGGGCTAAGGGGTTGGGCGTTGGGTTGAGGTTTTGAGGTTTGTGGGTTTGGGGTTCCTCAACACCAGATTCGGGTTTACGCTTGGGATGCTTTCCCCGCAAAACTGTTGGGCGTAGGGCTTAATTGGAGGCTCATGGGACTTAGTAAGTAAGGTTATAAGTAGGTTATGATTAGGATAACCCCACTTAGGGGACTGATAACCCCACTTTTAACCTACTTACTAAGTCCCGTGATCCTCTAAGTATGGTTGGGACTTGGGCATTTGCGCATGGCGAGTCATGGCGCTGGCGATGGGTGAGCTCCATGGCGACGAGGCTGTCCAGCCATGGTGTCCCACAGTTGACACATGTCTTAATGGACTGCATCTTTTCAAGATGCAGCTACCTGCTGTCACACCCGGAACATGGGCATGACACCACCCACAATGGGTTGATCATGTGCTCTTGGACAGACCATGGAATGGCCCCGTTCCAATTGTTGATCAATCCCCAGCCTCAGGTTTTCCCTTACGTGTCTGTCTTTGTCTCTGTTGACAGCTCTCTCCATATTCCACAGAAAAATCTTTGCGATCTTGCCAAGATGGACATACCTCAAAGGATTTTCCCAATCGCCCTGGCAGGAAGAAACGGACGGTAAGCGCGGGTGGCAACTGTTAAGGATCAGTAATTTTGGTTTCGGGTTCAGTGTTTTAGGCTTGCGGCTTCGGATCCATTGCTTGAAGTTACAGAAGACTCCCCGGTTCTTTGGGGGACCCAGAGAGCCCATAAGAAATAATATCTTAAACCGTAAGGAGCTTAATGTCTAATTTCGGTTATATTCCTCGATCAAGGGGGATTGGGCTCTCTGGGGAATGGATCCCTAGAATCGTCCCTTAAGGTCCCTTATAGTCATCCACGGTTTAGGGTTTAGGGCTAGGGTTTAGTCATCCCTATAACCCATTCTCCCATTCCCTACTAAGGAGAGGGGCTTGCATTTGCGCATACCAACCTCTGGTATTTTTTCGCATCTGCTTGGGCGCAAGTCCGGTTCCTAGCGGCTGAGTTCATAAGCCCCCAAACAAGTGGACACTTTCAGTTTTATAGTGGGTAATATTATCCCAAAAAGTGTAAAGTGTATCCACTCAGCTACTAAGTGTTTTTTTTTATGTTTCGAGTTGTCACCGAAAAGCGCGAAGTATCGCTGCCTCCCTACATCCGGATCCCAGAACTTCAACCCTGAAATGCTAAACCCATATCGGTGGTTGTCAAAATTAGGGACCCTTTTTGGGTCCGTATTATAATACGGCACCTAATATTTAGGGTGCCCAAAAAAGGACCATAATTTTGACAACCACCCATATTAAGTTTCTAATTTCGTTTCCAAACCCGCAAACGCCTAAAAACCTAAAACCCCAAATGCTCAACCTCACCCCTAAAGCACTACAGCCTCATCCTCTAAACTCTAGCCAGAACCTGGAATCCTAGAGATACTATAAGCCCTCAACCTGTGAACTTAACCTAAATTCCTAAGCACCAAACCGTCGCCTGGTGGCCACTCAGCAGCACTGCCTTGCTGGGATTTCGTACTTCCGAAGGGCAAGTACACGAACCGCCAGAGTTCGCGACCTTGGATTCTTCTGGGCCGAAAATGTTTGGGGTTTAGGTTGTGGGGTTGTAGCCTAGGATGTAAATGGACAGGGTCATTTCAAACATCTTGGTGAAACCTAGATTTAGGGGCGCCAGACTAATACAGCGAAAGGATGCGCAAGACTACCCCCGGAACCCTGAACCCTAACCCCGAATCCCGCACCCTGCACTAAGTCCTAACCTCTTTCTAAACCTCACAACCGCAACCATTGAAATCCACTGCCAGCAGCCCTGGCATTTAACTAGAGCAACCCAAAAAACCCCAAACCCTAAAATAAATTGCGGACCCGGACATAAGGGCCTGAATCAGCAGCATACTGGTATGCCAAACAGGCCGAGATACAGGCACGACCTCTTCGAGTTGGACCGGGGCATCCTCCTCCTCCCGGCCCTCATCCGCCTCAACTTTCGGGTTTTGGGCTTAGGGTTTAGCGTTTAGGGTTTAGGGCTTTAGGGTTTAGGGTGGGCTTCAGGCTCAGGTTCGGATAACCCTAAACCCTCAAAACAACCTGGGGTCTTGGTGGTTTAGGTTTGATCGACTAGTTAATTCTGAGTCGAAAGCGGTCCCTTTGATGCTCTCTCTTCTTTTAGAACCAGGCCCAACAAAGTTCTAACTGTGTAAGATAGACTAAAGATGTAGCGCCAAACTAAAGTTCTCCCACTGCCTGAGTAAATAAGTAGTAAGTAAGTCAGTGCTAAAGCTGTCTGTTTACCTCAGACCACAGCCTCGAACATGGCAGCAGAATAAGCACCCAGCGCCTAAAGTAAACATCTACACCGGCAAGAGCCCTGTTGAAGCCCCACTACAGAAAACCCGACATGTATGCCTATACTATACTTACATGTATATGTGCACATGCACACATAATATACAGATACATACATACTAATTATAAGCGCAACCGTAAATAAAGCCTAATCTAGAGGCTTGAAGGAACCCCCCACACAAACCCTTAAAGGAACCCTTAAAGGAGTCCTTGAAGGAACCCCTAAAGGAGTCCTTGAAGGAACCCTTATACAAACCCTTAAAGGAACCCTTAAAGGAACCCTTAAAGGAGTCCTTGAAGGACTCCCCCCCTACTCGAACAGCTGTGGTGGGGGGCCCCTGGGGCTCGCGCGGGCAAGGCTTCGATGAACTCCACTTGCCGACCTTGCGTCCGCAGCACCTCAGGGTTCCTTTAAGGATTTCTTTGAGTGCTCCTTTGAGGGTTCCTTTAAGGGTTTCTTTGAGGGTTCCTTTGAGGGCTTCTTTAAGGGTTCCTTTAAGGGTTTCTTTGAGTGCTCCTTTAAGGGTTTCTTTGAGGGTTCCTTTAAGGGTTCCTTTGAGGGCTTCTTTAAGGGTTCCTTTGAGGGTTCCTTTAAGGGTTCCTTTAAGGGTTCCAATAAGGGTTCCTTCAAGGGTTCCTTTAAGGGTTCTGTAAGGGCTCAGGCTTTAAGGTTTCGTGGTTTGGGTTTAGGTTTCAGGGTAGAGGTTCAGGGTCTAGGGTTTCAGGCTTCAGGGTTTAGGATGTCGCGTGTAGGTTCTGGGGTGTGGGGGCTGAGGATGAGGACGCGGTCCTTGTTGCGTTAATGTAGGGGCCTTACTAGTTTAGAATAGGGCTTGGGGGATTCCTCATATGATTATTATAAGGATTTAGTATAGGGGCCAAAATAACAACACTAATTACATTGCTTTGGGGGATTCCTTATTATGATTATAGCATATATATATATATATATATATATATATATACACCCCCAAACCCTATTCTAACTATTAAGGCCCCTACCCCTACATTACCTCTAACTCTCGTGTTCATACGGATGTTTTAGGGCGTACGGTGTAGAGTTTAAGGTTTTGAATGGTTAAGCCATCGGCTGTGTGCTTCAGAGTGGAGGGCTTGCAGAGTAGAGGCCTTCTGTCATCAAAGTTGCTTGACAGCTCGTCTTCGAGGCCCGAACAAATCTCATTGCTCGCCACTTCTCAGGGTCTGATGCCAAATAACTCCAACTCTACCCACCAAGAAGTAAAGCCTCAACCATAGGTCCTTACTTCCAGCCTGAAACCGGAAAAGATTCATTGTGCTCTTAAACCCACCGTGCAGAAGGACCTCTGCGAGTTCTTCTGGGACGGCTGTGCCATCCTGAACCGTTGTGTTCAGGGCTCAGGGTATTTAATTCGGGTACTTAGGGCGACGAATGCTGTCTAATTTGCGTAGTTGTTGGTGATGTTCTTATTGTCTTGTCTTTGTCTGGTTGTGCTTAAAGAAGCTCGGGGGTTTGAGATTCGATTATTGGGATGTAGCATATATACAGCTAGCCTAGAGCAATACCCATAAGCCGTACACCCGAAAGAGTTTCGGAAAGTACTGTGGGCTCAGGCCGGTTTGGGGTTTGGGGTTGAGGGTTTAGTGAAGGGCCACCTGAGGTTATTTGTAACGTTCTGGGGTGTTTGTGTCTTTTTACTGCGGATGTAGGCCTTGGGGTTTCGTGCGCACAGCGCAATATAGTCCCATGAGCCAAAAAAAATGCACAACCTTTGAGACCCCCCAGCCCTAGCCAGCGGTTGCTGCACGGAAACCTATATAAATCCTTACAGCTCAAAAGCCGTGTCAAAAAAATCAATCCATCCCTCCATCCCTCCATCCCTCCATCCCTCCATCCCTCCATCCCTCCATCCCTCCATCCCTCCATCCCTCCATCCCTCCATCCCTCCATCCCTCCATCCCTCCATCCCTCCATCCCTCCATCCCTCCATCCCTCCATCCCTCCATCCCTCCCTCCCTCCCTCCCTCCATCCATCCATCCATCCATCCATCCATTCATCCATCCATCCATCCATCCATCCATCCATCCATCCATCCCATTGCGTTTCATTACATGTCAGACTGTCCGTTCAGCGAACCCTGACATATGTATAATGTGATCCATGTGCGTCCATTACGTTACATTACTTTACATTACTGCATACATACATACATACGTACGTGCATACAGGCATACATGCATACACGCATACATGCGTACCTACATAAATACCCACATACATACATCCATACATGCATGCATGAGAAAGATAGATAGATAGATAGATAGATAGATGTTTCATGCTTTCACCTTAATAATGGTTGCCAGTGTTCGAACGGTGGTCCCCGTGCCCCACACGGTCCATAGTAGCTCAGTTTCTACATGTGTTGGCAGATTTTTGCCAAAAACATTCGCGCAAAAAATGAAAGTGTTGTGCTTCCAAGCGAGGTTCCTGCACGAAGTATAGAAACGTGCGCGACATGTTCTCCATCCATTGCTTGTGTTGGGCTTGCCACACGAACCATAGCTAGCGTAGCCTATTTCTACGCGAAAAGGAAACTTGTGGGAATGGAAATGCGGTTCGGGCTAGTAGTATGCGAAAGACAAAAAGCAGAAGTATATAATACCCTAAATCCTAAACCCTTAAAAGCGCCAAAGCCCCAAAAACAACACGAGCATAAACAGTATGTATAAATAAGACCCTAAGCCCTAAACCCATCAAGCCCCAAAGCACTGAGAATAACATGAGCATAAATCTACGGCCCCGGAGCACCTCCAGGAGCCATCGCACTGCTGCGAGAAGGAGCCCAGCGGCCAGCGCAGCCTCCGGGCTGTGAATAAGAATTGAATTTAGAATTTGGGGTTCAGGGTTTGGGGTTTTAGCGTTGATGATAGATAAGAATAGAATTTAGGGTTTAGGTTTGGGGTTTTGGGGAAATTAGAAAAGGGCTTTCATTTCAAAATAGCCTAAGGGTTACAGAAGGGTGACTGCGAGGGTTTAGTATAGGGACACTAGAACAAGGTTCCTTTAAGGGCCCTTTTTTTCTGGGGACAAGAGTTCAATAAAGGGGCCGGGCTTCATAGAGTCATAGAGTTCCTTCAGTGGGCGTTACGAGGAGCATTACTATAAGGGTTCAGTACATTAGAATAGGGTTCCGTGTACAGTCAATTTTGAACGGGGTATTGGGGTATGTTATAGTCAGGAACCCTTATTTTTGGTAACTGTGTCACTGTCTGCATTAGGGACGGGTTCTGTGTGGGTCTTGATTCTTGAATAGAGTGGCTCACCGGTTTTACTGTGGTTTAAGGAGCTTTTCCGGCAAAGGGTTGTGTCGGGTCTTATGCACGTCTTATGGAGTTTAGTACAGGGGCCGGGTTTTGGGGTCAAGTATGCACTCATAGACACAGTGATCTGGAGTTTGAAGTAACCAGGGAGAAAAAAGTATAGACTTGTATTTCACAATGGTTCTTTCAGGGAACAGGTACCAAAAAAAGTATCCAAGTATGGTACTCCAAACCCGGGTGATTCTAAAGGAACACTATTACCAAATATCGAGGCCTCGCCACTATTTTTTCGGGATACCTGTAATCTGCGGGTTGATTCTGAAATACGAACTTTGCCAAGGACTTTACAACGGTTTCCTGAGATTTGTATCGGGTATTTGATCAAGTCAAAAAAGGGCGTCAGTAGTTGAAAACCGCGTTGCTCATCAATGCTCAACATGCTCCGTAAACCCTAAATACTCCCGAGAAGGACCACCGCTGTTAGTCTTGTTGCCATGGCCATGGCTGGGTGCGAAGCTACGAGTGACCCTTTGCTGCCGGCCTCTTTCCCCCGCTGCCATCGCTGTACGCGCGCTTGCCGCGACACGACCGGCGCGGACAATCCGCAGTAACCTCTGTCCGTAGGGCATTTTTGGGCCGAGGTGAACAGCACTTTGGAATTATGGGGGGGGGGGGGGGGGGGGGGGGGGGGGGGGTAGTAAGAGCTGTGCTCACTGGCCGGATCTAGAATATCGTTCTATGTAGCAACAGACCAAAACCCAAACAAGCCTAACCACCCTCAACTCTGCATCGGAAAATGGGTAGCCCTCACGCCTACGGCTCAGAACAATGGGACATGTATCCCTTTTCTGTGTTCCAGCTCTGCTCCCTGTCTCAAACCCCAAACACTAGACCCCAGACCAAGGACCAAACACCAAACCCGTAAACTTAAGACTAATGCAGCTTGTCAAACCAATCTTACAGCGATAGTTTTGGTTCCGCAGCGCCAAAACATTTTGAGTCCATGACTACATACAAAGAACAACCGAACACTACTGCAGCAAAACATAACCAGCAGAAACTATCTCGAGGGGGGAATTATTGGATCCTCCGAAACTGACGTGTATGTCACATCTACCGCACCTGCCAAGGGGAACAGGTTTTCTCTTGGATTTATCGATGGCATGTTGTTTGCTGCGGGTTTAGGGCTTGGTAACACTCACAACTCGAGTTTTGCGTGCCTCGCGAGGATCGTAGCCGGGAAGTTGTAGACTGAAAGTATCATTTGTTAACATACCGAAGGTACCATTCATGCCACCCGGAAGAGGGTTTAATGTAGGGTTTGATTGTGAATCTAGTGAAGCAGCCTTTCACATGACATGACATGACATGACATGGTATGATATGGTATGAAACACCACCGTGAACAACTACAACATCAAGCCTAGCAGGCTAAAGGAGCAAACATCACCATGGAGAACTGCAACATCAAGAGTAGCAGAATGAAGGAGCATGTCAGCATCAACATGCGGAAACTCAAAGGCTACCATCTTCAGTAACAGAACGTCAGTACACCATCCCCCCACCGCCCCCCCCCCACCCCAAGCGTCGGAACAACAAAAACGGCAGGCACAATTATCCCCCCTTAAAACCACATGTCATAAATTTGCCTAGGGACTTGTGTGGCCGAGATTGAAGACTCGACTGTGCAGTCTAACCCCCAAGCCCTAAACCCTGAACCCTAAACCCTATACGTATATATATATATATATATATCTACACACATACATATGTGTATATACATATATCTTTTGGTATATATATATATATATGCATACATATACCTATATACACATATATATACACATTATATATATATATATGCATAGAGACATATTGCATATATGTACAGATCTTGCACGCTCTCCAGGCAAGCTGCCAAAGGCCCGGTTGAGCCGCTCCACCTTTGAGGGCTTTGGGTTTAGGGTTCATTACCCAGACTCGAAACCTAAAAAAAAATATGTCTGTCTTCAATATATTTTTATGTCTGAAACCATTTTGAGTAAGGGCTGCAGGGTTTTGTGGTTGGTCTGGTTTTATGGAACTTTCTCGGCTTATGAAGTCTGGTATCGGGTTCATAGGCCCCTTCATCAAGGAGTAAATATACCTCAAGTCATATTAAGGACCCCTTGTGAATTTGACGATACGTTACGTAGTCAAAGGGTTTGGAACTGTCTGCATACCTGGATTGCTGCTGCTGGCGTCAAGGGGTGTAGAGGTACTATACATCAATGCCTCGTTCTATCTGACAAGTCCCCCCCCCTCCCAGAAAGTTGCTGTGCTTCCAGCTTCTTTGACATTTAAGTAGACATTGACATGTGCTTGCAACTTCAGTGAGCGCCCTCACAGTAGCAGACTCAGTAGCAGCTGCCAGAAACCCGGCACTTCCTTCATACGGGGATGGTTGCTGTAAGTGAGATAGCCTCACAAAGTGCCTAGTTTGGGGCTTTAGATGAGATTGGAGTCTACATGGATTTCGGGATGCTTTTTGATTATTATACATATGTTTTGTTATTAGAAGAACTATAGTTAGTACTATCACCATGGTTATTATGATTATTATGAGTGTTAGTATCATTACTACTCCTAATACTACTACTACTACTACTACCACTACTACTACTACTACTACTACTACTACTACTACTACTACTAGTACTACTACTACTACTACTACTACTACTACTACCACTACTACTACTACTAACTACTACTACTACTACTACTACTAGAACAACAACAACAACTACTACTACTACTGCTACTGATACCAATACCACCACTACAACCTACAACCACTACAACCACTACAATCACTACAACCACTACTACCACTACCACCACTACTACCAGCCACCCCCCCCCCCCTCCCAACTACACTTGTTCCATCCGGGCTGGGCAGCGGTAGCTGCTAGGCGCCTTAACTGCGATAGTTGCAGAAGATGCACGGGCTCAGGCTCCTTATCTGTGACAGCTGCAGAGGTTGCAGAGGCTCAGTGTCCTTAACTGTCACAGCCGGTGAAGTTGCAGGGGCTCAGGCCCCAAAACTGCCACAGCAGCTGGAGTTGCAAGCTCGACGGGGAAGAAACTCATAAACCCCAGGTGGTCGGATAGTACGAAAACGCTGTAAATACCGTGCAAAACCCAGGTGCTGCCAACAAGGGTTTAACGTTTCTAAAACCTGAAGCGCAACATCTTCTGAACATCAAAAACAAAGATGCCAGCTGTACGTGGGAGGGGCTCGCCAACACCCCTACCGCCCAACCTCTGCGTAGGAGGGTCTGTTTTTGAAGTGGTGTGTGTGTGGTGTGTGCGCGCTTGAGTGTGGAAATATTGTTCAGGGTGTCCGCAAAACAGTGTCGTGATCATCCCCGAAGAAGCTTTCCCCCACCCAATTTCGAGTTTTTTTGCAAACAGTTCCAAAGAGCAAAGTTTAATACGCATAGTCGAGAAGTAGGGGCTCAGAACATGTACTAGGCTGTTCAGTAACCCACTGGGAAAAAGCATATGCTTTTTTTGGCTTCTTATTTTATAGTAGCAACCCAGAAACCTGAAAGTAAAAAAGCGTACTACTGAACAGCCTGGTGTAACAAAGTCTGACATCACGAAAGTACCGTAAATACCGAGTTAAACGGCTCTTGTGGTGATACTGCTGGGTGTGTTCGCGTAACACTGTCGTCATCATCCCCCCCCCAACCCCCCACCCACCCCCAGAAGCAAGTCCAAAATCAAGAGCCCGAGTTTGCAAACTCGACAAGTCGATTTTTGGGCCTCTTAGGATGATCGCACATGACGAAAGTGCCGTAAATACCGAGTAAAATGGATGTTGTCTTAACATGGTTGAGAGCAAGTGTAGTTGGTAGGGGGCGGGTGCCTACTACCACTACTACCACTACTACCACTACTACCACTACCACTACCACTGCCACTGCCACTGCCACTACCACTACCACTACCACTACCACTACCACTACCACTACCACTACCACTACCACTACCACTACCACTACCACTACTACTACTACGACGACAACTACTACTGCTGCTGCTACTAACTACTACTACTACTACTGCTACTACTACTACCTCCGCCTCCTCCTCTTGCTGCTGTTATTGCTATTCGATTGGTATTACTCCTATTCTTATGCTTAATCTTACTCTTCTTTTTAGTATTATCAAAGGGTTTGGGCTTTGAGGGCCTTGCGGCTTTGTGGTGTACGGGTTCCCGGTGTTAGTGCTTAGTCCTCACTCGGCTCACCCTACGAGCACCTCAACGAATCCCCAAGTCCCCAACCTCAAAACATCCTCATCTGGTCTTGGAAGAAACCAATGAAAAATTGAAAAAGGTATACTCACATTAAGTAACAGGTTCCAAAACTGTTAAAGTATGGTATAGCACTCCAACGCCCAGTAAGAAAGAGCCAGGTTGCCCAAGCTTGACCCCTAAACCCGAACATCCTAGACACAAAACCCTCAACTAAACTTTAACCCTAAATGCAAAGCCCGAAACCCTAAAAACCCAAAACCCTAAACTGTCACAACACCCTAACCCAACACCTTACGAAATCCGGCGCGCCTCCCATTTTGACAGGACATAGTTCTTCAACCCGGCCACGAGCCGAAGTGATTCACCTCCACAAGAACTCTGCATGGGTTTTGGGTTTAGGGCTTGGGGTCTAGGGTTTCGCGTCACCTCCACCGGCTTTTTGGGTCTAAGGAGTTCCTTTTGCATTTGAAGTCTCGAGGTGTTTAACATTTCAAAGTGTCTGGCGGTGTCTTGGGGCGCTTGGGCTGTAGGGTGTCATGGACCTTTGTTTTTCAAGGGTTTTCGGCTTTATGGCTTCAGCGTTGATGGCTTACGGTTTAGGATGTAGTTCACACGATGATGCTCCCTAAGCAGGGGCCTTGATTCAACACCTCCGTCTCCAATTAGCCCCGTGTTAACTACCCTTTCTAAGAGGACCTCCTTCCATTCTAGGGTTTAGGGTGTTGCAATGCAGTGACGTCTTGAAGAAAATCTACCGTCTTCCAAAGGATGCTGACGGTTCGTCAGAGCTCGGAACAGGAAACTTACGGGCTTTTGTAGGGCTCGATACGGTTGATGATATAAATCCTGCATGACCCATAATAAGGAATATACCATAATTCCCATACTTTAGGTTCCTTAAGGTAATGCAGGATTTATATCATCAACCGTATGGGTTCCTTAAGGGGCAAGTTGGAGTTTGGGGGGGATCTGTAGGACTTTAGGGTTTCCCGTCCCTTTTCTTCACTCATCGAGGCCCAACAAGTCCAACTTTGGCAGATAGACGACCAACTATGAAAAGCCAAAAAGTTCCAAGTTGGATGAAACCTTGAAACCTAAACCCCTAAAACTGCAAAAACCCGAAACCCAATCCCAACACCCAAGACCTGAAGCCCTCAGCATGAAACATACACCACATGCCTTGCCAGCTCGACATGTGTTGTGGATCGTAAACGAAGTGGACCTGCTCCGGGTTGTCTCTATGTTTAAAGGCCTAAGCGGTTGGGGGTCGTTTGTTCGAAGAGGCTTGAGGGTTTCGAGGTTTAGGGGTTTGAGGGTGAGGATTTGGAGCTTGGGGATTTACGGCAGTTTAGGTCCCAACTCCTCAATCTATGTGCGCAATCCTAAACCGAAGACAACCTGAACCTTCTTACGCTCTAAAGCTTTAATCCGAAACCCTAAACCGTAGACATCACAATGCCGAAAACCACCAAATGCCTATCGCCCAAACCTGAAAATTCGTGAAACAGCCGTGAACTCTATACTCTAACCACTGCTCTATGACCACCTAAGGAGGAGCTTTCACAACTCCTCCAAAAGACACATGCTGGACAAAAGTTCAACTCGACCAAACTCTGGACAAAGCTACAAATCACTAAACAAACTATAGGACCGGATAACCCCACTTGTGTTTGTTCCGACAGAGCATGCTGCATGTGGTCGCTGTGTGTGGTGTGCTGTGTGCAGTCTCGCTACGTGCTGCGTGTAGTGTTCCTTGCGTGATGCGCTGCGTCTGGTCTGCTGTGTGTGGTGTGTCCCCAGCCGGCCCGGGAGGCTTCAACGGGGGGGATGCCGTGCGTGGAAAGAAGTCCTATATTAAAGTACCAGAAACACTAAACAAACCCCAAACTAAGATTCTTTAAGGTTCTTCAAGCATCCTAAAACCCTTAACCCCTGAAGCCCTAAACCCCAAACCCCTCAGAAAATGAACTCAAAGCACCCTTTGGAGGAACCTGATCGTAGAACTCTTGTATAGAACCCTGACAGGAACCCTGATATAGAAGCCTTAAACTATACTGAACTTAGAACCCTAGCAAAAATTATCATTTTAGCTGTTTCTTAGGGATTATAATAACCAAAAACCAAAAATTATTTCTAAGTACGCCTAAGTAAAGGAGCCGAGCTCTTTCCAGGCCTCCTGGAGCGTCGCCCAGCTGCCGCCAGCCGTCGGCACACATCGCAAGCTCTGCGCCTGGGGCAAAGCACTGAGGGATGTCTTTCAGGGCTCCTTTAAGGCTGCTAGATTGGGGTTCCTTTAAAGGCTTCTATAACAGGGTTCCTTTGAGGGATTTAAGGATTGGAGTTTACAGACTCGAGGATTTGAGCTTAGGGTTTAAGTCATTGCAGTTTTTCACGGGCCCTTCCTGTGAAGACTGTGTTTAGAAAAGCGAGCCTACCTTTCTTCCTTGGGGCTGCATGGTTTACTTCTCGGCTGGGTACCCTAGCTCAGAAAAGGGAAACCTTTTACATCATAGTAGGGTTATAGAAGCCCCAAAAGGTAAAAGGTTACATTCCCTAAACCCTAAACCCCAAACCTCAGCTACTAAGTTTAGACAAGAGGTGGCTTCGTTTTAGACCGCTCCCCTCCCGCAGACTCCAAGTCTACTATAGGGGCCGTAATATTTAGAATAGCGTTTGGGGGGTATATCATACATCGGAAGCACCTTGGAGAGCGCTTTGCCCAGTGCTTTGGCAGCCAGCAATCTTGCTTGTCACCCTAACTCCTCGACCCGAAGCCCCAAACCCTGAACCTTAAATCCGTGCTGGCGCCCCCAAAACCCTACATCATAAACAACCGAGAAACTATATGGGTGGTTGTCAAAATTATGGCCCCTTTTTGGGTACCCTAGATATTAGGTGCCGTGCTATAAATAAGGACCCAGCAAGGGACCATAATTTTTGGCAACCGCCCATATAAATGCTCTACGCCTAAGCCCTATCCCAGCATGGAATTGGATTTTACTTGGGGTGACTTTGGTGCTCAGTTTCTACTCCTCAGTGACGAGATGAACGAAGCACCTGTCTCTACATCCATGAGCCATGGTCATAATGGGAGTTACCGAAAATTTGGGGTCACTTTTGGGGTCCTTATAAGAAGGATCCTATTAGTTAGGGAACTATTTTAGGGTCCCCTATTTTCGGAAACTCTCTAATAGGGTTTGCAAGGATACGGCGACCTGCTTCGACAAGCAGTGTTCTAGGATACCCAGCAACCCAAGAACAAAAAGGCCTCTCTTTTTGGTATTGGGTAACTTTACAAGGAACCTAGGACTACAAAAAGGGAATAAGGGTACTACTGGGCATCCTAGTGTTGGGAAAGCCCTCAGCTGGTCAATGCCCATCCACGAAACAGGAAGAATGCCGGAAGAAGGGCAACTGTACTATTGGCCAAAAATAGATAGAAGCTAGTAATCAAGCCTTCAAGACCCTCTCGACTAAACCCAGAATTTCAGTCAATGCAAAACCCTAGAACCTAAACCACAAAGCCTCAACTAAGCCCACAGACACCGCAAAGCTGAATATCACCATTAGGCTAAATCGTCGCTTTGCAAGGGCAGACAAGCAGCTCCCTCGAGGAAAAGCTTCAAGGTGGGCGACGCTGCATAGGCGCTCGTCGCCTGCAAACGGGCGGCTGGTTGTGGGCTGAAGAATGAGGTCTACGTACCCCTCACAGGCTCATAAGGCCTGAGTACGGTCTCACGGATGTGGGTATATCGTATGCAGGGTGCTCTTGTTTTTAGTGTGTGTCTATGTGTGCTTCGTCGGGCTTATTGTAGGACTGTCTTTTGTGGTTTCGGGTACGTACAGGTCTCTGCATGAAGCCACGGTCATGGTTATCGATAGACGAAGTGCTTGGACGATGCCCGGTTCTGAGGCTCGCCGCCATCCTGTGTTTGAATCGCCTCGGTGAGGAGCCGGTCAGCTCCGGATTGTCGCAGCTCAATCAGCTCATCCCACAACTCCACATCCGCGGAACCTCCGACCTTCGACTTACGAAGGTCCAAACTGCGGCCTGTCATGATCTTCACAAGCTTTCGGTCCCATTTCTCGAATTTCACAAACGATCGTTTAGCAATGGTTGTTTCTTCCGGCTTCCACTTGTCATTCTCCTTGGTGATGAGCAGTCGCCGATCCACTTTGAGGTCGGGCATGGCTTATGGGCTCTATATACAGGGCTGCAACGCATCCACACAAGCTGGCTTGTAAGAGCAAGTCTTGCAAGGCCACATTGAAATCTTCTACGACGAATTTACTATCAGACCCTCATCGCTCAGTGGAGCTGCATAGTTTCAGATGCTTAACTTCCAATGCCACTTCAGCCAACAACGAAGCCCCACATCCCCACTCCAAAGAATATTACGCTGACTCCACCCCGGACATGCTGCACCTTAAGTTCTCAGCCCAGTCTTAGAGAAAGCTGTATGGAAGCCCTCACAACATTTCGTCTAGTTAGAACCCTTAACCCAAACCTAAAGCCCGAAAACCCCTGAAAGTTATGACAACCCTTGTAAAACCCTCAAAGAAAACCTTCTAGATCCTCAACCCAAAGCTTAAAACGCGAAAACCACTCAACCTTATGGTAACCCTTGTAGAACCCTCAAAGGGCCCTGCAAGAACCCTGAACCCCAGCAGGAAACGCCCAAAAAACTTATGGTAGCCCGCAAAGAACCCTTCAAGTCCCTGGGTGAAAGGAGGGGCCCTTAATAAGGACCCTTGGGGATATACCCTTAATATAGCTACTATATACCCATTATATAGCCCATTATAGGGTAGGGGTCCCCATTAAGGGTCCCTCCTTTTCCCCTTTGACAAAGGAACCCTTATAGAACCCTCGGCGCAAAGCTTACACGGAAAAACCAATCCCGCAAGACCCTCCAGTCGACGGCGTCCTCGGGACGAGCTGCCATACCGCCGTCAGCCCGACCTGTCTTCGACTCACTGGCCGAAAACCCAAAGGAAGTAAACGTTGAAACTTTCAGAACCGACTACCTTATAAGACCCTAAACCCTAAACCCTAAACCCTAAACCCTAAAGTTGAAAAGTTGAGTTGTACAGCCAGTAAGTCGAAGGCTGTTGCTTCGGCTTGCGTTTCAACATCCTTTTTCTTAGCGGCTGAGTTCATAACCCCCCCCCCCCCCCCAAAAGTGTACACTTTCAGTTTTATAGTGGGTAAGACTATCCCAAACATGTAAAGTGTATCCACTCAGCTATTAAGTTTTGGAATAGGTCTTGTATAAGCCCATCAACAAACTCCCAGCAGGTTCAAACCCTGTCAGAACCGTACAAATATCCTATAAAACCATATAAAAACCAGACTATCAAGTCCCAGAGCCCAGCCTGAATTCTCGGTGTAGCTCCCTTCGCTGTCGAAGAGCTCATGCTCCACCTGAGGGCTGCCATAAAGGAGTGCTGTAAGGGGGCTCGTTTGCGGATTCCTATTCGGGTTTAGGGTTTGGGGCTGTGGTTCAGGGCTTATGGTGAACTTCCACAACACCACATAATCTAAGGATCCGAAGTTTAAACAACAGCACTGTGTTGTATGCGAATTTCGGAAACCCTGAACGCTAAGATACTGGCAATGATGCCTATGTGTTAGACGGCCCCCCCATCCTGTAATGGTGGTATAATAGGAATCTACAGGGTGGGGGGGCCTTCTAACCTATGTGGTCTGTGCCTTTTTGTGAGCTCCAAGTCTCACAAGGTCACAAGGCCGGGTGGACAGGCCTAATATAGGGGCCTTACTAAATAGAATAGGGTTTTCGGCCCACTATACTATAATTATAATAAGGAATCCCCCGCAATAGTATAGGTAATTATTTAGGCCTCTATACTAACCCTAACATGCAACGAAACCTAATTCCAGAGTGCTTAAACCGAAACCCCGTTATGGAACCCTGAAGGTAGCCCCGTAAGACCCTATAAGAACTTACGGTAAACTCTATTAAATCTGCGAATAGAATCCTGGTTAAATGCCAAGAATCACTTCGGGTTCCTGCCGTAAGTACTTAGAATAGAATAGACCTCGGAACTCTATTCTAATCATTAAGCCTCCTATATTAAACGCGACAAACCCTTCATTGTCGTAACCCTTAAAGGAACCTTCAAAGGAACCCTAAAACCTGCAGACTCCAATATCCCTTAATTAAGGCTTGCGCGCCTAAAAAAAACTACCGCTCGAAATGTTGACGACGAGGAAGACAACGATGATGATGAAAATTACGATGGTCACGATGATATCGATGGCGATGGCGATGATGATAACGATGATGATGACGATGATGATAACAATCGTGGTAGCAATGATGATGACCTAGCGATCTGGCAAAGGTGACTGTGCAAAGACCTTTTGCCACATACCTTTTCCACCCACAAACCTCAACAAACTTGCCGCGACCTTCAAAGTCATCGGCCCCACCAGTGTTTTCGCCTTCTGCCGTAAGACTAGCTTTGCAGCCCAGGTCCGGAGAATAAATTCAGGCCGGCTTTTCCCAGCACACAAAAAGCCCACTGCTCAACACATTGATGACGATGATGATAACGATGATGATGAGAATGATGAAGATGATGGTGATATCGATGGTGGCTGTGAGGATGATAGCGATGTTGACATCGATGATGATAGCACTGATGGTCGCCTAGGGCGCCCAGAAAACTGGACACGAAATCGTGTCCCGTTTTTGCTTCTGCCACAATACCGCTGGGGAAGGTCAAAACGTGCGATTTTGCTGCGCCTGCCACACTTTTGTACACTTCCCTCGGCCGCTCCTCTGTAGGTTTTGTCTTCAGGGTGGTTTTTTTTAGGCGCTCGCGCCTTAATTAAGGAATATACCTTGAGTTATAGTAGGATCCTACTATGATTTAAGGTATATTCCAAAAAAAAAAAAAGGATATTGGAGTCTCTGGGTAAGCCGTGACCTCTACGCAAAATGCAGGCCCACGGAGGCCTCGTCTGCCAGGTGGCCGAAAACGTGCCTGCAAACGCTGCAGGGTGTAACATCGAGAGAAAAGTTTGGGGCTTAAGGTCTATGTAGGATTTCAGGTTTTTTACGGTTAGAGTTTATGGTTTTAGGATGTAGGGCTTATGGTCTGAGTTTAGGGTCTAAAGCTCAGGGCCCAGGGATGAGGGCTAAGGCGTAGCATCGAGGCCGGCAGCTTGGGTTGCTTTGGGGGTACCTTTCCGGCCTCCCTGAGGATCTGACAAGAGAGGTGCTATACGGGCCTCATAGGTTTTGTTGTAGGGGCCTGTGTAGTGAGAACAGGGTTTTGGGGACCGACGCCCATGATCGTACAATCATATTATAGGGACTTTATAGAGGGTCTATAGTGGGAGATTGATTCGAAAGGTTCAACTCCAAACCCCGATCAACCCCTGAACCCCAGACCCCTTACCCCTTGCTGCTACTTAAAGCCCCTGAAACCCCCTAAACCCCTAAGCACTAAACCCTAAACCCTCAAGCCCCTAAACCATCAAACCCCTAAACCCTCACGCCCCTAAAGCCTCAAGCCCCTAAACTCCCATACCCCTTACACTCCTTCAACCCCTTAAACTCCTTCAACCCCTTTCTGCTACTTAAAGCCCCTGAAACCTCCTAAACCCTAAAGCCCCTATACAGGAGGCCCAGGGCTGCGAGGGTTCCTTTTACCGGGACGCACGCATACTGCTTGTCATAGCCATGCTGCCGGCGACTTGCAGCGGACTACAATGTCGGATGAGAACAACTTAGCGGCTGAGTTCATAAGCCCCCAACAAGTGTACACTTTCAGTTTTATAGTGGGTAATATTATCCCAAAAAGTATGAAGTGTATCCACTCAGCTACTAAGACAAAAATGGACGCAGTGGAGAGATTCGTCCTTCGAAGCTTCCGTTCAGCACTCGTCCAAGTGCACCACCGTCGGTTTTTGTTCGAGCGATCGTTGACGTATCGTCTACCTGGACCCTAAGAAACCTACCTTGTTTAGGGTTCCCTAATATGATTTCTTTATATAAGTCCTGAAAAAGGTAGGTTACTTGGGATTACTTGTCAATCCGTCTTGCCCTGCCGCCGCTACTTCTGCTCGGGCCACCACATCGGGCCGACGATGGCCAGGAGCACACCGATGTTCCACACGGCGTTCGCGCGGTTACCGGACGCGATCGACCCGGTCGAATCGAGCACAAACCAGCTGAGTGCCCCACCGACGACGGCCTTGCGGACGCCCTCCGGCGCCAAATCGTACACATGTTTCTGCAGCAGGTAGATGGTCACGCCCCAACCCATTAGAAAGCCCCCCGTCAGAGCGGACAGGAAACGGGTCGTCGGGCTTTTGAAGTCCAGCGAGTCGGGTGACCCGAACTTCCAGGCCAACAGATCAAGCGTCCAGCGGGCGGGCTCGGAGCAGCCCTCCACTGCAGCGAGGGCAGCGATAGGGCCGAAACTACCGATGACGAAGGCTGAGACATTGAGCCATGATTTGTGAGACAGCATGATGAAGCTAAGTCTAGTGTGCTGCAGCTTGAACCTATGCCAGCAAAACAAACAGACACTCGCGTGGAGCAAAGTCATACACCCGACCTTATTGTTGTTCGGTGCGACAGGCACCAAGCAACCGGGAATCAGCGGAGACTCAACCGTCATGCTCTGATGAGGCAGGCCAAGTTACACGGCTGCGCACACCATCACCGGATCCTCGCGCAATAACATGTGAAGTAGGGTTGCTATTTCTTTGTAATATCCCAACATACAACGAGAATTCACGTATATTCTCACTTCTATATAGTTTTATTACACCCTATGTACTCACAAAACTCTGAAACTCTAAGACACACAGCCCTTCTAGTACATGCGACTGTTCATGCCTCAAAGTTGAGGATGTGGATTGAGAACAAAAGGATGAGAGAGAGTTTCGCTGTCTAGGTGCGGCGCCAGCGCTTGCACACAAAGACTGGTGTTCCACCACATCGTCGAAATCTTGAATGGTCTCCATCCCCATGCACATACAGCATTTACGACTTAAACCCTAGACATCACGAAACCCTGAAGCCTGCCATGTAACCCATCGTCTAAGAACTACAAATCTACCAACTCAGATCCAGATCAAACTCAAGGCCGAAACCCAGTCTCTATGTGGATCCCCCATATGAAGCCTGTGGAACCCTATACCCTAAACCAAAACCCTATACCCTATACAAGGTTGGGTGGGGCTTACGACCGGGCTTCTGGCTCTAATTCCGGCATCCCACTTCATTCTCCCGCGCCCTTCACGGCGTTCAGTGCCAAAAACAGTCAACACGGTAAGTGAAGCAGCAGTAGCCTCACTCGAAAATCCAGGGAAATAAAAGTTTTCACTTTCAGAATGGACTATCTTATAAGAACCCCAAAAGTTGAAAAGTTGAGTTTACAGCCAGTATGTAGTTCTTGAAGGCCCGAAAATGGGAAGAACCAACACGCCATCCGGAAGACTAAGACAACCCAATACTCGAGTTGAAGATCTGGACCATGTGCCTGTTAGGAACCTTGATTTAACTTACTGTACTTGGAGGATCATGGGACTTAGTAACTATAGTTATAAGTCCCTCAATTAGGGTTATAAGTAATTATAAGTATAGTTACCCCAATAATAACCCTAGTTACTAAGTCCCGTGATCCTTGAAGTACGACACATCCAACCTGCCTCAACAGGGAGAAGGGTCAGGAACAAAGTGCTGAGAAGAACACAATCATTTCAATTAGACGATCAAAAACTTACCTAGACTGTCGCAACACCCTTAAAAGCCTTCCCAAAAGCCCGCCACACAAAACGTTAACGACTTTCTTCAGTCGCACTCCGACTCCGGCTTTGGAACAGGCGGTCAAACAACATCTGTCGTAAAGACTGTGGAAGCCTCTAAACAGTTGTTACTTTCAGTCGTCCCCATCAAATGGTTCATGGTTTTGATTCCTACATTCAACCAGTCAGAAAACTTGCAAATTACTCCACCTCGGTACCTAGTATAGTAAAAACCCTAAATGCCGAAAGCCCTTGGCCCTGAACCCTTACGCCATTCAACGGCCTAAGCTCTAAACCCCTAAACCCCGAAAACCTCTGAAAGGTAAACTAAGAAGCCCATAATTAAAAAGACCCCTTAAACTCTCTTCTACAACAACCGGGCGCCAAAAAGTTCAAACTTTCTAAGATAGAGCTAATATATAAGGCCAAAAATGTTTATTAAAGTTCCCCAGTTCACTATCTGAAAGGTAAACTAAGAACTCCATAATTAAAGGAACCCCGTAAAGGACCCCCAAAGGAAACTAAACCCTAAACCCTAAAACCCTAAACCCTAAGCCCCTAAACCCCTAAACCCTACAAACCCTAAACCACTAAACCCTAAACCCCCTAAGCCCTAAGCCCTATGAAACCCTAAACCCTAAGCCCTAAACCCCTAAACCCTAAACCCTAAACCCCTAAGCCCTAAACCCCTAAACCCTAAACCCCTAACCCCTAAACCCTAAACTCTAAACCCTAAACCCTAACCCCTAAACCCTAAACAACCCCCCAAAAAATCGGCTCCTGCTCGATGCAGACCTCCTTCTCCACGGCGTCGCTGATGGATGCCAGGATGGCGTGGAAGTCGGACCTGGGTGTGCGGAAGAGAATTTTTTTTTGGGGGGGGTTGTATTTTTCTTTTGAAGGGGGGGGGCTAGATTTTCGGATTTAGGGTTTAGAGACTTTTATTGACTTTCAGGTTTGGCTTTTTGAAGGGGTTTACAGTCTTTAGAAGTAGGGTTTGGAGAAGATGTTTTAGAGTTTCAGTTTTCGGATGGCGTACTCACAGCCAAAAGTTGGTTCTCTTTACGGAGTGTAAACCTCGAAGTAGGTACTGCTTGAATTGTTGGAACCATCGCCAAAACAGCCCTTTTCAGGTTTTAGCTTTACAGTGTCTTTGGAAGGCGTCTGCGTGCTTAGGGCTGAAAGCCTACGTTTCGGGCCACTGGGTTTCGAAAATACAGATGCTAGAGGCGGAAAATGCGCCAAATACGGCGACTTGCCCTAGCGACATCCGTGCTACGCATTCGCTGGCCCGGGACACTACCGAAGACACCCAAGACTCCACGCAGAATCAGTGATTGCTGGCACGCCAAGCTCTGTTTGCTCAAGACCAAGCGCGAACTGTCATCGGTGGCCACTCCGTGGCGGAGGGCCTGGAGGTATGCGCGGCGTTGGCCATGTTGGCGTTGCCGGCGGTGATATAATTTTCCGCGGCAACCATGCGAGCTGCTGCAAACAAGCAGGAAGCGTTGTAGGGTTTAGGGTCCGCGTTTCCGAGTTCGGGAAACTACACCCCGAGTCTTGAGCCTGTATGCACCGGAGACCCCCAAAAGAGCCTAAGCTCACCACCCCCTCTACCGCAAAAACCAAAGCACAAAACTGTAAAACCTTCACAAGAATCCAAGGGTAAAAGGAGGGACCCTTAATAAGGACCCCGAGGTATATACCCTTAGTATAGCCATTATTATAATTACCCATTATATAGCCCATTATAGGGTAGGGGTCCCCCTTAAGGATCCCTCCTTTTCCCCTTGGAAAGAAGCCTTTGCCCTGGCCGCCCCGTGAGGGGAACCCTAACCACTAAACCTGAAGGCGCTACCCAGGGACTCCAATATCCCTTAATTCAGGAATATACCTTTAAAGTCATATTAGGGATCCTACTATAAGTTAAGGTATACTCCTTAATTAAGGGATATCGGAGCCTCTGGAACTAAACCTGAACGCGCTAAGAACGCAGCGAAAGACCCACGAGGCCGACACCACTGCAGAAATTGCTGCACGCCGAGCCTTGAGAAGAGCTCCTCACACTCAATATAGGGTCCTTAATAGGGCTTTGGGGCAGCATATTATACCATAACTATTATCAGAAAACTCGAAATAGTATTGGTAATTATTTAGGCACTTATAGTGGGACACTGACGGTTTGAGGTTTCAGCTGCAGCCAGAAAGGCGCCAACTTCGCCATAGAAACCAAAAACTTCCGGCTTCCGAGTCGCTTCGTTTGCCCAGAGACTCCAATATCCCTTAATTAACTAGGCTGTTCAGTAACCCACTGGGAAAAAGCATATGCTTTTTTAGGCTTCTTGTTTTATAGTAGCAACCCAGAAACCTGAAAGTAAAAAAGCGTACTACTGAACAGCCTGGTTAAGGAATATACCTTAAGTTATAGTAGGATCCCTAATATATTTTAAGGTAGATTCCTTAATTAAGGGATATTGGAGTCTCTGGGTGTCTCGTGCCTGCAAGCTCTGAGCTCTATAGAGTTCTTCAGCCTCGTATTACCGCCCCGAAAATAGGGGACCCTAAAGAACCTAAGGAGTAGGATCATTATTCTAAGGACTCCAAAACAAGGTACCCCCAATTTTCGGAAACTCCCATATAACCGATTGGGGGGAGACAGAGAAACAAACCCTGCGAACTACTATGGAGCCTGGGTAGGTTCCAGGGTGTGAAGGTGTCAGGGCTTTGAGCTTTAGGATCAGGGGTTGACGGTTTAGGAACTCCCTGAGAAGGCTTTGCCAGTAATATAGAGGCCTTTACTATTTTGGGGGTTCCTTATCAGAAATTTAGTTTAGCGGGCCCCGAAACCCTATTCTAATTATGAAGGCCCCGTATTCGTTATAACAGCTGTACTACTATAACTGGTTCTTGTTGTTATTGCTGTTGCCATTGCCCTTGATCAATCATACTCTCAGAGATGCTGCCGTCACTGCTGCTGTTGTGGTTGCTGGTGCTTCTGCTCTGCATGCTTGCGGCCCCTGCAGCTTGCTGCAATGCACGGATTAGCTGTCTGGAATTGCGCTTTTTCTGCTTATCATCTTTATGACTCCTGTCCGTCTCGTTCATGTGATACAGCTCTTTGAAATATTGACGCACGTTCTCCTGCACTTCGGCGTGCTGCGGCGTGTATCGCTGGCCCGTCCAGTTCGGCGGGAAGAGGGTGTAGGGCCCCCAGTAGTACTGGCCAACCTCGGCTGCCAAAGTGAGCAACAGCTTCGGCAAAGACGGCAGGGCTTAGGATTTGGAGCAAGACTCCACGCAGCGGCATAGGACCACTGCAGCATAAACCCTAAACCCTAAGCCCCTAAGCCCCTAAACCCCTTAACTCCTGCACCCTCAACCCTAGCATATCATGTCATATAGTAAGTAAACACTACCCTTCGGGACCCCCAGGTAAGGTTAACACAGACATCACTCCTGCGTTCCATAATCTGCTCACAGCAAATTTAGGGTTTCGGGTTTAAGCTTTAACAGACTGAATATGGGCGGTTTTTCTCAATAATGTAGGGCTTTAGTAATTAGAATCTGTCATATGGGATTTTCCGACAATAGGGGACCCAAATACAGTACCCTAAACAGCAGTATCCTTCTTATAAGGAACCCAAAATAGGGTACCCTGATTTTCGTAAACTCCCATATGGATAGTTCTCTACATAATGCGGGAGCCTTAATTATCAGAACAGGGTCTGGGGTTTTAGGGTTGAATCTTGAAGAGGCTCCAAGTATACCTGCGGCATCGCAGGGTTTTGGGCCAAGTATACAAATACTCCTACTGCTGCTGCTGCTGCTACTACTACTACTACTACTACTCCTACTACTCCTACCTACCTACTTCGGAGTGTTATGAGCCCTTGCCCGACCTGTCGGATGGTCATCCTACACAGAAAGGCATGGTTTTAGAATCCCCTAGAACGATGGTCTAAGTATTAAGTCTGCGGCCCCTGTATGGCCGTAATACCCTACAGATCCCGTGCAGGAGCCTTGAAGAACACTGTTTGATTCATTAAAGCCCCTTGTCTTGTCGGCCAGTGTTGTAGGGACTCGGGGTTCTGGCTTCGTGTGTTACGGGGTTGAGGTTGGGGCTTTTGGGCTTCGGGTCTTGTAAGGCGTAGGCTTAAGGTGTTGATTCCAGGGTCGGTGTTTAGGATTTGAGCTTAGGGCGGTCTCAGGTTTTAGGAACCAAAACCACCGAAAGGGTACACAATGCTGAGTCCTTCTAAACTAGTTCATGCTTGGGAGAGTATTAAGAAAAGTAAGCTTTTATTCCTTAGCGGGTTTAAGTGCCCATCAAAACACGTAAAATGTTACCCAACTGCGACACTCTCTTCTTCAGCAGCCGGGCCCCAAAAAGTTCAAGCTTTCTAAGATAGAGCTGATATATAAGGCCAAAATAAAGTTTAACCTTCTCCCGTTCACTATCTAAGAACAAAGCTAAGTGAAAACACGCCGCAATGCGCTTGCCGCATGCTGCCCGGGCGAAGTCGCTGGCTTCGTCTGTGCACGCTTTGCCTCGGGCATCTGGCGAGTTTGCCGATGTTGAGGGTTGAGCGGCTTACAAGGGGTGGGTATCGTATACCATGAGATACTATATTATAGCATCAGATACCACACTATAATACCGGATCCTATAGGATACTAGAGGGTACTATGAGTCTATCCATCCCAAGCAGAAGTATGACTAGTTATTCCGGCCCCCGTATCAAAACCTTGGCTTCTGGGCTTGCCCTAATCCCAAAACCTAGGCTGTTCAGTAACCCACTGGGAAAAAGTACATACCTTTTTAGGCTTCTTATTTTATGGTAGGAACCCAGAAACCTGAAAGTAAAAAAGCGTACTACTGAACAGCCTGGTTAAGGAATATACTTTAAGTTATAGTAGGATCCCTAATATAGGTAGATTCCTTAATTAAGGAATATTGGAATCCCAAAACCCGAAACCCTGAAACCGTAAACTTCCGGGAGGATGGGGGAGTTCGGGGCTCTAGAGTTCGGTCGAAACGATACTTCGAGGATCCTGGGACATAGTAAGTGGTTTAGGGTTTAGGGTTAGGGGTTTAGGGTTTAGGGTTTAGGGCTTAAGGGTCTAGGGTTTAGGGTTTAGGGGTTTAGGGTTAGGGGTTTAGGAATTAGGGTTTAGGGCTTAAGGGTCTAGGGTTTAGGGTTTAGGGGTTTAGGGGTTTAGGGTTTAAGGTTTAGGGTTCGAGTGGGGTTATAGGTACCTTCATTGGAAAGTTACCTTACTTCTAACCCTACTTGCTAGTTCCCCTGAAGCTCCAAGTAGGACGTGGGGTGTCCGGTGTTTATATCAAGGGTGTTTACTTAGGGTTTGGGTTTTTGGGTTTAGGGGTTAATATTTAGGGCTTAGGGTTTAGGGCTTAGATCCTATCTCTAAGGGCCCAGTGGCTGTAAGTGTCCACGAGCCTGCTGTCGTCCTTGAAGACGACTTCCGCCACAGAGCAGAACTGGCCATTTCGTGGTACTGCTGCCCCTCCTGGCTAAGTACGCTTTTGGGTCTTATGATTGGGCTCCCATATTATTCCTTCAATCTTATTCCTTCAAGGCAAGTAAACGAGGCCCTCTACTCCATCCCTTGAATAGAGGCCCCTGTGACAACTTACCTTTATCAATCCGCCTCCCCTTTAGAAGGGGACTCGTAAGGGGCAGCAGCGGTGCGTGAACCATCGAAAAATGGTAGGGATTTAGAGTGGAGGATTTTGGTTTAGGCTTGACCCCATAAACAAACCTTAAACCCTAAACGCTTATCCACGGTCCAAAGAGCATGATGCTATGAGTTAACTGAGAAGGACCCTTAGGGGACCTAGACAGTTGGGTCGGAAGGTCCCGGCTATGTCCCAAACAGAGCAACTATACTGAACTTAAATCCCTAGCAACAATTTCTATTTCAAGCCGTTTCTTAGGAATTCCAGGACCCAAAAACAATAAGTACCCTACGCCCCAAATTCCTAAACCCTAAACCCTAAGGCAAAGACAAGAGTCTGTCATCGAAGGGGTCGCGCTTACCTGCAAGCAGGCGAGGATGCTCCGGCACGAAGATCCACCTGAAAGGGATGGCTTTTAGAATAGGGTTTTGAGGTTGCTTTAAAGGGCTCCTTTAAGGGATACTATAAGGGTACTATAAAGGATTTAGGGATATAGGGGCCTTCAAATCATAAGACTCACAGTTAGAATAGGGTTCCTTTAAAGGGTTCCTTGTAAAGGGCTTAGAAGGGCTACTGTAAGGGCTATTTTCGGGATTTCGTATAGGGACCTTGATAAATTAGAATAGGGTTTTGGGCGCCCATTTTACTATAGTTGTAATAAGCACACACCCCCCCCCCCCCCCCCCAAAATGGTATAAGTAATTATTAAGGCCACCATGCTCCAACTTTCGTAAACTCGACCGCAGATTGGGATTTATAGCATTTTATCTGGCTTCATGTAGCTCTACATGGCTTTATATGGTATGGCTTTATCTGATTTCATTTTTTCTATAGGATATTCCACAAACCGGTCAGGGAAACCCGACTTGGAAACAGTCGGGTGCCTCCTTGAGGGCGCGTCGGAAATCAAACCAAGAAACTCTGGTGTGGAGGTTAGGGAGCAAGGTTTGTGGTTTAGAGCTAGTCGCACTAGTGTCAGGCTTAATCAGACTCCGTTCGGTTTTGGGGTTCAGGTTTTGGAGCCATGCCAGATTGGGGAAGGCACTAGACCCTGAACCCCCAAACCGAAGCCTAACTGGCTTGTAGTTTCGGGGCTCTGAAAAGTGTTTATGAATAGGTATCTCTATAGGAGCAATGAAGGGAAATCAACAACTTCCCAAATTGCCACCTCGCTAAACTCTAAACCCTAAACCTTAGGTACGGCCCCCATACAGTAAGAGTCTATAATAGGGCTACTATTAAGGTCCTACTATATCTATATTATGAATATTATTCACCTATTACTGAGTGGGGGCCGTACCCAACCTAAACCGTAAACTATAGTGAACTTAGAACCCTGGCAAAAAATACATTTTTTGCTGTTTCTTAGGGATTATGATAACCAAAGATTAAAACATATTTCTAAGTACCTTTAAGGAAACCGTTCTGCTTAAACGCCTCGCTGACTGAAGGAAGTTTATCGTCTCCTGGGTCTCAGCCGACTCAGTATCGGAGACGTCGAGGACGTGCATGAGCCTTCCGTAGAGGCACCTGCGGTTTAGGGTTTAGGGTTTAGGGTTTAGAAGTGGGCTTGCGGATTTCCTCTGCTCCTGTTCGAAGGGAAGCTGTGAAATTCATCCTCCCATTCAGAAAGGGGACTTTGCGAAAATTAGGAGTACCTTATTTGGGGGTCCTTATAATACGGGTCCTACTATTTAGGGTAGTATATTAGGGTCCCCTATTTTCGGAAACTCCCAAAGGGTCCAAATTCTAAAGCCGGAGCCGCAAGCCCACAACTGGCAACGCACAAACCCACGATCCTCAGAAGGAGCCCTGAACCCTGTGCTAAAGAGCTCTGACTAATTACCAATCCTTATCTAGGTTGGCCCCTTAAAGCCTCTGACAAATATTCGTAAATAGGATCCTACTAAGCCCAATAAGGAAAAATATAAAATGTCCCAAAGGCCTACTTAGTTATCATACTGATACTAAATATACCCCCCATATCCTATTCAAACTGTCAATTGCTCCTCAAGGTCCCTACAATGCCTGCGAAAAAGTACATACATCCTGGGGGCTTGTTGCTCAGAGAGGAGTCGGGATTAGGGGGACCCTTAGGGATATAGACCCTCTCAATAAGGTCCGTTTCAAGAGAGGGCAAAAGTAGGGTTAAGATGGTGGTCTCCCTACTTGGAGGATCATGGGACTTAGCAACTATACTTATAAGTCCCTTAATTGGGGTTATAAGTAATTAATTATAAGTATAGTTACCCCAATAATAAGCCTAGTTACTAAGTCCCATGATCCTTTAAGTAGGCCCTAAGCTTTAAACCCCATAGATCCCCTTAAGGAACCCTATAGATCCCTTTAAGGAGCCCTTTAAAGTTACTAAGTCCCATGATCCTTTAAGTAGTACTACCTAGGAAAACCGTCAACCCCCAATCTCCCAATCCTGTGCTGCTGCCTCCAGTCCTGCACGCTGTGTGTTCTCTGTGATGCAGCTTGCCTGGATCCAAAGCTGTCTTCTTCAACAACCGGGCCGCAAAAAGTTCAAACTTTCTAAGATAGAGCTAATGTATAAGGCCAAAAAGTTTGGAGTTCTCCCATTCGCTATCTAAGAAAGGCAAACGAACCTGTAACGGATCCTGCAAGGGGTTCTTGGGCCTCCTTTTTGGCATCCTATAATGGGTCCTTGTTCAAGGGTCTCCTTTAGGCATCCTCTAAGAGGTCCGTTTTAAGGGGGTCCTTTCTTCAGCTTCGGTACTATAGGTGCCTGTCAAGCTAAACCCTACAGCCGCAAATCCCTAAACCCTTAGAGCCTGAAAATGCAAATCTAAAGCAATGACTAGAAGCTCTACATACATCCTAAGAAAGCATTTTACACACCTTCTCACATGCTATCACCCTCCAACAAGCCCTTACACAAAAACTGGCCCAGCTGCTTGCGGATGATGGAAATCAAGTTTCGAGACGAGGCGGCAGCCTAGCGAGTCCGTTTTGAGTATCATGTATTCGTCTTTGGTTCTTGTAGCTATTCATAGGTTGATCTTGGGTGTTATTGGTTTTGTTTAACCCAGGTCTAAGGCCTTTTATTGGTTTCAGGTCTGCTTGGGGCGTCGGGGAAATTAGTAGGCAGGTGATAAGTAGAGATATAAGCACCCCAAAAAGGGATCCTAATCGGGGTTATGATACGTATTTTAAGTTCTACAACGACAACTACTAATCAAGTCCGCCAACCCTCCAAGTAGGGGCGAGGATCGATAAACAACAGAGAGCCTTAGATCAGAAAGAATCCCACGACTACGTCGGGATCAGATAACATAGGGGCCTTAATCATCAGAACAGGCTGCTGGGGTGAACTATCGTATAGCTGCAATAACGGGTTTAGGGTTTAGGGTTTAGGGTTTAGGGTTTAGGATAACGAACCCAAAGGAGTACTGTTGGTAATTGCTCAGGATTCTATATTCTATTCTGATGTTAGGAAGATTACCTCAACCCTAACCGTATATCCTGAACCCCAAACCCCAAGCCCTGAACCCTATATCTTAACGAAAGCCCACAGAACCCTAAACCCCAAACACGGAACCCCTCTCCGGACCTAGAAACCCTAAAACGAACCCTAAAAGCAACCCCTAACCCTCTCGAGGCCTTCTACTAGACCCAGGAGTAACCTAGGAATAAAAAGGGTACCCTTTTTGGTTTAAATTGGGTAACAAAGGGGATAAGGGCCTACTCTGGGTCCTAGTCTACTTAACCCTCACGGGACCTTGAAGCTGAGGAAGGGCCAGGTCTTCTTGAGCTCGGCCACGGCCGTTATGAAGACAAAGGGCTCCTGCAGCGCTGCTGCCGGGCGTTTTCATGCCTTTGTTCAGGGTTTCATGGGATGGCGCAGGGTTCTTGGAGTGTGGCTTACCCAGGGGCCCCAAAGTAGTTCCTTTTTGGGTGTGTCCTCTTTTTTGATTAGGGACTCTAATATACCACCCAAAAAGGAATTACGAACTACTTTGGGCCCCTGGGTAGGGGCTCAGGGTTCCTGGGGTTGAGATTTAAGGTTTCAGTCCACGTGGGATGTGCTTGGGAACAATTGGTTGCTCGCAACTCGAAATAGAGACCGCAATCACTATTTCTCTTGAACCTAGGTTCCTGAGGAGCACTCATACGGGTAGCATTTTTCCGACTATTCGGTTTCAATAAGGGGACCCTAATAGAACGGTACTACTCAAGAACCCACCCCAAACCGTAGATAAAACCCTAAACCCTATCCCTTTTGGACCCTGAAAGGAGCCCCAAAACCGTAGCTGGGGCTCGCCTCCAAAGCGAGTGGCGGGCTCGACGGGATCCAGGAGTCTTCGATGCGAACCAATTCGCCGGCGCGAGTCGGTAGCCAGGGAGTCGTCTCGAGGAGTTGGAGTACCTTTAGGGCTTTGGGGGTTGGGGGGCTTAGGGTTTTTTGCTCTGGGGCTTTGGGGTGTTCGCTCTGTTTGGCTTAGGGCATTGGGGCTGTTTTGTACGATGCCTCGAGCAGGGTTGAGAGTTTAGCGTGGGGCTGTAGGGCTCGGCTGCAGAGGTGAGAGCTTGGCTTCTTTTTCCGGAGCATTTGGTCTAGGTATTGCTAGATTTCAGAAACTGAGGGAGAGTAGGTCGGAGGGACTCAGGGTTAATGTGGGGTCTTGATAGTGAGAACATGGTTTTGGGGTACATCAAGTACTGCAGTCCACCTCCAAGCAGAACCAAAAGAATCCCAGCACTAAGCCATCCTTCATCCAGGTGTCAACTTTCTACGTGATCTAGAATGTGATGATTAAGCCCTCTTTTCCTGGAGGACCTGCATGATATGTCCAAACCCCTGTCGTCGCCCTTACTCAGGGGTAAGGGGTTTATTGGCTGAGTGTCTCGGGGCTTTGGGGCTGAGGGGATCGAAATGCGGGGATCAGGACTCACGCACACTTCGTCTCACGCTTTGGGGCAGTTCTCTAAATTAAGGTTCCTTTGTATACGGGTGCCGTACTATTTTGGGGACCTAAAAAAAGGACCCCCCAATTTAGAGAACCACCCCACCTATATTCATGTTCCAAGAAGCGACGGAAAGTCGGCCACTAAAGCCCCAAGGCTTCACAGAATAAGACCCTGAATCCCAACAGCCTACTGCAAAGCCGCAAAAAAAACTCTAAGGCCCGCAAGACCCTGACGCAGATGACTCCAAGCCACAGGCGAGCGGGTCCCTGCAGCAGATTGGCTTCCACCGTCAGCCTCCCAGGAAAGTCTGCACGGGAAGCTACCTTTGAATTTCTACCTTAGCTTGCAGCCGAAGGAGATCGCAAGTCGTCGGTGCTTACCTGCTTCCTTGTTCATGTCACAGGCCCTACGCAACCATGCCAACCCCTAAACCATAGACCCTTAACAAACCCTTCCTGGCCTGGCAGTGCGGTGCGTAGACCTCGCCGTGGGGGCCCAGGAAGGACACCAAGGCGGACGCGAAGGCTGCATCTGAGAACCGAAGGGGAGGGGAGGGGAGGGTTCAGCGTTTGTTAGGGACACTAGGGTTTAGAAGAGCTTGCCCTGTCTTAGGGAGTCATAAAATTATTTTTGAGAGTTTAGGGCTCGTAGGGTCTAGGATCTTCGATGCCAAGGCCACATCCAAAAACCGAGAGGAGTTTAAACCAAGAGGAGTCTCAGGTCGGGGTCTATAAGGGGCACTCCTGGGATGTTGCTGTGGATGCTCTTCCGGCTACATGCGTAAGTAGGGGTTAGTAGGCTGGGAAATGGGAGTTGTTATGGGGATATAGTACAATTCCTACAACACCCCCCCTTACCCAAAACCCTAAACCCTGTAGGGGATGCTATGTGGACGCACTAAGTAAGGAAGTGGCTGTGAGATGCCCTTCTTCTACTAGGCTGGGGATTAGGACCGTTTAGGGTTCAGGTCTTCGAGTTTAGGGTTTGGTGTTTAAGGATGCACGATTTAGGGCTCCCGGTCTAAGTTTTAGAGCTACAGCGAGCACAGCGGTATAAGGGCGGGATCTTTTAAACCTTATATGTGTATGTATAGTCTTGTATACATATGTAACATATGTACATATATATATATATATATATATATATATATATATATTTGCATACAAACATACACATATTATACATACATGCGTGCATGAAGATAGGCTATGCACAGAAAGTGTTTGTTTGTCTGTGTGTGTGTGTGTGCGTGTGTCAACCATTAACTTGGAGGTGTTCGTTTCATGCAAAGGTCGAACCTACCTGAACCCCGAAAAACTCCAGCCATAAACCCTAACAGGAAGAAGGCGCGCCGAGGCGCTGTCTGAAGTGTCAGAAGTGCAGGAGAGACAGCGAAGTAGCCCCTGCGGTGTATTTGCTGGTTTCCTTTAAAAAAGAGAGTTTGCATCGAGTTTTATACTAAAGGAGGCTTCTGGGAGAAAGATGGTTTGTATAGAGTTTACACTACAGGTGTTTCAAATCGGGATAAAGATGTTTTGGTGCCTGCGGTTGCATGAAGGCAGGGGTAAACTCAGCTAGAACGCTCATGGTCTTGGGCTGAGGGTTGCGGTGAAAGTAAAGTTTAGGGCTTATAAGGTTTTGAACTGACTTTTTCCTTCGGCTTAGTTCTTGTTTTGGCTTTTTGTGCTTTCGACCACGCACAAATATTGAAACCCTGAGCGCCCTGCTGAAATCCCAAACTTTGAATCCCCCGAACTCATAGACCCCCAAACCAAATACAAGAGACAAACACTCTCCATCTTGACAAGGTTCGCTGAAACGATAACACCCGCACAGATACTCTACGAAAATCCTAACCTCTGTATCACCCTCAAAAAACCCTAAGCCCCCGGCCCTACAGCCTAAACCGTTCTCAAACAAAAGAGGCCTGGTGAAGAAAACTATTCCGTAGGCTTCTTTCTTCCACTATACGATAGTATCTCCTAAAACCCTTTTCTAATTATTGCGCCCTCAACCCTAAATCGTCCTAAACCCTAAACCCTAAACCCTAAACCGCAAAACAAAGGCCCCCGGTAAATTCGTCAGGTCCTGCAGCTCGAGGCTGGTTCCGTCTGCTGCCACGGCGAAGGCTGGCCAGACCCCGATGGAAGTCCAGAAATTCCTAGGCACATGTTCTTGGGGTTGAGTGTTTAGGGTTTAGGGTTTAGTTTTTTCAGGGTTAAGGTTTAGGGGTTTTGTGTTATTTTTTTGTTGCTGGCATTCGGTTTTCTCGGTATTAAGAGCCTTAATGTACACTAGAATTATAATAAGGAACCCCCAAAATAGGAGTGGTAGTTCTTTAGGCCTCAATGGTATGCTTTTGTTTTTGCTGGTTCTGGGTATTGGTAGGCTTTGATAGGGTGTTGTCGGGGTTCTTACGGGGTTCTCATAAGGCTTACGGACCTAGCAAGGGCCTCACTATTTGGATCTGGGTGGCTGCATACATCCAGCAATTATATGAGGCTCAAAGGGGGGGGAAATTTACCCAGATGGGTAGTTGTCAAAATTATGGTCCCTTTTTGGGTACCCGCAATATTAGGTGCGGCATCATTTTTCGGACCCAAACAGGGACCAAAATTTGGACATCCACCCATATGTCAACCTTTAGCCACGCCACTGAAATCCCCGACTGCCGAGGCCTGGCTCACCCCCAAATGGTTGCTTGCTGAAGCGAACAACACAGAACTCCCCACTACCCTAAGACAGACGATAAACTTTCAGAATCTAATCACTTGCGAAAGCCCCAACACGTCAAACGCTTGTTATAGAACCCTAGGTGCTAAATCCGAGACCCTGAACCCCTAAACCCTAAATCCTAAACCCTGTGCAGAAGCCTTTAAAGAAATCCCGCCAGCCGCCTGTAATCCCCCTTCGAACCTAAATAACAAATGCTTTTAATATTCTCTTGGGCTCGACATGAACAAAACTAAAACATAGTAACAAAAACTGTTTGTAATACTCTCTTGGGGCTTATATTAACCGAAATAAAAATAAAGTAATTCCTAAGGAGACTATAGCCTTTTCCAAGCTAAGCAGCTGCCAACTTCGAGTCTCGGGCTCTCGTTGGATGTAGGCTGGGGAAACCTCGGCTGACATTAAGCCCCTCACGTAATTCAAGGCATATACCCTAATTAAGGGGTATCGGGTTCAGGGTTTAGGGTTTTAGCCGAATTAAGGGGTATAGGGTTTAGGGTTTAGCCAATTATGGGGTATTGGGCTCTCTGGGTAAACCATATATCCTGAACATTACAAGCTGACGAAGCTTACTTCCTGGTGCTTACACACAGAGTGGAGGAAGAAAAACAGGCTCTAAACCCTAAACCCCTAAACCCTTCAACCCTAAACATAAACTCTAAAACCTCAAAACTTTAAACTGATCATGAAGGATTACATAGGGACCTAGTGCGGGGATGCACTTTCTCGCTGCCCCTTCAGCACCAGTAAGTAAGCCTCAAGTGTTCCCTTTGAGGGCTTCTCTCTGAGATGCTGCGGAGGTGCGTTTTCTACAAGCGATTCCTTTGAGTCAGGGTTCACACATACTGAACTTAGAACCCTAGCAAAAATTATAATTGTAGCTGTTTCTTAGGTGGTTATAATAACAAAAAATCAAAAATCATTTCTAGGTACCCCTAAGACACAAGCGTGTTCAAGAGGGACTTTAGAGCCTAGGGCCCGGGGTTGCGTGCAGGGCTTCAGGCTCATGGTTTGGGTGTAGGGCTCAGGGGTAGGGTGCAGGGTTTAGGATTTAGGTTTAGGATTTAGGTTTAGGGGTTTAGGGGTTTAGGATTTAGGTTTAGGATTTAGGTTTAGGGTTTAGGGGTTTAGGGGTTTAGGATTTAGGTTTAGGGTTTAGGGGTTTAGGGGTTTAGTGTTTAGGGCTCAGGGGTTGGGTTCTGGGATTCAAGGCTTGGCTTCGGAGATGCGTTGGGGCTTAGGGCTTATATACGACCTACCAGTACTAGTACCTGTGCTTGTTGGGGTCGTGTTACAGAATTTAGTATAGATATTAGAGGGATCCTATACAGGGAAAACAGAGCAGGTTGTGGCAGGTTGCAACGTTTGCACCCAAACCTTTAAAGTAGGTTTGAGGTGTTATATCCCTAAAGCCTTAACCGTGGATTCTTCAGGGATCGGGGTTGGTGCCCCCGAATCCCAAGTCTTGCCTTGGAAAAAATGCCATGGATCTTGCAAAGGAGCTCACTGTTCGTCCGGGGCTTAGGGTTTAGAGTTTAGGGTTTAGGGGTTTAGGTATGGGTTTGTAGTATATAGACCCCAACGGTCCTTAACCCCAGATGGGTGGTTGTCAAAATTATGGTCCCTTTTTGGGCCCCTATTATAGTACGGCACCTATTTTTTGGGGGGGTACCAAAAAAGGGACCCTAATTTTGACAACCACCCAGATCCTGAACCTCAACATGGCGTAGCCAGAGCTTGTGCTGCCAAGGTGCATACAGCCATTTCTGTTGGTAGACTTGCCTGGGAAGGAGCCGGGAAGCACAGCCGAAAGCATATAAAAGAATCCCCAGGAAGAGCACCCAGAGATGCCTCCTAACACCTGCACCCTACACCTTAGCTGCAGGAACTCCGAACCCCCAAACCGAGTTGTTTTCAAGCAACATCACCAAAAACTTGACTGAAACGCTGCACTCGAGTTTGCTTACAGGATGGGGACTTAGTAAGCGGGGTTATAAGTACCTGTATCGGGTTTATAAGTAGGTACTTCCAGAGCTACTTTAGTTACACCCGGCTTAAGTCTCCTGATGCTTTGAGTCTAAACCCAAGAGTAACCCAGGAAGCAGAAGGGTGCCCTTTTTGGTTTAAAGGGGCTTGTAAGGGAACCTGAACCCTAAAAAAGGGAATAAGGGCGCCTTCTCTGGGTCCTAGGAGTAGAAGCCTGTACACTCCCAGAGACTCCAATATCCCTTAATTAAGGAATATTCCTTCAATCATATTAGGGATCCTACTATAATTTAAGGTATATTCCTTAATTAAGGGATATTGGAGTCTCTGGGCTTAGACCAGGGGCTCAGCTGGCTTCCATAGTACCAAGAGTTCACACGGAAGGTATTGTAATGCAACGTTCTAAGACCTCCCTTCTGCCTTTACACACCCTAGACCGAAAGCCGCGAAGCTCGCAACCAGGAGGCTTCAGCCCTTGCTTGAAGGATTAGGGGACAAACGATGTAATGTAGGGCGGGTTAGAAGTAGAGTAACCGGGGTTATGTGCAGATAGAAGCGTAGTTATCTTACGTATAACCAGGGGGTCACAAATACCGTAACCGAGGTTGTAAGCAAATAGAAGTGCAGCTATCTTACTTAGACTTATAGCCCTACTTCCTAAGTCACGGGATCCTTCAAGCACTCCGCCAAGCCTCACCCGATCAATTCGCTACCTTGCACCAGTATATGCACGTCTCATTTCTAAGCCACTCAAAGACCCAAACCCAGCAATACCTATTGGATAAGCATCCCCCTAACACCCGGTAAAACTGCATATAACCCCTCTTAACTCGAGGGTGTCTATACTGAACTTAGAACCGTAGCAAAATTTCAATTTTAGCTGTTTCTTAGGGATTATTATAACCAAAAATTTAAAAAAATATTTCTAAGTACCCCTAAGCTGACAGCCCAAGAGCCGCAGTCGCTCGGGAAGCGGTGTCAGGTGCACCGGCGTCCTTAGCCAGACCCCCGGGAGGATCTAGAAAGTAGACTTAGTAGGGCTCCTCTAAGGGCTCCTTTAAGGGATCCTTTAGGGTTTAGGGTTTAGGGTGTAGGATCTAGAAAGTAGATCTCCTAATATGGGGCCCTATACTACTAAGGGTACTTTATAGGAACCTCCGTTAGGGATCTACTTCTTGGATCCTCCCGGGGGCTGGGTATAGATAGTGGTTTCTAGGGTATATGGTTTCAGGAGTTTAGGGCTTTATAGCGGCTGTAAGGTTCATGGTTTCGGGCTTTGGGGATTCGTAGCGGCTGTGAGGTTCAGGGCTTTTAGGGTTTATTGTGCGCCTTATGATGAATGATTAGTTTCGTGAGCCTTTAGATGGCTCAGGGCTTGAAGTCTTGGAGTGGTAGGGCTAGCCTGAAACTCTCCTGAACAGGCAAAAATAGCACAGCACAAAATTGCTGGTGTAGAGCCCTGTTTGATAAACTCCAGTCCCTTCAGCGCCGTGATCTCAAAGTCCAGAATACACGCCGTGAAAGTGGAAGGAGTCTACGGTATGAAACACACCACTATATTACCAATACCAGAAGGGGTCAGCAAGAGTTCGACTTAGATAGAATCCGCAAAGACGTGTTCCCTGCGTCTGAAAACCCTGAACCCTAGAAAACCTGCCTCTTTTAGCGTTCCCTATTATGGGTTCCTTACACGGCCTTCGTGATATCACAAGTCTTTAAGAAGGAGGCCCATTCGGATTTAATATACAAGTAGGAGCCTTGATAATTAGACTAGGGTTTCGGCACCCGTTCTTCTATAATTCTGATAAGGAGCCCCCAAAATTGTAGAGGTACTTATTTCGCCCCTGTAGTAGGTAAATCCTGAACCCCAGACACCCTTAACCCTGGCTTTACTAGACCCAAGAGTAACCTAGGAATAAAAAGGGTGCCCTTTCTGGTTCCCGGGGCTATTCGGGAACCTGAACCCTAACAAAGGGAATAAGGGACTACTCTAGGTCCTAGTTTATGGTCTCGGATTCAGGGTACCAGACCCTAAACTCGAAGGGTTTTGGGCTTAATAGTGTAAGTAGGCTTAGGATCAAACATCCTGACCTTATATCCGGCCACCTTGAGCCCTGCAACCCCATAAAACCGCTTGTCAACATCCTCGAAGCCCAGAGACTCCAATATCCCTTAACTAGGGGTATACCATAAATCACAATAAGATCCCTAATATGATTTAAAGAATATACCTGAATTAAGGGATAGTGGAGTCTCTGGAAGGAAGCCTTAAAGGAAGCCGATGAAGGACACCTCAACGGAAGCCTAACACTAAATGGGAGTTTCCGCAAAGAAGGGCACCCTGATATATAGTACCCTAAATGATAAGATGACCCCAAGACAAGGTAACCACCGAATTTTCGTAAAAACTCCTATGAGGGAAGCCTCAACCGGCCCTGTAGCTGCAGGGATTTCCCTAAACCCTAAACCCCTAAACCATAAACCCTAAGGGACCCTTCAGTCTCGGCCGCCCAGACCTCCTTTGGAGGATCCAAAAAGTAGATCCCTTAATGGGGGGGTTCCTTTTAAGGGTTCCTTTAAGGGCCCCTTTAAGGGATCTCGAAGGTTTTAGGGTTTAGGGTAGATCCCTTAATGGGGGTTCCTATAAAGTACCCTCTGTGGTATAGGGCCCCATATTAGGGGATCTACTTTATAGATCCTGCCGGGGGTCTCGGCCAGTGCTTGAGATCTAGAAGCTGAAGAAGAGCACTGACATCAGAAAACTAGAGACTATACTGAACTTAGAACGCTAGCAAAAATTTTAATTTTAGCTGTTTCTTAGGGATTATAATAACAAAAAATTTAAAATTATTTCTAAGTACGCCTAAGGAGAGCTATAGGTTTCGTTTAAGGAGATCCAACTGCTCAAGGGCACTAACTTCAGAAAACTAGAGAGCTCAAGGCTTTGCTTTTGGGGTTTACGTTTTCGGTTTTTTGATTCCTTTAAGGGAGCCCACATATGAAAGAAAAGCTTTAACGAACCCATCAAGGAATTCGTATAAGAGGCCTTAAAGGAACCCTGGACCCCTAAACCCTGAACCCCTACTGTATAGTACCCTTATAGATCCCTTAACTCACTGGCCCAACACCCAAGGAAACACAAGCTGAAACGTTCAGAATCGACTACCTTGTAAGAACCCCAAAAGTTGAAAAGTTGAGCTTACAACCAATAAGGCACTATTTAGACCCCTAATATAGAACCCAACTATAGATCCCTTATGGACCCCTTTAAGGATCCCTTACCTTTGTAGATCCCTTAAAGGAACCCCAAAGAAGCCTCGAGGGCTCCGACACACCAAGTTTCTCTGGGCTGCACCAGCACACCAGGCTTGAGTGACCGGCTTGCCCTGAATGCTGCTGACAGTCAGACACCACCTAGGTCCACAAGCAAATCAGGGGTACCTACGGGTTGCTTTAAAGGGTTACTATAAGGCTTCCTTTAAACGGTTCTGTTTCCGAAAGTTAGCGGTACCTTAGTCCACAAGCAAATGAACCCCACAATAACAACAAACTCTCCAATAATCCCTTAGGCTTATGATTTACATAAACACGGAATATTTCTCAATGAAGCCTAGTACCTTTGGGTCAACAAGGAATCTAAGATAGGGTTTGGGGTTAGGGTTTTAGGGTTTGGATGGTTTGGGTGTTTAGGGTTAGGGTGTTAAATTTCTCTGGACCGAGTCAGGCTCTTGAATGTATAATCGGCTACAGCAGCCGCAGTGACCCCAAATCCCCGAAATCCTGAGCATCAGATGCTGGACAGAGTTCTTGACCCCAAAACGCCCAATTCTTGAATTGCCTTCTTAAGCCCTCAACACCTCAAACTCCCCCCCTTCCCCATTCGTCAACCTTCGAACCCCACTCACCGAAACCCTGAATTCCCTTCCCTGGAAAAGCACACCCTAAACCCTAGAGACTAACCCGCAAGCTCTAAAGCCCACATAAGCCTACGGGAACACTCAAAGTGACACTGACTCCCCTTTCCAAAATCAGAGCTTAAAGCATCCCAGTTGCCCACATCACACTTAAAGGACCACTTGAAGTAACCGTGACTACCCTTTCCAAAATCAAAGCTCACGGCATCCCAGTTGCCGACACAATACTTTAGGGTTTAGGGTTTAGGGTTTAAGGGTTAATGGTTTAGGGTTTAGGGTTCCCTTTTCCTAAACCAGAGCAAACGAAGTCAAGCCCAGCAAAACCCTAAACCTTAAACCCTGACCCTCACTAGCCTTTGCTCTCTTCTTCAACAACCGGGCCCAAAAAAGTTCAAACTTTCTAAGATAGAGCTAATATATAAGGCCAAAAAAGTTTAAAGTTCCCCCGTTCACTATCTAAGCTTCCTAAAGTCAGAGCTGACAGCATCCCAGTTGCCCACAGGCCACTGCGGAGGAGAGGAGTCAAGTCCTCCACGTGCCTTGGTTCTTGGGCTCTCCCTCGGGGATTCATATGGGAGTTTCAACAGGGGACCCTAGTATAGCACCCTAAACAGTAGGACTTTATTAGAATTATTTTAAGAAACTCCCATATCAGAAATGGGGGCTGAATAACTCGAAGAGGGCTGCGGGGCAGATTGTAAGAAACCGATTCCCTCCATCAGCTTCAATAAGACTCTCTCTCTCTCTCTCTCTCTCTCTCTCTCTCTCTATAACTGAAGGAATAGTCCTCAATTAGATGGAGTTGGGCTTTGGGTTCTGGGGCGAGGTATGAGAAGCTAGGCCCCAATTGCTCTTCAGGCTTTAGATTCACTGTCGCTGCCTCGGTTGGAATAAGGTTTGGGGCTACATTGTCCTGTCAATATCGTAGGGACTATAAAGGGACACAAGTAGAAAGTCTTCAATGACTGAGATGCCGAGGCGCTCAGAAGACTGCAAGAATCGTCGTGCTGCTCGGGTGCACTGCAACAGCTCCTGTGCGTTGGTACCGGTCGGGGCGTGGGCTGGGAAGGGTGTCTAGGCCAAAGAGCTTTAAAACCCCTTACAAAATCGATGTACAACACACGCACGCACATAAAGGCATTGATTAAAACTTTTGACAAAACGGTTTAGGGTCTAGGGGGGATAAATCCTAGAAACACGATAGACATGCGGAACCGACGCGTTGAAAGCCTCGACACCCGGCTGAGAAGCGCTGGTCAGAAAGGGCGCGAGCACCTGCCGAGGCGGCTTGTGGCCATGTATATGTATGTATGCATGTATGTATGCATAGATATGTAGGTTTACGCATATACACATGTATATACATATCAGATATCGATATCTATAGATATACCTGCATATATATATATATATATATATATAGATACATAGAGTATGAGGGGCGTTGTTTGGGCTTTCGAGCATTTGTAGATAGAAGTTGCCTTGAAGATGCCTCAAACTAATAAGCCCGAAGCACGTTGCCCTGAACCTTCAAGTAGGTTTCAGGGGTTGATGTTTGGATGTTCGGACAACTCGAAAATCCCTGACAGCAGAACTTACAGAGCATTGGCAAGAAGAGGAGGCCTGTCTTCGCGGCGCTGTAGCACAGGCTCCGTACAGCCTTTGTGCATCCACTACGTGTGTGTGTGTGTATATCGCTCTGTGTGTATATATATATATATATATATATACATATGTATAGGTATATGTAATAAGATGTGTGTCAACATTTATACATACACAGATATGAATCGTCGGCCTGCTTGAAGAACTGAAGGCCCTCGGCGTGCTCAACACCGGTGCGGTGCAGGAGACCTGCCTGTGTTCAGGAGCTGGGGTGCAGGGCTCGGGAACAAATAGCTCTTCCTCATAGCTGTGTGAAGGAGTATTAAAACAGAAGAAAACATGTATACATACACCCAGCATACATTGAGAAAGCACAGAGGGAGAGAGAGAGAGAGAGAGAGAGAGAGAGAGAGAGACAGACAGACAGAGATAGAGAGAGAGAACAAAGAAAAAGAGAGAGGATGAGATACAGAAAGGGCGAGAGATAGACAGAAATGCAAGCGGACAGGCAGCCGGGTACAGTAGATCCGTGCACACACACTTATGTGTATATCTATATATATATATATATATATAGGCATACCTGCTGATCTGTCTATTTACCTGTACATACATACACACATATATATATATATATATACACACATACTATAGATATATGCGTGTATACAGACACCCACATAACCCCACATACACACATGCACATACTCATATCCCTAAACACAGAACCTCCATACCCGATAAGATAACCGCACAACCAACATCTCTAAAGCTTGAACACCTGCAACTCTAAACCCCCAAACTCTCGACCCTCGAACAACTAAACCCTAAAATCCTGAACCCTGAAGCCTGAAACCGTAATGCCTAAAGCCCTAAACCCAAAGCCCGAAGCAACTAAAACGTCAAGTCCCACACCCTCAAATCCCAAACCCTAAATGCTGAAACCCTAAAGCCCTCAAATCCCAAACCCTAAATCCTGAAACCCCAATTAAAGCCCTCAAATCCCAAACCCTACATCCTGAAACCCCAAACCCCTGAAGCCCTAAATCCCAGGAGGCGAGCGGCTACCCGCTGGTGCATCAGCTTGGCGAATCCTCTGCTCGAGGTTTCGAGTTGGGGGTTGTAGGCTTAGGGTTTTAAGGCTCTTTCAGAGTTCCTTTAAGGGTGTGTTTTAGCTTAGGTCTTAGGGTTTAGGGTGTAAGCTCTAGGGTTAAGTTTAGGGTATAGGCCTTAGGTTTTGGGCCGGGGCTTTGAGCTTAGGGTTGCTTCGGATTTCAGGGTTTAGGGTTTTTGGGTTCGGGCCGATGATGCCCAGTGGGAATAAAAGGGCTCCCTTTTTGGTACTGGACAGTTTTTGGGGCAGTAATAAGGAACCTACGACCCCAAAAGGAAAAAGGGGCCCACGGGGAGGCCTAGAGGTTTAACTCTGTAGGGTTTTGCAGGTTTAGCGGTTAATGAGAAGTATCCTACTATTTGCTTAAGAAACCCCCAAAAAATAAAAAAATAATAATCCCTATATTACCCCCATATGGAATATATTTTTTATTTTTTTGGTGGTTCTTAAGCAAATAGTAGTATCCTAAGGGAAGAAAGTCTACCAGTCCAACATTTGATTCCAGAGTGGTTCTGACTTGCAAGGAACCTCGAGTCCCTTAGAGGAACCCTTAAAGGAACCCAAAAGAGCCCTAAAATCCTAAGCCTACTTGAAGGATCATGGGACTTAGCAACTGGGGTTATTATTAGGGTAGCTATACTTATAATTACGCACAGTACTACACCATAGCCCAAGCCCTCAAACCCAATAAAAGCCAAACAAGCTCCATCAAACAATCAAAACTCCGTGTAAACCTCTGTGCAAACCCCTGGCCCGACAAACTCAATCCCTAAACCCTAAACCCAAGCCTGAAACCCTAAAGCCTTGGACCCTGAAGCCTTAAACCCTATATCCTAGACCCTAAACCCTCTCAATCCAGATCCCAGAAGCGGGAGTGTAAAGTCTGCGCGCCCGGGATCACGCCCTGGAAGTCGACGCCGACGTTGTAGACGTTCTCATTCTCCTCAGGGTTTAAGGTTTAAGGGTTTAAGGGTTTAGGGGTTTAGGGGTTTAAGGGCTTGGGGGTTTAGGGTCCTTAGGTTCCAGGGTTTAGGGTTTGAGGCCACAGTTTAGGGTTTTATAAGGCTTTGTTCTCCGGGGTAGCATTTCTCATTTTCCTCAGGTTCTGGGATGCATGCCCAAAACTTCGGGTTTTATCGTCGCCGGATTGAATTTGCAATTCTCCTTAGCTTCGAAGCTTTTGGGTTTAAGCTATAGGATTTAGGGATGAGAGTTTGGGGGTTGGAGGTTAGATAGTTCCCCAAACCCTAAACACTAATCGTCACTAACCCTGAGCAAAAGTTCACTTACAGGAATCACGAAATATCGAGGAGAGAACCTACACATATTGACCTGCCGATCAGCATGTGCAGTAATACCGTCGAAAATGTAGACCCCTGCCGATGAAATCCTCTACCTTAAAGCGGGCTTAGGGATCCTAATGTTAGGGCCCTTGTAGAAATGGGCCTCGTGCCTAAACGCCAATCCCTCACAACCAACACCCTGCTTCCTAAACCTTCGACCACCTCAACCCTGAACCCTGATCACTCCTAATCCCTGCTCCCTCAAGCCTGAACCTCACTTTCCAATCCCTAGCCTCTCAACCTTACTGCCTAAACCCTAATCGCCACTCCTTCAATCAATCCTGAACCCTTGATTTCCTCCCTCCCCCTCCTAGAAGGTACGCAAAAAACCTGTTTTGTGTAGATCCCTGCAGCAGAAACCAACAACCCCCAAACCCTAAACCCTAAACCCTAAACCCCTAAACCCTAAACCACCGCCAAACAAACAACAACAGCAGCCCAACGAGCCTTTGGAGTTTCTTTTTGCTTCGGGGCTGAGCACCGTAGCCCAAAAAAGGTTAACTCTTTCAATTCCCAGACCCCCTTTGGAGGATCCAAAAAGTAGATCCCTTCATGGGGGTTCCTAGAAAGTACCCTTAGCAAAGTAGTATAGAGCCCCGACTTAGGGGATCAACTTTCTAGATCCTCCCGGGGGTCTGGGTCATGGTACGGTTATCTACACCCCAAAAGGTTAAAGGTTGCCTGCTCGGCCACTAAGCTTCAGCTAAGGCAGATCCGAGGGACGGGAATCACCAGGTGGCCAGCTTCCGTCGGCACGATCCTTCACCAGACTGAAGAGCGCTGTATGTTCGGTTTAGGGCTTGTTGGTTTATGGGCTAGACCTCCGACACTTCTGAGATCCCAGAGCATAAGCTCTTGTACTATACTCTACTGTTTTGGGGGGCTTTTGGGCTCAATTCAAGTTTTAGGAGATGTAAGGTTGAGGGTTCGGGGTTTAGGGTTTAGGGTTGAGGGTTTAGGGTTTAGGGTTTAGGGCCTAGGGTTCTGCACACATGTTCTTCTGCACTGAAATCATTCACTGAGCACGGTCCCGCTTTCACGTTCACAAGTCCCGCTTGCAGAATATGCCGTCCAACTGAGATAGTACGTATAGGGGTCTTCCTAATGCGTAACGCTGTGTAAGGGGAATTAGTTTGTATAGGGTTTTTGGGTGACACAAAAGGAAAAGACTGAGTATCTAGTCCTACCCCATGATACTGTCTGTAATGAAGATTTTGGTCGGGCAAAGGGTGTTGTAAGTTCTCCAAACTATGATCTTCAACACACAATCCGCTTGACGCCTAACTATCTACCCCAAACCTCTACCCTAAACTAAACCCTTGTTCTCTATATCTTGAAGCCCGAAAACCGTCGACTCGCAACCCTCGACCCAAAACCCTCACGCCTTCTGCACGAACCCGAAGGCTAATGTAGTGCCCTTAACAATCAGAACAGGGTTCTGAGACATATGATATATTGCGCTCTAACTTCGTTATATGGAAGTTGTAGAAATTGTACTACAGGCTTTTCGACCGGTATATCCAAGCCCTCAACCCTAAACCCCAAAGCCCTAGACTTAAACCCCGAAACCACAACTCAAAACAGTTCCACCCTGCACTTTAAAGATCAGGCTCGGCATGCGTGAGAGCCGGGCCAAAGGCGAAGATGTGTCTGCAGAAATGATCAGCAGCAAGAGATGCAGCTGCTCGAGATCCTGGTCCTTCGTTTGGGTTTTAAGGTTCAGGGTTTTCCATATCCTGGTCGTTGGCTTAGGGTTTAGGGTTTATGGCTTAGGGGTTTCAGAGTTGTTTAAGCTCTCGGATTCGCTGCGTTGCGTTGTAAGCAGCCTTCAACCCTAAACGCTGAACCCTAACCCCCTAAACCCCGAAACAACCCCACGAAATCACGGGCAAAGTGGCTGAGAGAGGTTGGCTGGCCCGACGATGGAAGTGCACCAAGCAGTCCATGGCCACCTTGGTCGGCTTCTTCGGCTTAGGGGTTGAGGGTTTAGGGGTTTAGGGGTGTAGGGTTTAGGGGTTTAGGAGTTTTAGGGTTGAGGGATGTAGGGTTTAGGGGTTTAGGGGTTTAGGGGTTTAGGGTTATCGGTTTGGGGTTGGGGGTTTAGGCTTTGGGCTTTAGGTTTAAGGGTCTGGGGTTTGGGTTGTTCCAGCCTCCGTTAAGGCTTCCAGTGCAAAATTTGGCTAGGGGAGTTATAGAGTCGATGGGTTTTGCAACACTTTCCTTTGTGAACTCCGTTAAGGGCTCGCTTGACGATCTCTTCAAGGTTTCCTTTCAATACTCACCGGGTTTGGGGTTTTCTGTTGAGGGGACCCCTTCCACCTCCACCAAAGCCAAGTTTCTGCAAGTCATCATATGTTTCTGCTTCCTCATGAAGTCACGTTTTCGGGCTCCGCGAGTTCGGGAGTGTCTGCTACAGGGGCCTCGGTAAGTGGAATAGGGTTTTTCACAGAGTTGATAAGGGGCCCCTGTGGACGGGACCGCTGTGGGTTGCATTTGCCCAATGGGGCCCAATAGGGCCCAATGGGGCCTGATGGGGGCAAATGGGAAAGCCATTGGGCCCCATTAGGCCATTAGGCCCCACTAGGCCCCATTTGGCCCCATTGCGCCCCATTGGGCCCCATTGGACAAATGCAACCCACAGGGGTCCCGTCCACAGGGGTCCCTTATCAACCCTGTGAGTTTTTGCAAGCCGAAAGTGTAGGGTCGGAAGGCTTTGGAGCTTCAAGAACCCTTTCCCCTGAACCCCTACATCCCCTAACCCCTAAACTTAAACCCTAAACCCCTAAACCCCCTAACCCGTAAACCCCGAAGCCCCTAACCCTACCCCAGGACCCATAGCCAGCAACACACACACCCAGAACAACCCAAACCCAGAACAACCGGCGTAGGGTTTTGGAAAGCAGTGCTACAATCCGGACGTCTGACGTCCGAGTGCGTCCGAAACCTAAACACTTCATCAGCCAGATTCCCTAGCATAGCGGCCTGAACAATTAACCTTTCTATTTGGTCCTTACTATAATACTAGTATACTTGGCCCAAAACCCTATTCTAATTATTGAGGCCCCTATATAACACTCTCAACAGTAAGCCGACCGAAACCCTAAACCCTAAACCCTAAACCTTAAACCCTAAACCCTAAAACCTTAAACCCTAAACCCTAAACCCTCTAAACCCCTAAACCCTTAGACTGCCCGAGGCCCGAAGCCCTAAAGGAATCCACCTTGAAACCGAAGACCACTACTGCAGGGGCCTTCATAGTTAGAATAGGGTTTTGGGGCCCACTATACTATAACTATAAAAAGGAACTCGCACAATAGCATTGGTAATTATTTAGGCCCCGATACTAATGCCCGGAGCTCACCAACCATGCTGAAGTCCTCTGGCTATTCCAGGGTTGCCCACGTTGCTGTTCAGTGGTGGGATGCGCAGCGCATCACTAAGACGGCCGGAGATCACGTCCATCTCCATCTGAGCAGCTTAGGAGATTGGATGTAGCGTTCGGGTCATGTCCACCTGTGTTCGAAGCACGTAATATGCTAGTCTGACATATTGTAGATTCAGTGGACATGCATACAGAGCTCGTCTCAAAATCAGGCTCGAGGAATCTTGGACAAGTATTCGGGATCGGTAGAAGGCGGCCTAAATACCAGGTTCTCCGGTATCCCATTCAGATTACGGCTACCCTATCTCCGATCACACCGTTTTAGCTAGTAAGCTCACAAGTAAAGAAGGTACTACTACCGGGCCCAACCTTAGCAGGCAAAGTTGCTGGACTTGCTGGGGGCTTAGTGCATGGAGGGGGTTGGGTTGCAGGCACGAAGAGTTCCTGACTTCCACATTCAAGTATGATTCTGCATTGTAAGGTCTTATCATGTCGTCTTTCACGACACCGAATGGCTGCAAACTCAGTATTTCGATGGCACTGCCAGACTTGTCGCAGTAAAACTCCTTCGGTTTCCAGTAGAAGAAAGATGGGATCGGCAGGTCACAGAGCGTGGTCGCGAAGGACACAACAAACATCAAGCTGTTCCTGCTGCTGGTTGTCGACCTCCCGGATGAGGTACGACTCCATACCAGCTCGCTGAACTTGCTCTTTGCCTTTGGGAAGCTTCATGTTCCCGTGCCAGACCGATGCTGCTGGGCTAACGGGTCCGCAGCCGCTGATACCAAAGAGGCCCAGGTCCATCAGCTGATCTTTCTACCACGTGCAGCATCTAGGGATTTGGGGGTGTATGGCGTATGGTTTTAAGGTGTCCGACTTCTGTTCGGTTTCTGTAACGTCGTTTAGCCTGGGGAGGGTAAACCCCAAACTCTCAATCCGAAAGCCCCCAAACCCTAACCCATAAACTCTAAACCCCTAAACTCCTAAACCCTAAGCCCTAAACCCTAAACCCGAAACCTTAAATCCGAAATCCCCCCCAACCCGAAAAAAACCCTAAACACCCTAAGCCCCAGACACTAAACCCGAAACCCCCCAAAACCAAAACCCCTACACTCCAAACCCGAAACCACCCGAACCCTAAACACTAACCCCCAAAGCTTGACCTCGGAGCCCCCTTAAAGCACCCAAACACAAACTTGCTCAGCTACTGTGGGGCTCAAAGTTTTGGGTTTAGGGGTTCAGGGTTCACGGGTTTAGGGTTCAGCGGTCCGGATTTAGGGATTTGGGTTTAAGGTTTCGGGATGTTAAGGGCCCTGGGGAGCAGCAGCGTACCGACCGGTGAGACGATGCGTTTATAAGGCTTGCCGGCCCCTGACACTGCGCCGCTCTTGTTTCTATTAAACATTTACCCAAAGGCCCCAAAGTAGTTCCTTTTTGGGGTTCGTATATAGAACCCTATAAGGTAAGCCCAAAAAGGAACTACTTTGGGGCCTCTGGGTAATTTACATACTACACTGGAACTAAAACTCTTCTGTTCCGAGAAGGCCTAGGCTAAACTCTAAACTGCATTGACGTCCCGAGGATTCTCGGGGTGTCGAGTATGCCACACTAAGCCTAAAACGGACGGTTTAGGGTTTAGGGTTTGTTTAAGGCCCTAAAAGAAGAGCCCCAAAGAAAGTCAGAAGTTCAGGTGTTAAGATAATTGCTATGTCCCAAACAGACTCGGAACCGCGTAGAAGCCCAGTTACCCAAGACCCTGTCTTCTTCAACAACCGGGCCCCAAACAGTTCAAACTTTCTAAGATAGAGCTAATATATAAGGCAAAGAAACCTAAAATCCTCCCATTCGCTATCCAAAGACCTGAGATCCTTAGACCCTGAACCCTATCTCCATACACCCGAAACCCATAGACCAGAAACCCAAACTCCGTAAAGTCTAAACCCGTACAGCCGACGTCCATAGATCCTAAACCCAACCTCTCTAAAGTCCTGAACCCTCGAAGCCCATAAGCCCATAAACCCAAAGCCCTCAACCCCTGAACCCTAAACCTAAACCCATAAGCACCAAAACCCGCAAGCACCATAAACCCTAAACCCCTAAACCCTTCAACCTCTACACCCTTACACCCCAAACCCTAGTCCCCAAAACTAAGCCCTGATGTCCGAGCTGCAAAGTAACCAGCAGCGTTCAGAAGCGGCTCCAGCATCCCGGTTTTGTCGGCCCACTCGGTTGGCACCTGCAACTGGGTTTAGGGTTTACTTTACCCTAAGGGTGAAAAGGATTTAGCGCGAAATAAACCCTGAACCCCATAAACCCTAAATCCCTAACCCTAAAACCCAAACATCCTAAACCCTAAACCCGAAAAAACCCTAAAAGCCCTAAAACCCTGAGCCCTAAAACCCCAACCCTAAAATCCAAAAACCCTAAAAGCCCTAAAAACCCTAAAAGCCCTAAAACCCTAAAAGCCCTAAAACCCTGAGCCCTAAAACCCCAACCCTAAAATCCAAAAACACTAAAAGCCCTAAAAGCCCTAAAAACCCTAAAAGCCCTAAAACCCTAAAAGCCCTAAAACCCCCAAAAATCCTAAAGCAAAGGAGCCCCTCTCTGACGACTGACTTGCGGGGAGCCTCTGGCATGAAGCCGCGCACGGCCTCGCCAGGGCGGACAAGGACCAGCCTGCGAGTAACTAGGGTCTTAGGGCCTTAGGGCCTGGAGTTTAGGGATGAAGGCTTTATAGGGTTTAGGGCTTTATAGGGTCTTAGGGTTCTAGGGATTAGGGCACTAGGGCTTTATAGGGTTTAGGGCTTTAGGGCTTCGTAGGGTCTTCGGGATTCTAACATGGGACTTAGTAAGGGTTCTTAAAGGGCTCCTTAAAGGGATCTATAGGGTTCCTCAAAGGGATCTATAGGGATTAGGGTTTAGGGTCTACTTGGAGGATCATGGGACTTAGTAAGTAGGTTATAAGCGGGGTTATAAGTCCCCTAAGTGGGGCTATCCTAAGTATAATCTACTTATAACCTTATTTACTAAGTCCCATGAGCCTTCAAGTAGGGTCTTAGGGCCTTAGGGCCTAGAGTTTAGGGATTAGGGCTTCATAGGGTTTAGGGTTTAGGGTTTTGAAGGATTAGGGCTGTAGGGCTTTGTAGGGATTGGGGCTTTAGGGTTTAATCTGTGAGTTTTATTCATGGATGAGCTTGGCTCGCCATTCCCTCACTTACCTGTAGGTTAATCTTTGGGATTGTATATGGGTTGTAGTACCCCAAACAGGTTCAAGGTCACCACCTACCACTCACCTGGAAGGTAAGCAAAAAAGTGCAGTAGGTGGTCGTCAACTGATCTCTTTTTTAGTCCCTGTTTGCGGCTTTAAGGTCTGGGGTTTCGGGTTTACTGTTCCAGAAACTTGGCAATTCCAGTTTGCGAATGGACGTTAATTTCTGCTCAGGGTCTTTCCGCTATCCAAGGTATATTGCCGAATTAAAAGCTTTTTGGAGTCCTTGTAGAGTTGCCAAAACTGTAGCCACTACGACGTCCCACATTCCAGATTCCAGGAGTTCTGTTGCCACGATCTGCCACTCCTCAGGGTTCAAGGTTTAGGCTGCCGCGGCAAAACGCAGTTTGACCAAGGGTCTACATTGCCTTAAGTTAGGTAGAAACCTAAGTCCTAACCCAAACACCTGCAAACCCTCAACCCCAAACCCCAAAAATCTAAAAGCCCTAAACCCTAAGCTAAACCTGAGAACGTAGGTGAGCCTCGCTGTTTCCTCGGACGTCTGGGCTGCACGGGCCAGCACGAAGGAGACGTGGCGCAGCTCCTTGTGTTTAGGGATTTAGGGGGCTTGGGGTTTAGGGTTCAAGGTTTAGGATTTGGGGTTAGGGTTTAGGGTCTAGGGATTGGGTTTAGGGTTTAAGGTTTAGGGTTTAAGGTTTAGGGTTCGCAAAAGCTTTGTTTGAATGTAGTTTGTGGTTCTTAGAGGGTTTTAAGAAAAGACCCAGACACTTGGACTACAGTAACACAAGTACGTAATCTAGTTAGTTTCTCAAGGACTAGAAAAGAGACATCATAATAAGAAGCCCTACACGGTACATTTATTGGGCTTCAGGTCAGGCTTATGGGAACCCGATACCCGTAGTACCCCAAAGCCCAAGAGCCGACCTACACCCCTAAATTTCTCTCCTCTTCAATAAACAGGCCCAAAAAAAACCTTTAAGCTTTCTGAGACATCTAAAAAACTGAATGGAGAAGGCCCCCAAGGTTCGAGCGCGACCATTGGCGATCCAATTTTATTCAAGCTATGGCTGCCTGTATTATGATTGCTGGGTTGCTTCTGCAGTCGCAATCAGCGCATGAGTACCCGGAAGTCTAGGATTTGGTTCAACTGAGAATCTCCGCTTCTCTTATACTGTGAGCAAAAAGTCACCTATGTTGGGAGGTCAGACGGTCAGCCTCAACAAGGAGGAGCAGAATCAAACAAACAAACCAAACACCGTACCCCAAAGCCTAAACCCTAAACCCCATTAATACGGCTGATGGACAAAATCCTGCATTACCCATTATAAGGAATATACCATAGTTCCCATAGCTTAGAGTCCTTGGGGTCATGCAGGATTTTGTCCATTAGCAGTAGTGAGTGGAGTACAGCTGAACCTCCAAGAAATGCGCACGGCAAGCGGTCGCCTCCCCTCCTCGAAAGAAAGTGCCTAGAAGACCCTCCCAAACCCAGAACATCCAAGCCCAACAAAGCCGTCTAGCAAGTCATAAACATCCCTATTTGGAGGATCATGGGACTTAGTAACTATAGATATAAGCCCCTTAATTGGGGTTATAAGTAATTATAAGTATAGTCACCCCTTTAATAACCCTATAGTTGCTAAGTCCCATGATCCTTGAAGTAACACCCTTCAAATCTTCTAAACCTCTGGAAGCCCCATAAATTCTTACGAGCCCTAGCAATAAAACCCTGATGGAAACACTGAGCCCTGAACCATAAACCGAACCTCTGAGAAAACAAGGTGCGCAAGAAGCCTGTCAGCCGCACAAAACCGCAAGACCCTTCTCAACGCCTAAAGAACCCTCAGTAATGTAAAACCCTAAACCCTAAACCCTAAACCGAAGTTGAACCCCCAGGACCGAAACCCCAACCGCTTTAGAGCAAGTCCTGGAGGATTGCAAAAGGCGTCGGCGCGAAGAAGTCCACAGCATCTCCAGGAACGGGCACCACCTGAGGCGCTCTTCAAGTCAGGGGTTTAGGATATAAGTTGTTAAGAAGTTTCGGGTTCAAGTTTTTACGAGTCTAGGGTTTAAGCTTTTGAGGGCTTAGGGTTTAAGCTTTTGAGGGTTTAGGGTTTAAGTGTTTGGGAGTTTGGGGTATCGGGTGGCTTAGGTGTTTTTTTGCTACGGTGGTGCTGCTTTGCGAGTCGGCCAGAATATATCAGGGTCTGTGGCGCCTGGGTTCGTAACTTCAATGATTTGAATTAAGAATTCCCTTATGTAGCGGCCCTACAATGTGGGTTCCCTCAGGTTCTTTGCTTGCATGCCTGGAGGTTCGCTCTCCGGTGCAGGGGCTGGAGGCGTTGAAGCGAAACACATATTTGGAGAACCACTGTAAAGGATACCCTGACCCCAAACAAACAAAAGACGCAACAATAAACCCTAAACCCTAACTCTTGCAGCACCCTACCAGCCGGTCAACACCCAACTTTAACTGATAGCTCCCATCGCCCCTAAACCTAAACCCCAAGCCCCAAACGCAAAACCCACAACCCTAAACAAAACCCCAAGAAACCCTAAACCCTAAACCCTAAACCCACAACCCTAAACAAAACCCCAAGAAACCCTAAACCCTAAACCCTAAACCCACAACCCTAAACAAAACCCCAAGAAACCCTAAACCCTAAACCCTAAACCCACAACCCTAAACAAAACCCCAAGAAACCCTAAACCCTAAACCCCTAAACCCCTAAACCCCTAAAACCCTAAACCGCAAGTCCCTAAACCCCAAGTCCCTAAACCCTAAGGCCCCAAACCCAAAACCCCGTTTAGGATTTAGGGTTTAGGGTTTACACCGCCGAACCCCAGAGCGAATCCCGGCTGGCCTCATAGAGTTGGGACAGCTCCTGGGTAGACTGGATGGATTTAAGTCACTGGCCCGAAACCCAAGGAAAAAAAGTTGAAGCTTTCAGAATCGACTACCTTATAAAAACCCCAAAAGTTGAAAAGTTGAGTTTACGGCCAATAAGTTAAGGGTACTGGAGAAGGTGAGGTGGGCTGAGGTGGGGAGGGAAAGAGGATGATGAGCTGGGAGGCTTTGAATGAACTCCCTGCTTGAGCACGGGTTACGGTAACATAGAGGCCTTCATAATTTACCAGTGTTTGAGGGTATGTTATGGTATAGTTAGTTCATTATTTACGAAACCTTAAGGGATAGTAATACTAGTTATTCCGACTGCGATTGTAGAAGGGCTGACGAGTCGAAAGCTGCAGCTGGACAGCGCGGGTGTTCAGGCAGCGGCGAACTCGCAAGACGTAAAGCTTGAGAGTCTGCCTAATTGACCCTCCGTAGATTAGTCCTCAACATAGCATCGAGTTGTGTCTTAGTTGGCTTTCCTCGACCTCGAAAAAACTGCTTCCAGTACGGCCTTTCAAGTGTCTAGGTTTGGGTTTAGTTTTCGGGTCTTGAAAGGAGTGCTTCAAACCCTGACCCTAAACCCTTGACAACCCTAAACTCGGCCTTTAGCCTTACTATACTGAACTTAGACCCCTAGCAAAAGTTGTAGTTTTTGCTGTTTCTTAGGGATTATAGGGACCAAAGATTCAAACATATTTCTAAGTACCCCTAAGCTTTAGGGCTTAAGATTTTTTGGGTGGGATATTGAAACAGAAAAACTACTTGGCCGCGGCTCCCGCTGCAACGTCTCCAAGTTGGAGGGGTCCGGAGCCTCGCCAGGGGCCTCCCGGAGAGCAGGCCAAAAGGAAATCAAAATACCTTAGAAGCTGCCCCCACCCTGTAATAGTGACTATAAGGATTATATTGGGGCCCTATTATATTCCTATTCTACCACTATTACAGGGTGGAGGCCCCTTCTAAATTATAGGGGCCTTAATAATTAGAGCAAGGTTGTGGTGCCCACTATACCATAACTATAAGGAACCCCCCAAAAGAGTATTAGCAATTGTTCAGGCCCTCATATGAGAGTGCTTTAGGGTTTAGGGTTTAGGGGTTAGGGCTTACAATGTAGGTATCAATGAATGTATGAATGTATGAATGTGCGTCACGAATGTTATACCTGTATGCCTGTATGTTAGTCAGTCTGTCTGTATGTATGGATGTACGCGTATATGCATGCAAACACTGCTGGAAACAAGGTCACGAAAACGACAAAGCCGGCTGAGACTCCTGACCGAGTTCAAACCCCTAAAAGGTGGACAGAAGTTCTTATCACATCACTTATCAAACCAATAGAAGCATCCACAAACCACCAAAAACCAACAACAAAACAACACCACAACCCGAAGCAAACAACAACCAACAAAAACACCAAGAAGCAAGCACGACAAAACCTCAAAAAAGAAGCTTAAAGATAGGAAAGAGCCGCCAGCCCTGAAACCCAAAACTTAAAGAACACAAGCACTGAACCCTGAACCCTAAACGCCTGAACTTGAACCCTAAAAGCCCTCAATCCAAGACCTCTAAACCCTAAATCCTAAACCCTACACTCTAGACCCCTGAACCCTAAACCCCCAAAAAAAGCAAAATCTCAGGAGCCGCCTCGGAAGCCAGAAGAAGAGAATCCCTGGAGTCGAAGACGCGCGTGCCCAGGCGCGCGATCATCTCGGAGAGCATGGCCTCTGGGAATTACCTATAGGGTTTAGGGTTTAGGATTTGGGGGAGTCAAATTACATTCCTTAAATCATATTAGGGATCCTACTATAATTTAAAGTATATTCCTTAATTAAGGGATATTGGAGTCTCTGGGTAAGGACCGACGGCTTTGGGGTGGGTTTTTTGGTCTCAGAGGTTTAGGGTTTAGGGTTTTAGGGTTTTTGGGTTTATGGTTTTAGGGTTTAGGGTTTTAGGGTTTTTGGGTTTAGGGTTTTAGGGTTTAGGGTTTTAGGGTTTAGGATTTTAGGGTTTAGGGTTTTAGGGTTTAGGGCTGGCATTGTTGTAGTAGAAGCCAGAAAGTCGGAACATCATCAGCCTCATGCGCTTAAAGTAAAGCATACGGAATCCCAGCATGAATCATCCTAAACTCATGTTCCAAGTTTCTGGGGTTCACTATACGGGCATAGGGGATTTGGGGTCTCAGAGGTTAGGGGTTTAGGGTTTCGGGGGTTTGTAGGGCTTGACGGAGGTTCAGAGGTGTTTTGTGTGCTTTCTGTTAAAGTTTAGTCCTTAGGGTTCAAAGTCAAGGTCGGAGATTGGTTGCTTGCAGGATTCCTTAACGGGCTCCTTTAAAGGTTTTTGGCGTGAAAGGCTTTGTGTTTTGGCTTCTCACATTCTAGGGTGCTTAGAAGGTTTTGCACCGGCTGCTTGTGGGGTGGTGCTATGCCCTTACGGCTTGCTTAGAAGGCTTTTCAAGCTGTCGTAAGTCTTCGTGGGCTTTTTGAATCCTATTAAACTTTATGCTGTTTTGTTGGGTCTTGTAAGGCGACACAAGGGTTTGTATTGAGATTTTATGGTGTCGGGCTTGTTGGGTGTTGGGGGGGCTTTTCAAGGCTCCGGAAGCAAGGCTCAGGCCTTGCATTTGTCTTTAGGAAGTGATGCTGTCTTCAGGGGTTCGATGAAAGGTTTGGGAATTTGTGGCGATGTGTTTCTTGTGGCTCGATGTGCTAACTATACTCCCCTTAGAACCACAATAAAAATGATATTCTTGATATTATCTTTTTCTTGGGTTTTATATGAACAGAAGTAGAAAAATAGTTCCTAAGGAAACGATAGTTAAGGTTTGGAGCTCAGGGCTCCGGGTTTAGTGTACTGGTTTGGGATGTCTAAGCGGCTGAGTTCATAAGCCCCCAAAAAGTGTACACTTTCAGTTTTACAGTGGGTAATGTTATCCCAGAAAGTGTAAAGTGTATCCACTCAGCTACTAAGTTGAACTGCGTCGCAGACCTTCGCATGAGCGCTCGTATGCTTGACCCTGGAAACAGAATACACATATGGCCATGGCATGGCTCTATGCATTCGGTACTGGATTGTGGGGTTTTGGGAGGGTGTGGCCGGGTTTGCTTCAGAGGTTGCGTCAACTTCAAAAATCATCCAGGATCCCTCGCCAATAAACCTCTACTCTGGCACCCCAAACCCTCAGCCCAATCGAGGACAGCACTGGAACATCAGGCTGAACAAGTTTAGGGTCTAGGGGTTTAAGGGATAAGGGCTTGAGCTTATTTCGACTTTGAGGCATTCCCAAAGCCCTAAAGCGCAAGCCTACAGACCTTTTGCTCAGAGGGTCCACTGCCCGAAAAGATGCAACAAGGGCTTGCGGCTTAGAGGCCCAAATTTGGTTCATGTAGAGGAATTAGTGATTAAAGTAGCGTTTGGGGGTAACTTTTTTAATTAGTATGACTAGAGATCCCGACCCATATAGGCCCTATAGTAAAGTCTCGAATCTTAAACTGCAAAAGCCTGTAGCCGCAACTCTAAAGCCGGAAATACCCCAACACGGGTTCCACCAGAACAATCGCGTCCTATTCTTCTAAGCCCCCCCAAAACCAGGCAAATACCTTCTCAAGACTCATCGGTTCACATGCTGCCTGATACACTTCGAACGAAGGGTTGCTTTGTTTTTGTTTGGGGGGGATGGCGGAGGTAGGGACTTAAACTTTCAGGGTTTCGGCTCGTAAGGTCTTTGCCTTGGGCCTGAGGCCTGGATGCCCAAACCTTAATCTTGAATTGAAGCCCTAAACCCTAAACCTAAACCCTAAATCCTGAAACCTAAACCCTAGACCTAAACCCTAAAACCTAAAGCTTGCCACCGCATACTCGCCCCGGAATTCCAATCAATCTTCAACCCCTTATTCCGAAACCCCCGCCGCGCCTGGATTGCAGTGGCAAATGCCCCTGGCAGTTCGTCACGAATGGTCTGGTTGAAGGGATCGTTCTCCACGATGGCCTCTCGCAGTTTCTGGCTCAATTAATGGCATCTCCCGTAAAGTCTTTCGTGCTTCTGATTGTCTAGGATACCCAGTAACCTAGGAATAAAAAGGCCTCTCTTGTTGGTACTGGGTAACTTTATAAGGAACCTAGGACTACAAAAAGGGAATAAGGGTACTACTGGGCATCCTAGTTGTGAATTCAGGAATACTCCTTAGCTAACGGCCGCTGCGGCTCTCTGGGAAATCACCGGGCTCCGGATGGCTTTCTCCAGGCCTTGCTTAAAGGATCATGGGACTTAGTAACTAGGGTTATTATTGGGGTAACTATACTTACAGTTACTTATAACCCCAATTAAGGCACTTCTAACTAGAGTTAAGTCCCATGATCCTCCAAGTGCAATCTGTCTTACACCAAACAGATTTGAATCCCGGTTTCTCCTCACAGTCAGGCAACTAGGATCCCCTTATCTTCTGGTGCCAGCGCAGTTACGGTCTTGACATGTTTAGAGCTTGGTGTTTTGATGCGCGATATCTCGCGGCGCCATCGTGAGTCTGCATCTGGAAGGGCTAAATTCTGTGGTTACTTCAATCATAGAGACCCTGAGGGGGGTAAGGGGAAGGGGCTAGGGGGCCGAAAAAGCCCGCAAAAACGGACTTGATAAGGGTCCAAGCCCCCGCCCCTACCCCTCCAACGAGGGTCCCTATGATTCAACCAGTCAAGCCCTCTGGGAGAACTACGCCACCTCGGCCATCAGCGACCTCACCGCCGTGACGGAGCCGACGGTCATGATCATTTCTTTCCAAGGGTGAAAGGAGGGACCCTTAATAAGGACCCCTCTAGGTATATACCCTTAATATAGCTATTCTATACCCATTATATACCAAGGTATATACCCTTAATATATATATATATATATACATATATATATAGCTATTATATACCCATTGTATAGCCCCATTATAGGGTAGGGGTCCCCATTAAGGCTCCCTCCTCCGTTTCCCCTTTGATTGTAGTATATATATATATATAGAGAGAGAGAGAGAGAGAGAGAGAGAGAGAGAGAGAGAGAGGGAGAGAGAGGGAGAGAGGGAGAGAGAGAGAGAGATTAAGGGTTTAGGGTTTAGGGGTTGAGGGGTTTAGGGGTTTAGGGTTTAGGGTTCAACTCTGAACCCTATACCAAAAACCCTGCAACTTAAACACTAAACTTACACCCTCGCCCATACCTTAGGGCCTAATCCGAAACACTAGACGTGAGCTGCACTCCGAACCTTAAACTTTGGAACAAACTTGAAGTGGATCTGAGAGCCTGCAACCCAGACCCCTGAACCCTCAACCCTGCACTAAACCCTCAAGGGTTTAGGAGGCTTGGAGTTCAGGGATCAGGAGTTTAGGAGTTAAGGGTTTAGGGGTCGAGGGTTTAAGGCTTTGCAGGGCTTAGCAGGTTTAGGGTGCAGGGGGCTTCGGGTTTCGCCGGCCTCGCGAGAGGAAGGCACCACCCAGTCTGCGTGGATGATGAAGCCTGGACTAAGCTATCAGGGCCTGGGGTTTGGGGCTTGACGGCATGGGGTCTAGGCGCCACGGGTCGTTTGTTCGTAGATTTTGTTCCCTGCTAATCGTACACGGGGCTTTAAAACTCGAATAGGATTTTGGGCTTTGAAACTGGATTTTGGGTGCTTTTACTATAAAGCCCCTATAAAGTGCAAAAAGCCACCCGCAAACATGCTAGAGCTTCTTTACAGCCCTATCCAAACCGTACAACTCCTGTCAAAAACCTATAAAGCTGTATCAGTCTGAAAATACCCAATACAATCCATGTAATCATGTGCGGAAATATCTCCGCAGGTGCTGAGTGGCGGAAGCCATAGGAGCGCAGCGGCAGCCAAGCAAAGGCTTGTTGAAGCTCCGGCCTCCTGTGACAGTGTGCTTAACTGTTTTCTTCAACAACCGGGCCCCAAAAAGTTGTAACTTTCTATTTTAGACAGAGGTTTAAAGTTCTCCCACTCGCTATGTAAGACTGAAGTTTAGGAAAAAAACGTTCAGGGGTTAGGGCTCAGGGTTTTAGGATGGGCGGGGGCCTTAATAATTAGAACAGGGGTTGAGGGTATTTAAAACTATAGCTATGTATAAGGAGCCCCCCAAAAACAGTATTGGTGATTATTTAAGCTTCTTTCTACTTTACTTAAAGTTTAGGGGTTGAGGGTTTTGGAGCTGAAGTTTAGGATTCTTAAACGTTTGAGGTCAGGGTTTTTGGATTCAGGTCTAGGGCTTTGGCTTCCTAAACCCTAAACTCTCGGATTAAGGTTCCGAGATTTAGATATCAGGATGTAGGGTTAGGCTCAGGGTTTGGGGTGAAGCTAGAGCCACCCTGGCACGACGTCTTGACGGCTTTGGGGCTTAAGTGAAGAGGTGTAGGATTTCCCTAGCACTGCCCGGAAGGCCTTACTCAGCTACCCAGAGAGCCCAATACCCCTTAATTAAGGAATACTCCTTAAATCATATTAAGGATCCGACTATAGTTTAAGCTATATTCCTCAATCAAGGAGCATTGGGCTCTCTGGGTAGCAGCTATGCTCTGAAGCCCTACGAACCAGAATCCTGGACCCAGAAACTCGAGGTACAAAAGTCCAAGCTCTGAACCTAAAACCTCCCAGCCCTACTGATTAAGACACGTTGGGTCGTTACTAGGGCTCCTTATATGAGTCCTACTATTTTGGGGTTATAGGCCCAGGGTTTCTTAATCAGGTTCCTACATTACAAGCCTCCATCGTGAACCTGTTTTGGAACCAAAACACTCCACCCCTCGGAACGTTGATCTTGTGGAGATCCCGACACAAGTTACCAAAGACCAACTAGCAAGAAAGTAAACCAAGCACCTAAGAGCCGTACAGACAACCCTTGTAAACAACCTGCAAACAACTGCAAAAGCCCTATCAGGCAACCACAAAACGCGAACTCTGTTATGGAGCCTTTTGCAGCCTTCTAAAGCCCTGTTCGACGGCTCTAAACCTTGATCTCTATCAGCAACCCGAAACCCTACACCCTAACCCCGTTCAACAACCCAAGATCCTGTTCAGAAACTCGTTGGCTCTAAACCCTAAGCTCTATCAACCACCCGAAACCCTAACCCCATTCAGCAACCCAAGACCCTGTTCAGAAACTCGCTCCCCTGACGTCTCAACGCCTGCCGCTCTTCTCTGCCAGCGGACCCGGTCCGGTGCCGAGATCCTGGGCTTTAGGATCCGAGGATGTGGTGTCTTAACTACGGTTGATGGTCTAAATCCTGCATTACCTTAAGGACCCTGGACTATGGGAATTGTGGTATGTTGCTTATTATGGGTAATGCAGGATTTGTATCATCAATTGTAGGATGCCCAGTAACCTAGGAAATAAAAAGGGCTCCCTTTTTGGTAGTGGGTAACTTTAACTATAAAGAACCTAGGACTACAAAAAGGGAATAAGGGTACTACTGGGCATCCTAGTTAAGGGTTTGAGGGCTCTAGGTTTTTGTGGCTTGTAGGCCTTGGGGATTTTGCGGCCCTGAACTTTCCAAGGGCTTTCATTCATAGGAGGTTTGCAGGGTGTTGTTTGCTAACTATGAGAGGGGCTTCTTGGCCCGTTACGTTTTCTTTCGCTTTGAGGATTTAGGGCTTCAGGGTTTTCCGGGGTTTTATGGATTCCTTTCCGGGCTTCGTTGAGCATTCTTTCTATGATTGCTTTACGGCTGTGCGCTTTGGGCATATATAGCATGCTGTCCGAAACCCTAAACCCTAAATCACAGCTAGGCCCAGAATCGTCGAGGCGGAAAGCCAGCTTCAGCTCAGTCTGTATGACCTCAAAAGACATGAATGAAGTAGGTTTAGATTCGGGATCTTGCAATTTTTGTGAGTGTATCCAGGACCCTTCCGTTTGAACCAATGCGAGGGTACGTTTGGGGTGTTGTTGTTGCTGGGAGGATACTCGTACTTAAACCACTATTTCGCGGCTTGGGCTTCAGTTCCTCCTGTTGTTGTCTTAGAAACGTCTATACTGAACTTAGAACCCTAGCACAAATTAAAAATTTTAGCTGCTTCTTAGGGATAATAATGCTGCTTCTTAGGGATTATAATAACCAAAAATTAAAGAATATTTCTAAGTACCCCTAAGACGTCTTACGGTGTCGACGTGACTCATGGAAAACGACATAGGAAGTTACAGGTACGTTGAAGAAATTTGGCTTTTGTGCTAAACTCTTCGCGGGCAGGGACTACAAGAGGAACAGGCCATTGTCTGCAAAAGAATCCGCATCATTTTGTGCTCAAGGGCACCCGATAATGTAGCAACCCAAAATGCATTCCACATTGCGGTGAAGCATTGTCTCTCCTCCCTCCGACAGCATGTACGGCAAAATAATCCCCTAGCCTAAACCATGAGCTCTAAGCTATCAGCCCCTAAAACCCGAAACCCCTGAACCCCTAAACCCTTATAGAACCCTTAAAGGAACCCTAAACCCCTATAGATCCCTTTAAAGGAACCCCTAAACCCCTATAGATCCCTTTAAAGAAACCCCCAACCCCTTATAGATCCCTTTAAAGGAACCCTAAACTCCAAATCCTAAACAGCCATCAATGCCTTCCGCCAAGCGACAGACTCCGAGGAATTCACGTTGATCCTGCGGGCCCGCCGGTAGGGCTCTGTGCTTAGAGGTTTAGGCGTTTAGGGTGGAGGGGTTTAGAGGGTTAGGGGTTTAGAGGTTTAGGGTTTTAGGGCTGAGGGGCTTAGAGGTTTAGGGTTGAATAATCTGGAAAACTGAATATTGAACCCGAAACCCAGAACCCTGGCAGTATTGGGCTTTCGTTGCAAAGCCCACACCCTCATGAACCTCAGCATGCCTGCGTGAAACCCAGGGTTCAAGACTCGTAAACCCCTCAACTCTCGCAACACGCAGGGGGTATGGGGCTTAGGGGTTCAGTTTAGGGTACAGGGTTCAAGGCTTTAGGGCGTCAACATAGAGCTTTCGGTCCCTTGCCGTCCTGTGAGTGTGCATTCTCCACTGCTCCAGCTTCCTCACCTCCCAAGCGGCGCAAGACAGAAGACAAAGCCCTGAAGCCCTAAACCGTAAAGCCAACAACTCGGGCTTCGGCGTGTAGGATCCATGATCTGGCCCTTAAAGCCTAAACCCCATAAAAGCCCAAAATCCTTAAACACCACAGCCGAGACGATCTTGTCTTACCCTCAACCCGACACCCCAAAACCCTTAAACTAACCAAAGCCAGGCGTAACGCAAACTCCACCGACCGTGGGCCGAAGAAGTTGATTTCTCTCAGTTTTGGAGCAATTTGCCGCTAGGGATTGCTATATAAGGGTTAGTATAGGGGCCGTACTAATTTGAATATGGTTTTGGGGAGTAGTATCAGATTAGAGACCGTAAGGGGCTAACATCATTTGGAAGCCCTGAAACCTCATCTCGGAGACCCTAACATAATTAGAAGAGCGTTTTGGGTGATATTCTCGTCTCATGATATGGGGATCTATACTGAACTTAGAACCCTAGCAAAAAATGCAATTTTAGCTGTTCCTTAGGGGTCATAATAACCAAAAAATAAAAAATATTTCTAAGTACCCCTAAGGGAACAACATCAGATACCAGTCCTGAACCTGTTAACCCGGACCCCCAACCTGTGCTATTCTTTAGGGTTTAGGGTTTCCAACTCTGGGCCACTGGCCCCTAAAAGACAAATCCACTAGCCCGGCAGAATAGGCACGGTGCATGCCGATACTCCGGTTTAGGGCTAACCGCAAACCCTCAACCGTTTGGGTTCGTCAAGACTTGGCCGACTTCTGAACCCCTCCCTAAAAGTTAAACTTTGAGCCTCCCTATTATAATTCATATAGAAACCCAAAAAGTTAAAGTCTAAAGAGCCAACCAGAAGAACGCCAAGGTTTGGGTTCATCAAGAAGCTCGCAACATCCGAAGCCTCCACCCTGAAAGACCCGAGTCATGGGGTCTAAACCACCAGATCGGCTCTATGGTCTTTTCCTACTATTTGCCTAAGAACCCCAAAAAATAAAAAATGTATTCCTTATAGGGATAATATATGGGTTATATATATTTTTTTTTGGGGGGGGGTTCTCAAGCAAATAGTAGTTTCATAAGGACCCATAATCAGGACTCAGAAAGCATTTAAGGAAGCACAGTCCCCCACCCCCCCCCCCCCCAGAACCGGGTGTAGTATGCCAGAATCCTGTGCAGACACAATCCAGGGTTCGGGTTCAGGGTTTGACACTTCGGGGGTTCAGGGGCTCGGGTTCCAGGTGCAGAGTTCCGGATTCCTTAGGGGTACATCGTATAAGGATTCCGTATTGGTTGAAACGAGGGGTTCAGAGGTTAGGATGTAATTAGATTCTGTTTGGGTTTAGGGGTTTCGGGGTGACGAGGAGTTGTAAAGGGTAGTGTCTTACTCTTACTCCTCGCTGAGGCTGCTGTGCAGCCTCAGCCCCACAAAGTTTTGATTGCTGAAGTGGACACACGCAGCAATTATCAACACGTGGGCGACTAAAACTTGTTGCGAATTGTCTTGGAGGACAGCCGGAAAACAACGAATATTCTAAAGACTGGATCGCATGGTTGCGGATCATAAACGTGAAGTTGTCCCTTCGAGTCAAGCCCCGACCGTGCGATTGATACAAACCTGAGATGGCTAGGACCTCGTCGCTTCCGGCGGGCTGGCTGGCTGTGGTACGAAGTGTCCTCAGCTTCTCAGCTAGCGACATGGAGAAACATGGGCATTGCTCTTCCCCCAGGTTTGCAAGCTGACTAGGCCCGGGACCTTACACCCTTAACTTGAAGGGACAGGGCTGAGGGCTTGTCGTTTCTGTTGCCGTTCTCTTCTATGCCTCCGGCTCCTACATTGAGCGGCACGGGGCGAAGCCAGACTTGGGCCCCCCAAAAGCATTGACCACCATGAAACGACGGCTCCACACCATGAAAATTCAAATTCTGCGTCCGCACAATGGTTTCAAGCTGTCTTTTGAAGGGTGGCTTTGCTTGCGCGAAGGCGGGCCTTGGGGGCACCAGGAATCCGCCAAGCTTCACCGTAGTGTTGGCAATCTCCTTGGTCATGTGCTTTCGCAGCCCTGCAGACGAGTCGACCACTTCGATCGTGCACAGATTCCTGAGTTGGGCAGTGCCAACAGCACCAAGAATGAACACATGCTGCTGACAGACAGTTTCTGTAAAGAAGCAACATCCCCCAAACCCCACAAACCCTAAACCTCCCTCAGAACGAAAATGTCAAAGCAACTTAACCCTGTAAAGAAACAATGTAGTTCAAGCCAAGTCCCAAATCCTCTGAAACTGGCTCTATAACGGATCAGGTTCCACACCGACGAAACCCTAAACCCTAAACCCTTCTTCAAGTGTACGACGGAGCCCATACACCCATAAGATGCAGAAGCATGGAATAGGGTTGTATTAGAATAGAACCGTTACAATTGAAACAAACTCAGGAAGCACCGAGATTCCGCAGGAAGAGGAGCAGCGTTGGCTGAATGTCCTCGAGAACCTTAGCTGGTTCAGATGTATGTCAAGCATACTTGACGATTCATGGATAGCGGTACGAGGCTCAGACAGGCTGTACTACGCGTTACAAGGGGCCTCTACGGGCTATGATCAAGTTGGATTATCAACAGCAGTGTTTTTGGCCTGTTGAGTCGTGGTTTGTAACCTGACCTCGGGTATTGTGAAAATTATGGCCCCTGTTTGGATCCCTAATATAGTACGGCACCTGATATTTAGGGTACCCTAAAGGGGACCCTAATTTTGACAACCACCCATATGTACCCACGGATGAAAGTCTGGGAGCATGCGTCCTCACCTCCGCGACTCGCGTAGCTTCCTTCAGAGGCAGCACCACGCGGGTCCTCCGGGAGAAGTTTTTCATGTTTTTGGTTTTCGGGGTTTTAGACTATACCCCCCTTAGAACCATAATAAAAAAGTATGTTCAATTCTCCTGGGTTTTATATGAACAAAACTAAAAGCCTAATTTCTAAGGAGACTATAGTAGGGTATATACGGCTTGGTTGTGTGTTGGGGGGTTCCGGGTTTAACTGGGAGAGTTGTTGTCTTCATGACAGTCTTTTGGATATGTTGGGTTTTGGAAGTCATTGGTGAATCAGAGCCGCGATTGCTTGGAGGATCAAGGGAGTCAGTAGGTGGGGTTCTAGGTACCTTCATTGGGTTACAACTAGATATAACTATAGTTACCGTTCTTATGACCCTGCCTCTTAAGTCTTCTACACCTCCAAGTAAGGATTTCCTACGCCCCGAAGCCCTGCACCGAGACCAAGACCCATTGTTCGAAGGGCATGAGCCTAATGTAGGAACCTGATCAAGAAGCCCTGAGCCATTGTCAGGGCTCCTTGCTTGAACCCAAATGTCCTGTGAGTTACAGGGCCAGGGTTTCTTAATCAAGCCCCTGCATTACTGGGATCCATATCAAAATCCCAGCTGCAGAAACGGAATCAAATTCTGACTCCGCTAAACTCGTTCCTCTCAGATGGTTCAGAGTCTCCAACATGCCTTCATGAAGGGTATGCCTTCATCAACGGTGCCTCACTGGATATCCAAACTACTGTTTAGTTTACGGAATATTGGAAATTAGGGGATCCATGTTGGAGCCCCGGAGCACCCCTGAAGACTCAACCTGCTCCGCTCTAAACAACACATGATCCTCCCATCTGCAGTACTCACTGGCCCAAAACCCAAGGAAATTAAAGTTGAAACTTTCAGAATCGACCACCTTATAAGAACCCCAAAAGCTGAAAAGTTGAGTTTACAGCCAATAAGAGCAATGCACCCTAATCCCTAAACCCTAAAACCTACACAGTATTTCCTTATGGGCCTTTTGTTTCCCCTACAGGACTTGTGAAGTCGCTTTGGGGTCATCTGCACTAGTGCCTTGAGGTCTGGCTTTGGTTTTTTCCTTACTGGACTTATAAATGCACCCTGGCAAACCCTAAACCGCCGTTTGTTTCCCTTGCTTACTGGACTTGTAACTCTGAACCCTAAACCCTAAGGGAGGTCCTGCATCCGCCTGGCTCCCCGAAGTTCGCCGGGCGCGCCAGCGGGAAGGGGATCAAGTATCCTAGGCTGTTTAGGGCTTAGGGTTTAGAAGTACTTGGCATACGCACAATTAGGGGATACATGTTGCTACATTTCAATCCCTACTTTCTGCTGCGTAGGTCCTCTGAAGTTTGCACACTCGGGGAAGAGAACTTGTGTGAAGCACGAGAGCTGTGTCAGTGTAGATCCCAAACAGTGTCGGAGCATCTAGCGCAATCGCAACCGTGATATGAAGATAGGTGCCTAGAGAGCCCAATACTCCTTAATTAAGGAATATAGCTTAAATTATAGTAGGATCCTTAATATGATTTAAGGAGTATTCCTTAATTAAGGGGTATTGGGCTCTCTGGGTGCGGTCAACCCAAGTAAGAGTATTGATATACGGGATCCTTAACTCTCTTCTTCTGTCTGGTAACCGGGCCCCGCAAAGCGCAAACGTTGTAAGAAAAAACCAAACATAAGGGAAAAACGGTTTAGGGTTTAGGGGTTAAGGGCAAACGCTTAAAGTTGTCCGATCCTATCTAAGTTAATCCTCCGAACACAGACAAAAATTCCAAAGCGTGCCTGAGTCTACCAGACCTCTCCGTGAGTCTACATGCGAACCTGATATGAGTAGTTCTCTGAATTGGGGTCACCTTTAGGGTCCTGTATATAGTGTGCCAGACTATTGTCGCAATTACAAAGTCCTCCCCTGTGAAGCCCTTATAAAGTCAGAGCATACCTTCAGAGCCTTGTTTGAAGGCTCGGCGGCTCTTTGCAGCTTGGCAACCCAGCCCGTCAAGAGCATTCTTGTCGAAGTGGAAGTGGTAGTCACCAGAGTGGACGATGGGAGTGTCTGTGACCCGAAATACCTAGGAGGTAGTTGTTGCCATTACTGCTATTACTCTTGATATTACTAGATTGTACAAGGATTCAAAAATCCCCCAAAAGGATGTATGACCCCAAAGCAGGTTACCGGTTGCCTACTCCACTACTGAAGCTTTTTGTAACCACGGACCGCAGAAACCCCGGAACTAACGGGCCACGTACGATAATTATCGTCTACGGAGAATCCCATGCTGCCAGTCCCACAGTTCGAGCTAGGATGCCACACCTGTGTAAACTCATAAACTTCTGAAGAGATGAATAAGCATCTCAAAGGAGATCCTCGATGATACGCTAGAGCACTGAAGCCTAAACCCCTGAACGCTGCGAACTGCACTGCTGTCCTTCCCAGTCTGAGCTTTTGGTTGGAAAAGGTTCGAGGCGTTGTCTAAACTAAGCAGTGGTTTTGGGGGTTCCCTTGGCTCTTTAGCTCCTTATTTACTAGGGATTATCATCATCCCTGGCTCCTTAGCTCCCCCAACATCAATGGTTAGTATACCTCAAAAACCCAACCCCCACCCTGTAATAGTGGTATAATAGGAATACAATAGGGCCCTAATATAATCCTTATAGTCACTATTACAGGATACCCAGTAACCTAGGAATAAAAAGGCCTCTCTTTTTGGTATTGGGTAACTTTATAAGGAACCTAGGACTACAAAAAGGGAATAAGGGTACTACTGGGCATCCTAGGTTTCTTTTAGCCTCTTAAATGACCGTTGAAGGAGATACTAAACCCTTTAAGCCCTGAACCCCCTAGAGTCCCAAACCCTGAACGGTTTAGGGTTTAGGGTTTAGGGTTTAGGGTTCCTTGAAGCCCTGTTTGTTGCAGCCGGAGGACCGATTTGAAGCCAATGCCCTTGGCCCCGATGTACTTCCTGATAGGACCGACTTTGGGGGAGTTTCCGATAGGGGTACCTTTAAAAGGATCCTTTAGGGGCTCCTTAAAGGGATCTATAAGGGTTCTATAAAGGGTTTAGGGTTTAGAGTTTACGAAAATTAGGGGTACCCGTATTTTGGGTCTTTATGAAAGGGATCCTATTATTTAGGCTACTATATTGGGGGTCCCCTAATTTAGGAGGCTCGGGTTGGCGGTGCGGGGCTCAGTTTTTTGAGGGGGCGGGTCTGGGGGCGTCGGTTGGGTCTTTAGGGCATGTTAGGGTACAGGGTTCAGGGTTTAGGGTTGGGTCTTTAGGGCATGTTAGGGTATAGGGTTTAGGGTTTAGGGTTGGGTTTTTAGGGCATGTCAGGGTTGAAAGGGAAGGGCTCGAGTGTGATAAAAGAGAGGCCTTGCCGGGAAGCTGGCGCAACATGAGAGGGTTTGGAAAACAGAGTTCCTGCCTGTCCAGGTTCCTACGTGAACTGAAAGTTAATCTGAACCCTAAACCCTAAACCCTAAACCCTAAACCCTGGGAAGTTAATCTTGCGGAGTGAGGATTGCGCAACCTCATAACATTCTGAGCTTCCTCGACTACTAAGATTAGACTAGGATTTGCCAAATCCGACTACCCTTGGGTTGGGGACAGTGATATGCATTTACGAGCTTGCCGCCAGCTCTTTCCTGACAAGAAACTGCAGGTAGGTATATACATTCACAGGAGCTGGTGGAGCTGGTAGTGTAGAACAGCCCCAATGGCTCTACACACGCAAAGTTACATGAATGATCCAGCCTTTGTGAGGGACTAATGTGTGGGGCATGCATGGAAGGTATAGCAGCATTCTGCGGTGCGTTACCGGCGTCCCCTTAGCTGGCACCCATTCTCAACCTACCACCGTCGTTCCACCGCCCTTTGCCACAATCAAAGTGACTGTCGCCTTTCCATTCTCATCGGAACCATCACCATGCAAACCACATGCAGCGTAACTGGCATCAGTCATTATCTGCGCGACATCGTCATCAGCATCGTCACCTCCGGTGACACTCCCACAACGCACCGACAGTAGCATCCATCTGCATCGCTACCACAGTACTGAATCGAACCCCGTAGCCCGAAAAGCTCAACTTAGTTGCTGAGTTCATAAGCCCCAAAAAGTGTACACTTTCAGTTCTACAGTGGGTCATACTAGCGCAGAAAGTGTAAAGTGTATCCACTCATCTACTAAGTCAAACATCCACCCGGTAAGATCCAAACTCAAAAAGCCGAGCGTCCGCTCTTCGCTTGTCTTCGTAGACTGGGCAATGTCGCAAAGAGCCCGGACGTTAGACTCCTGCCCAGACTCAGGCTAGAGAGTCTATGGGGCTCTTCTTAGTGAGTTCATAAGCCCCAAAAAGTGTACGCTTTCAGTTTTATAGTGGGTAATATTTACCCAAAAGTGTAAAGTGTATCCCTCAGCTACTAAGTCGTTCAAGCCTTTGTAGTTTCTCATTCCCTCAACCTCAGGATGTTTGTTTCTGTAAATGTGTGGTGGCCAGGAACGACACATTTTCTTGTTCTCACGATGGTTTTAGGGTGTAGGGCTTCGCAGTTCATGGTTTTGGGTGCTGCAAGCTTTGTGACCCCGCACGATAAAAGTCAACCGGGGCTGTGGTGGAAACTCTGGACCCTGAACCATAAACCCTTAAAGACCTAAAACCTAGACCACACAACACCCTAACACCCTAGCTCCCTAAACAAACCCAAAACCCTAATCCGTAAACCCTAGCTCCCTTAACTCCAAGCCCCTAGACCCCAAAACCCCACATTTTGCTCCCTAAACTCCGAACCCCAACTCCGAACCGTTTAGCCTGCACAAGGCTCGATTATCGGGGGCACTTCAAAACAGGAATAGGGTTTTGGGGGGAAGCTGCAGTGTAATAGGAAAATATAGTTGAGAGATGTGTAGTGACTACAAGGAGATAGAACTAGGTTCCTGAGTAGCCCCTTTACAAACAAGGGCACCCTTTTCCCTACTGTTAACTAATAAGGGAGCCCAAAAGGGAAACAGGGCGAAGGGGCACTACTCAGGGACCTAGAGGGAACTCCACCTTAGAATCTTTGCGAGCTGAACGTCTATCTATTCGAAAGTTGGAACAAACCGCAAGTCCAACTCCCTAACCTCTAAAAAACCTTTAGCCCAGGCCCAAGTAATCCATACAATTACCCGTACACTCACCCCTCCTAGATCCCTGCAAGGAACCCTTTAACGGAACCCTTAGAGGACAAACTCTAGTACTAGTATAGTACTAAAGGAACCCTTGAGGGTTCCTTTAAGGGCTTCTTTGTGGGTTCCTTAATGGTTTCAGAGTTCCAACTCCTCGAAGCCAGTCTCGTTGTACTCCAAGGCCAGGAGGGCCACGCAGCCGCCAAAGCACCCCTGTAGGATTTGGGGTTTAGGGGTTTAGTTGTTTGTAGGTTTAAGGGTTTAGGGTTTCGGTTCCAGTCTGCATTTTCGGGCACTTTTGGGCTGCAGCGCCGGAAGCTTGCCCCGAGGGCTTATGCAGGCTTTAATCGGAAGTTGAAGGTTGTGCTGAAGGTCTATGTCCTTGGCTTTGCGGTTTCGGGCCGCTTGAGGAGGATTTCAGCCCTCAACCGCGATCCTAAACTCCAAACCCTAAACCCTTTTCCCGGCAACCTAAACCCTATATCCTAAACCCTAAACCCTATGGCCTCAACCCCAATACTTCAACTCGAAACCACCCTAAACAAGTAGCCGGTACCCGAGAGCCCAAACCCTAAACCTTATACCCTAAACCTTCACCCCGAAACACCCGTAAACCCTATACCCTAGACCCAAATACTTCACCCCTAGACCCTGTAAACCCTCAACCGCTCGAGCGAAAGCCTGACCACCGCGGAATGCATCTCTGGGCTTGCGGTTTGCATCGTGCGAGCCGTCTCTATTACGAAGGGGTCCACCAAAAAATTCGAGGGCGAGTTTCCGAGGTTGTCTCTCTGTGACCACATGCTCCTACTCAGAACTTTCTTGGGCATCTGAGGTGGTCGCCTTCGTTGCGTGTACATCCGCCTGCTCTAGTGGCGCCGTGCGTGCGCCCGGCGGAGACAATGTGCTGGAGGCATTCACGCCCGCGCCACTGGCAGCTTAATGTAGGAACCTGACTACGCAACCCTGGGCCTATAACCCCGATATAGTAGGATCCATATTAAGAACCCTAATAAGGCCCAAGGTTTCTTAATCAGGTTCCTGAGTGATGGCCCTCCTGGCCCCGGTCTCGCCGGCGGCATGGGCTGCGAGGGACATGTCGAGGATGGCTGTAGGGCGGATGTCCAGATTGCTTCTTGGGTTTAGAGTTTTGGGGCTTATAGGCTTTAGGGTTTAGGGGTTTAGGGTTTAGGGTTTTAGGGTTTAGGGTTTAGGGTTTAGAGTTTAGGGCTTATAGGCTTTAGGGACTCTTCGGCCTAAACCCCAAAGTTTAAAGTCTCCAGCGCCCACTTCTACGGCACTTCAACCGCCGAGCCCTGAACCCCTAAACCTTAAACACCGAACCGACTAAACCCTAAATCCTAAACCCTAAACCCTATCGACACAAAACATGAACGTACCTCGGATAAGCTGGTGAGCTGGGGATACTCTTGGCTGTTGTCCTGCCACGCGTTGCTTGGTTGTCCAGCTTGTGGGTTCAGAAAAGGGCTTGGGTGCTTAAAGGTTGTTTTGTCAGGTAGTAGGTTTTAGCTTTGAGTTCAGAGGGATGTGTACAATCGCGGTCGAAAGCGCAGATACTACAAGCTACAAGCCCTCGAAGCAGACACCACGATCCTACGGGTTAAACGCACTGTTCAGCGGTTTCCTTTCAGCGGGTTTCTTTGGAGGGAAGCACTGCCCGAAACCTCGAAACAACGACACACCCTCTCCAACAGGACCCTGAACCCTAAACCCTAAACCCCGACCCTGAACCCTAAACCCCTAAACCCTAAACCCCTAAACCCCTAGACCCTAAACCCTAAACCCCTAAACCCCTAAACCGTGGCGGTGAGCCCACAATGTGAAACCAGTGGACCGAGCCCTTCCCAGCCACGAAGAGAGGGGCTCCGACAAAACAGGGGCCTCACAGTTAAAGCAAGGTCTTCTTTAGAAGGCCCCCCCACCCTGTAATAGGCTCAGGGTCTAGGGTTTCGGGCTTCAAAAACATAACCATAGAAAAAAACTGGACTATGCTTTAGAAGACCCCCCACCCTGTAATAGTGACTGCAAGGACTATATTAGGGTCCTATTATATTCCTATTATACCACTATTACAGGGTGGCGGGGGGGGCCTTCTAAGGCCTTCTACAGTAAATATGTAAGAGCGATCTCAAAACCCTGAGGAGACCATATCATGTACCATTTCAGTCCCTAAGTTGTAAGCAAGCTCGAAGGAAATTATATCACGTATTACTTCAAACCCTACATTTACGGTTCAACTGCAGGGTTGACACAAGCCACGAGATTGCACCGACCCTTCGCAATGCAAGCCCTTCTATCACCCCGTGCTGCCTAATAGAAAGCCTGTTAAACCTTTTCAAACCATAGAAAGCACTAGACAGCCCTCATACTCGAGAGGCCCAACAGCTCATGATCAAGCTCCAGGGGTTTCGAGTTTATCGAGCCGAAGACGGGCCGAAAATGACCTGTCCCACTAAGTTTCCTCCATAGGATCCAGGTTTCAGGGTATCCTGCTTAAGGGTTCGCTGCTTGGGGTTAAGAGTTGAAGTTGTGGATTTCCACTGGATTTTCTCCACAGGATACACGGTTTCTGTGCTTTGGGGTTTGGAGTTAGGGCTTAGGGTTGACTTGGGGTTGTCACCGGGCTTCCTCCATGATCAGCCGGAGCTTGGGCACTTCGTCGTTCACAAACCTGCTGGCACGGCTTTAGGCCAAGAGACTCCAGTATCCCTTAATCAAGGAATATTCCTTAAGTCATATTAGAGATCCTACTATAACTTAAGGTATATTCCTTAATTAAGGGATATTGGAGTCTCTGGGGGTTTGGGGTTTAGGGGTTAGGGCCACCAGACCCACTTTTCCAGTTACCCTTGAGAAGCTGGAGGTTAACCTCTCTGGTTCATATGAGTAGTTCTGTACATTCGGGTCCATCTTAATGTCCTTTTCATAAGGATGCCGTACTGCTTTTGATGGGTACTAAAAATAGGACCCTACAATTTGAGAACTACCCCTATTACGGTGATGAGCAATAGTCGGGCCATTTTTTAGAAACGAGGCCCTGGTATTCCTTCTTATCCCAAAAATCATCGCAAAATTTCGTTCGGAATTTAAAAGTAAAGTATTAATTGCTTTACTCATTTGTTTTGTGCCAAAAGTAAAGTATATCATGGTTTTTTGGCACTCCCCAAAACCGGGGACTAAAACCTGAGCCCGAAAGCCAGAACTTTTAACCTCAAACCCCACTCCCCGTAAACCCTATTGCGCCATGACCCCAATATTGCTTGCAGGTTTCATGGGCCTCAGCGCCGAAAGGCCACGCATGCAATGAGCTCCATAACCCCGACTTCAAGAGTATTCCGGAATCACCACAAGAGGCCCCAACCACTTGAAAGACTATTCGGAGTCTGCATCGCCCTATGAATGCCCTAAAAAGACTTCGAAGTTAAGCAATGCCCTAAACGCTAAATCCTGAGTTCTAAATCCTAAACTCTAAACTTAGACCCTAAACCCTAAGCTGTGGAGAGTAACTTCTGCTCCGGGTTAGGAGCCTGCAGTCGTCCACGTTCTGAAGCAGCTCAAGCAGGAAGTGGGTCTCCGTGCCTGATGAGAGAGTTTAGTTGTTTTTTAAACCCCCCCTTTCTCCCTACAATACAACAAAGTTTGCGTCTGGAAAATGCCTTGCAGGCTGTGCCATAAGAGTTTAGGGTTTAGGGTTCTGATGCGAGAGATCTATCATACTATAAAGGTTGGGGCGGGGGGGGGGGGCGCTTGGGGATGGTTCGAGGCATTTCTTGCTAGACTGAGAGGGTCTCAAGCTTAGGTCGACTTAGGTGCTTTATGTCTTCGGGGTTCAAGGTCTGGCACTTAGGTTTTTTTGACGGCCCTTACAGTAGAATCCAGAAAAATGGAAAATGGATTTGGGAGGATTAGTGCTAGGATCCCTGCGCTTTACCTTAAGGACATGAGGATAACGATGTTCCAACTTTCCCCAGAGACTCCAATACCCCTTAATTAAGGAATATACCTTAAATCGTACAAGGGATCCTATCATAATTTAAGGTATATTCCTTAATTAAGGGATATTGGAGTCTCTGGGTCTGGCTTCTATTATATATCCCCTCTGCCAACCCGGCAACGAAGTTTAGGGCTTTAGGGATTTTGAGGCTTAAGGGTCGAGAGGCTTTTGTTTAGGGTCTTCGCATGCCTTCGGAAGGTTTGTGCCAGAACCTGTAAGCCCCTATAATGCCGTAGCAGCTCATTTCAAAACAGTTCCTTTTTGCCCTGCTATTCTATCTAAGTGGGAGTCCCCCCCACTACCAAGGACAGCATGCTACTGATGCACTGGTGAACTAGGAACCTCTATATCCCTTCACAAGAAACCATAGTCCCAAACAGCCAACTACGACACCAGACTCAAGCGCCGTAAGGCCAAGCATCGTTTAACAAGGATTCCTGCCTCCGAGTGCTCAGACAAGTGACACCCCCTGTCCCCCCTCCGATGATGATACACAGAGTACTACTGGTGAGCTAGGAACGATACCATCCCTGAGCAGACGAGGGATCCCGGTGAATCAATGAACAGACGAATCACCGCCCCCCAAACCCTGAAACTGTCTAAGCTCACGACGTGCCCAAATAGCGGTTATATAAGGGCTTGAACAATTAGATGGAGGATTTTGGGGTACATTCCGTTATATCAAAAGCCCGAAGGAGTAGCAGAACAAAGCTTTCAGGCTGCTATCTTATCGGAACGATGAACTTAAACCCTAAACCCTGAACCCTTTAGGGTTTATAGGGTCCAGGGCACTAAACCCTAAACACTGAATCTTCGACCCTGAACCGGGAGCTTTCTGGCTTTGGATTTCCGTGCGAGAGTCTTGCGGAGGTGGTTTAAGGCTTAGGGTTCAGGGAATTAACAAGGAGTTGTATGAGGTTTCAACTCGAGTTTTTCGGCGCTGTATCAGAGTTTAGCAGGTTTTTTCCGATGCGTTTAATGTTTTGCTCATAAGACAGGCCTAGTGGGCTTTTAAGCGACCAGAGGAAAAAGTATAAACTTTTATTGTATAATGGTTCCTTTAAGAGAAAAAGTATAAAAGTATGGTACTCCAAAGCCCAGCCTAGTACTCACTGGCCCAAAACCCAAGGAAATAAAAGTTGAAACTTTCAGGATCGACTACCTTATAAGAACCCCAAAAGTTGAAAAGTTGAGTTTACAGCCAATAAGAGTATGAAAGCTTGAGTATTTGGACTAGGCTGCCGGGGCGGGGGGTCGACAGGATGTCACTCAGACTGAATCGGGTGGGACAATTTTTAGGGTTTAGGGTTTAGGGTTTAGGGTTTGGGGTTTAGGGTTTAGGGTTTGGGGTTTAGGGTTTAGGGTTTGGGGTTTAGGGTTTAGGGTTTTAACAATCCCATTGCTAGGATGCCCAGCAAGCCAGGGATAGAAAGAGCCCCCCTTTTGGTATTGGGTATATATAACTGTATAAGGAACCCAGGACTACAAGAAGCGAATAAGGGCACTACTGGGCATCCTAGATGTAGGGGCTTGCTAATTTCAGGGGCCGTCGAAATTTGGTCTGAGTGCACATTTTTTGCTCAAAGGGGAAAAGGAGGGACCCTTGATGGGGACCCCTACCCTATAATGGGCTTTATAATGGGCATATGATAGCTATATGAAGAGTATATACCTAGGAGTCCTTATTAAGGGTCCCTCCATTTACCCTTGGATTTTCAGAAAGCTGACCGGGATACCAATACTACTTTTATTCAGGACTCTACATCGCTGAAGCGACGACGAGCTGCTGTACAAGTCGGCAGCGAGCCGCTTGACGGCCCCCTGCACCGTCCTTGGCAAGATAAGGAGTTAGGGCCTTTCCCCACTAAAACCCTAACTGAGTTGCTGAGTTCTTAAGCCCCGTACACTTTGCGGTTCATAGTGAGTAATATGATCCCCAAAAGTGTAAAGTGTGTCCACTCAGCTACTAAGCTAAAATGGGATTTAGGGTTTAGGAGGCAGAACACGTAGAATGAGGGTTTGGGGTATATTCACGAAGAAAAGGACAATGGAAAGGGATACTGCTGCGAGTTACGTAGGCCCCGATGTTACATCGAAAATCACAACTATACTGAACTTGGAACCCTAGCAAAACTCATAATTTGAGCTGTTTCTTAGGGATTATAATAGCCAAAAAATGAAAAATCATTTCTAAGTACCCCTACGACAAGGCCGTTCAGGCATCGAGAGAGAGCTCCGGATGGGTCTAAGACGGTTTGGGGTTGGAGATTCGGGTTAGGGTTTAAGCCTACAGTCTGGGGCGTTTAGAGGTGGCATGAAGTGGTCTTCGTTTGTAACCTCTAGAAGCCTTTCAATGCACTTGTTCAAGAAGCAAGGATTGTGTAGCTTTGCCGATGGATTCCTCAATTTCATGCCGGCTTTGGCTTATGTGACTGAGCTGGCCGGCAGCTGCCGCGGCTGGGCCTCAAGCTCCTCCGGCAGGTACCCAGAGACTCCAATATCCCTGAATTAAGGAATATTCCTTAAATCATATTAGGGATCCTACTATAATTTAAGGTCTATTCCGTAATTAAGGGATATTGGAGTCTCTGGGTACCTCATTGGGGCCCAGAGTTCGGGAAGCAGTATGAAACCGTAGCGTGCGAAACCCTCAACCCCCTACGAAGTCTAGAGCCCCGGAGACTGAACCCCTTGCCCCTTACCCAGAACCCCCCGGGAGGATCTAGAAAGTAGATCCCCTAATATGGGGCCTTATACTAAAAAGTGTACTTTATAGGAACTCCCATTAAGGGATCTACTTTTTGGATCCTCCCGGGGGTCTGGGTATAGGCAAACCCTGAAACAGAAACCATAGTGAGAAGGCTGCCGCAAACCGAAAGGATTCTCAGAGCCGGTGAAAACTCTTCTGGACGATCTCAGGGCTTACGGAGCTTCAAAAACTCCCTATGCACAAAACGCGGGATTCAGGATGGGCCCTTCTGAAACCTAAACCCTACTTGGAGGCTCATGGGACTTAGTAAGTAAGGTTATAAGTAGGTTATACTCAGGATAACCCCACTTAGGGGACTTATAACCCCACTTATAACCTACTTACTAAGTCCCATGATCCTCCAAGTAGAAAATGTTGGTATGGGGTTTAGGGTTGAGGCTTTGGGCTTGCTCTGTTTGGGAACGGTGGCGAGCGGCAGCTGCAGGGAGCGGGTCGTCTCGTCCACCGACTTGCCAGGCCGCCTTTGCTGTTTACCATACCCCCCTTAGCTAATATTATAATTTTTGCAAGGGTTCTAAGTTCAGTATAGGTATAGTTCCTTTGAAAACCCTCTAGCCTCAACTGTGCTTCGGACCCCGACCCACCCCGCCTCCTCCTGCAACTCCTCATACTTGGAGGATCATGGGACTTAGTAACTATAGTTATAAGTCCCTTAATTGGGGTTATAAGTAAATATAAGTATAGTTACCCCAGTAACAACCCTAGTTACTAACCATAATAAAAGTAATATCTTTAATATTTTCTCGGGTTTTGTATGAACAAAAATTAAAACAATAATTCCTAAAGAGACCATAGTTTAGAGTTTAGGGTTTTAGAGTTTAGGGCTGAGTCGGTGGTATAGTCTGGGTTCCATATGAAGCGAATAGTGGAAATCAAGAACTACATGAAGATTTTGCAAATCCCAGTTTTGTGGCAATGGAGCTTTTGGGCTCGGAGCTAGCCTTTTGGCTTTCTTAGGGGCTTTCGGGGCTTTGGGCTTAGGGGTTCGGGTTTTTGGTTCAGGGTTGAGGCTGGTTGTTGTTCGCTATGGCCACGTATGCGTATCGGCGCACTTTGGAGCCGCGGCTTCTTGGGTTTACGGTTTCGGTGTAGAGGATCAAAACCTACATCATGAACCAACAAGCCTGAATATCCTGAGCGTTTAGCCGCCATCCCCAAACCCCCAAAGGCCTCAAACTCTGCGTGAACACTCGTGCCCCTACTCCCTCCTGAACCCAGACCTTACAAGAACCTCCTTCAAGTCCAGACATAGTCTCGACAATCTGTCACAATCTTCGAAACCCTAAACCCGAAGCCCTACATCCGAAACACCAAATCTTACCCTGAAGCCCGAAGCCCCATAAATGCCTGTAAAGCCCAGACGAACCCTTCTAACCTTCTGTCAAGCGACCAAGTTCCGATAGTTCTATAGAATCTGCTTGAAACCCCTTCAAGCCTTTCAAATCCTTTCAAGGACCTACAGTATGGACCCTACCAAACCCTAAACCTCAAACAGCAAACTAAATCCTAGGGGCCTACAATAGAAGCCAGAAAGTTGGAACATGGCCTTAGGAGGATTAGCGCTAGGATCCCTTACACTTTACCTTAAGGGTATGAGGACAATTATGTTCCAACTTTCTGGCTTCTACTATAAATCCCAAACACAAATCCAAAGGAACACCCAGCTGCCATGTTCGACTCTTCTGATCCACGTCCGCCAAGTCCACAGCCTTCAGCCTCCCAGAACGTCGGGCTCTTTAAGGGTTCTATAGTAGAAGGATATAGTAAACTGCAAAAAGTTGGAAACCTAATTAAGGACAAATCGTGCTGGGATTCCCTATACTTTGCTCTTAGGGATTGAGGCTATCGGGTTTCCAACTTTTAGGCTTCTGCTTTAAGGTTCTACAAGGGTTCTCTAGGGATTTCCGGATAGTTGATATGATTGTTTTGTTTATCATTTTTGTTGCGTGTCAGGGATTTGTAGGGGTTTAGATTGGCTTTACAGGGCCGATATGGGTTCCGGGTTCAAGATTCTGGGTTTTCGGGTTGGTGCTGCCGGTGTAGGCATCCAAGTGGTTAGGGTCTCCCTTAAGAGTTCAATTCATCCGATAATTAGGTACTTGGGTTCAGGGTAATAATCACGTAGGTTAGTAGCTGGGGAGTAGATGGCAAAAAAATATGGTTCTATAAGAGGCCTGCATGGGTCAGATATTCCCTCTCTTCTGTAACAACCGGACCAAAGAAGGTTGAAACTTTCTAAAATAAACCAAATATATCAGGCCAACAAGTTTAGCGTTCCCCCAGTCGGCTATCGTTTAATCGGATTCTATAAGAGCTCTGGGTCTAAGATTCGGGCTAAACCCCGAACCCTGAGAACCGAATCTTTGGTGTCGTAGAGGCCTGGCGATGTCACTGCAAAGGCGGACGTTGGGGTCGTCTTCCTTTGCTGCGTTGGCTTTCGGAGTCAGCGTATCTGTTTCATGGTTTGGGAATAAGAAGGCTGTAGGGTTTACTACTACAAGGGAGCTTTTGAGGTTTCTAGAGGCGTTTAAGGGGTATCCTAGAGTTCGGCATTAGATATTTCTGGCCCTAAACCCGAAACCCAGGTAGGACTTGGCATGACGCGTAGGCGTCCGGCCTTCGGCTGAACGTTTCTGCAGCTGCCACAGTGTGATCCTAAACCCTGAGGATAAAGGAGTTTCCAGGACCCCCAATGGCCCGTTAATGGAGCCCTAATGGCCATGAATAGTAAGTATTTGGGGTATATTTGAGGGTAGTTAGTGCCAAACTTCGGTCCTAAACCCTACATCATCCGATAAAGGCAAAAAGGTAAACAAAAACACACTTTACAGAAAACTAGGAACCCTCGGAGCTCTTTGAGGGGTTAGATCAAAACATAAACCCTAAACTCATGCAAAACCCAAGATAAAACAAAAAACACACACACGCACGCGCGCACACACACACACACACATTTTACAAGAATTCTTCGGAAACCTCTGAGGTTTAGTTCATAACGTTAACCCTAAATCCTAAAACCCTAAACCCTAAACCCTACATCCTAAAACCCTCAACCCTAAATTACTAAATCCTAAAACCCTAAACCCCTAAACTCCTTCGAAACCCGGCCATGCGGCCGACAACCCCGGCAGGCGAGGTAGCACAGAGGACTTCGCATGGCCGCTGCTCCTTCGAAGAAGGAAGTCTCACTATAAAACAGTATACTTCAAACTTTTGTTTTTATTTCAGGGTTTAGGTTTTAAGTTTTAGGGTTTAGGGTTTAGGGTATTTCAAACTCTTCCAGGACCCTCCTTGTACCCTTAAATGGAGGCATATGGCCCCAAGGAGTGGGCATTTAGGGTCTAACAGAGGGTAGATGGAGGGTCCTGGGTACTTCCCCCAAAGAAACCACAGAAATAGAGGTTAAACGTTCCGGTTACGACTAAACTACAAGAACCCAACAAGCTTAGTGGTTGGGTATTGGGGAGCCAAGTATACGGCCCTCACAACACCCCATCATGAAGCCCCTGTAGCGGTAACAAAACCCAGACATGCAATAATGTACAGTACTCAGTGCCCTCATCACAACTCTGCGCCAAATACAGGCTAGTTCAATTGATGTGATCCATCTATAGGTTCGGGTTTAACGTTCATGAGGCTTGCGGAAGAATTGTGAATGTAGGTTTCGAGTTTGGTGTTGTGCCAACCGTAAACCCACCCTGCACCCGAAACCCTCACAGGACGCGATCTGTCCTCTGCTCGTCTTTGGCACCATCTGCAGCGGTGGCCGCAACGTGCATGGTAGCCTTGTATCCCGAATTGCAGTGATGCTTTGGTGTAGGGTTTAGGGTCTGGGTTTCATTGTCATTGCTGCCACTGGTGTAGCAAGTCGTAAGTCATTCCTCTGGATTTTGTGGTCCAGCTTCTATTAAGCTCATTCTCTCGTCTCACCATCACATTTCGTGTCAGTCGGTTGTTAACAGGTCCCTTATCGTGCGATGGCTTGCTTTGCTTCGGTGGTTGGATGTCGACAGATGCATGTAGGACAGTTGGACGTGAGCTTCCCCAGTTTGATACCTTTTCCTCGCACTCTATCTACACTTAAAACCACGCCGGCCACAAGTCACCAACAACAGCCCTGAACCCTAAATGCCCGGTGTGTCGCCAGCCCGAAACGCCCCCGGTGTCCAAACAGCACGAGCAACTGATCTCAGCCCGACACACTAAATTCGAAATCTGGATCCTACTTGAATGGCAGTCTCTGACCTACTTGTCGGGTATCATGGGGAACTAAAGGTTAACCTTTTTGGTTGTACAGGGATTATATAGGGACTACTTGGAGGGTCGGGGGACTTAGTAAGTAGGTAGTAAGTAGACTTATAAGTACCCTAAACGGTACCCTAATTGGGATTATGGTACTTATAAGTCTATAAAATAACCAGTTACTAAGTCCCCTGACCCTCCAAGTATACTATCCAAAAAGGTTAAAGGTTGCCTACTCGACTGCCAGGCTGAAGAGCAGGATCGCTAGCACAAGCGCAAAGTCATGGGACCCTTGCAATAAGGTTTTTTTGATGGATATTCGGAACTTCCTGAAAAACCTATGAAATCACGAAAAGACATCGAAAAAAACGGTAAAGCCTGCAACAAAACTCTGTACCGCCCAAGTAAAACCCCATAAACCTCATTGACACCAGAAAAAAAAACATAAAACCTGATAAACACCCCTTCGAAACCTTGTAAGGGGGACAGCCGGGAGTTTCCGAAGATTAGAAGTACCTTATGTTGGGGTTCTGACAATTAGGATCCTACAATTTAGGGTGCTATGTTAGGGTCCTTTTTTTTGCGGAAAACCCCGGCAAGTCCCGGAATGGCCTCGTCAGCACCGGGGACACTGTGCACCGATACGCACGGGCGGCTCGGAGCTGCTGCCACAGCGGTGGAATCCTGTTGCTGATCGTTTCTTTAGAGTTCCTTTGGGGTTGTTTCTGGAATTTTAGAGTTTGTTAATGTAACCACAACGGGTTTAAGTTAGGGTTTTTGCATTTTTATCATTTGTGTTCTATTGAGTGTTACTGTAAGGGTTGTGGCTTCTCTCTTCTTCAACAACCGGGCCCCAAAAAGTTCAAACTTTCGAAGATAGAGCTAATATATAAGGCCAAAAAGTTTAAAGTTCCCCGGTTCACTATCTATGGCTTGTATGGATCCCTCCAAGGATCTCCAAGGGTTCTGCACCGCTTCCAAAAACGAGATTACGGGTCTTGGTGTGTGGGTCTTGTCGCTTGTTACAGTAGAAGCCAGAAAGTTGGAATACCATTATCGTAACCCCTTTAAAGTAAATTATAGGGGATCCTACCATTAATCCATATTCCAACTTTCTGGAGTTCCCTTTAGGGCGTTTCGTGAAGGGTTCTTTAACTCACTGGCCCGAAAACCAAGGAAGTAAAAGTTGAAACTTTCAGAATCGACTACCTTATAAGAACCCCAAAAGTTGAAAAGTTGACTTTGCAGCCAATAAGTTAAGGGTTCCTTTCAATGTACCTTTGTTTGTTTGGCCTTCGGGTCTCAGGGATGGCGTGCTTTCAGAACTTTTAAGGAGACCTTAGGTCGTTCGGTGCTTGTGTTTGAGGGCATTCGGGCTTGGGGGTTCCTTGAGGCGTTCTACAGGGCTGGCTTCGGCGGGACCTTTAGGTCGTTGGTGGTTGGGCTGTAGTCTCCGTTTCGCTAGGGCGGCTTGGGTTTAGGGTTGTTTCGGGTTTAGGTTTAGGCTGCAGGGCGTGGGGTGTGGGGCTTAAGGGTTTTCAGCTTTAACGGCTATAAAGGGCTCCTTCGGTGTAGCGAGTCTTGAGTTCAAGCTTTCGATTTCGGGCTTCAGGGCGTTGGTCGTGGAGTTTAGGGTTCGGGGTGTCGGAACGGATGATCTCGTGTAGAATTGTCGTTCAAGGTTTCTTAGACAACACCCTCGACCTCAAGTCCTTGAGAGGACCGCCCTTTCAACAGGGCCATTAGAAGGTCAGCATCAGGCAAACAAGTTGAGAGATCCCTGTAGAAGAAAGAAACCAGAAGGCAAAAAACCAAGAACGCGCCCCACGAACTATCTACAAATCCGTGCGAAACCTTACACAACCCTGCAAACAGCCGATAACAGAACCCTGCAAGCACTCGACAAACCATGCAACATCCTGATAGACCGCACAGAACACCACTACAGACACCCTCCAGAAAGATTGGAAAACAACCTTGGCCCTGATCCTAGAGGCCAGCCGAGCGTCGTAGTAGGTTTCCCAGTGTAGCCTGAGATGATCGAGGGCTTAAGTGTATCGACAGCAGATGACTCTTACAATGATGATTTACGAAGACCTGAAAAGAGCTTCAGTGGAGATTTGCTTTGCTCTTTGGCAAGCTCTCGCTACATCCGGAATAATATTTGTGGACTTCACTTTTCATAAAAGCTTCTTATTTGCCACCCGGGGATATGTCTCTCAAAGATCTCAGGCATGAAGCTTTCCGGTTTGGGGTTCAGGATTTGTCGACTCATTGGCCAATCAGCAACCGCCAGCACGAACCAGCAGCTGCTTCGGCTGCTTCGTTCCTCAAAGGTGGCCCTGGAATCCACCTCCACGAACCCTCATACCTAAAGCCCAAAAACCCTAAACGCATTCCAGCTGTCAATGCCCTGAGCCATGAGCATAACCAGCTAGTTTGATACCAGCGGAGCCCTCATTTGTAGCATAGAGCCTTGAGGTATAGTGGAATACTATACTGTAAGTATATGCAAGTATGCTAGGAGCTCCAGGGACAGGCAGTTGAATTTTCAGCCCCTACATGGTCGTCTCCTTGCCTCATTGGCCCGAAAAGTAAGGAAGTAAAAGTTGAAACTTTCAGAATCGACTACCTTATAAGAACCCCAAAAGTTGAAAAGTTGACTTTACAGCCAATAAGTTGCAAGACTTTGGGTTCTGGGTTTGACTGGGGTCCAGAGGCTTCAGTGGGTTTAGGATTTACGGAGTTCGCCTTCATAAGATTAACATGACTTGCCTAGGATACCCAGTAACCTAAGAATAAAAAGGCCTCTCTTTTTGGTATTGGGTAACTTTATAAGGAACCTAGGACTACAAAAAGGGAATAAGGGTACTACTGGGCATCCTAGACTTACAGTTCCAACAGGCAGGGGCGGCTCATAAGCCAAAAAAACCCACACCCCTAACGCGGACTCCAAATCCTTCAATGCAACAACCAGCTACTACCAAGGCAAAAGAAAAGCTCGAACTTTCAGCCTTGGATCAGGGACATGTATATACACCGAAATCAGTTTCTACCGGCCACCCTAGGCCCTGATAAAATGCCAGAAAGACACGGTTTCGAAGCCAAAACTAGAAGCCCCCCCGAGTGGGTTTCAGGAAATGAGGACCCCGCCTCCTCTTTAAAATACCATGTGTGCTAGGCCCTAATTTTCGGAAACTGCCTAGACTCAAATCCCAAGACCCCGAACCCACAACCCAAAACACCAAGTGGCTCTGTCCACTCGAGGATGCCAAAGTGCTCCCCGAGCCACCGTGCGGCGATGCAGAATTCCGGGGCCATCTTTGCTGCCTGGCTGGGGAGAGTTGCTCTTGTGCTGTTTGTTTTGCTTTTGCTGTACACGACACCCTACACCCTTACAGAAATCCGTAGACTTTTAAAGGGATAGCTTTTGCCATGTACTAAACCACATGACGTCACAGTTCCTGACGACGACCTGCTCGAGTTGCCTCAGGCGTATCCAGATTTCTGGATCAATCTCTGCGATCCCTGCGTGTAGTCCCTCGGTCATTCATGTGACTGCGAGTGTGGGGTTAGGGCTGGCTTATTCAGGCTTAACGCTTTGGGGTTGAGGAGCTACAGGTAAAAGCACGGGGTTTCATATAGCAGTCGCCTTGCCTACGATATGATATGGAAGCCTGTATACTTAGCATACGGGTCTGTGCATGCTAACGTCCCATCATGATAGGGATCCTAAGGAACTCTGTTACTTACCTTTGTATAATACTTACAACTACACATGAGCCTTCTGAAAGGGCCTGGGTTCTCACTCCGGTGGGCATTTCGAAGGCTCTGGTGCAGAAGAGCAGCGTGCAAATCTAAACCTAAAGATTTAAGCACGCGATATCCGGAACAAAACTCAAGACGCCAAGTTCTCTCACAGTTCCTTACGGACTTACGGAGCCATCGTCGAACCCGAAGACACAGCACCCTTATCAGACACCCAAAACCGCCCAAAACCCATCATTCCCGGAACCTGCCCTAAACCCTAAAACAGTGCAACCCACACCGTAACCCAGTCGCACACAAAACCCCAGTCCAAAACCCACAAACCCGACAATAGCAAATGCAAATCTATGCACCCTAACCCTAAACCCTATACCCTACAACCTGAACCCCTAAACCCACTTTGAACACCATGCAGCGCACAACTGCATAAAACCCTGGTAACCCTTGTACAGACAACCATAAATCAAGCCCAACAATCCCCATAGTAAAACCGTTATAGACGTGTTTTGAACCCTTCAAAGGAACCAACTTTTTCTAATTGTTCAAACCCTGCACTCTACTAAACCCTGTCAACTTTCCAAGAACAAACCCCAAACCCTGCTCTCTAAACCCTAATCCCTACACCCTAATCCCTAAATTTAAACCCTAAATCCTAAACCCTACAGTAGAAGCCAGAAAGTTGGAACATCATTGGCCTCATGCCCTTAAGGTAAGGTACAAGGGATCCTAGCACTAATCCTCCTAAAGTCATGTTCCAACTTTCTGGCTTCTACTATAATCCTTAAACCCTAAGCCTGTGGTGGCCAGGTGTCCTCCTAAGCCAAAGTCCGAGCCCCTGCCTGTGCCATGCGGCTGCGCGGCCGTCTCAAGTGGACGTACCTGGGCCAGAGCTTTGAAGAACAAACAAACTTTTGTTTTTATTTCAGGGTTTAGAGTTTAGGGTTTAGGTTTTAGGGTTTAGGCCAGAGCTTTGAAAAAAAAAACAAACTCTTCGTATTTCAGGGTTTAGGTTTTAGGGTTTAGGGTTTCAGACTCTTCCAGGACCCTCCTTGTACCCTTGAATAGAGGTATATGGCCCCAAATAATCGGCATTTAGGGTCTAGTAGAGGGTAGATGGAGGGTCCAGGTTGCTTTTATTTCAGGTCGACGCGACAAAACTCACGTCGTCACGTCTTCAGGCCCTGCGACTACCCCCCCAAATTTACGCGCAGCTACGGCCATCAATGTGCAATAATGGTTCCTTTTGCGGTTTAGGGTCTATAAGCAACGGTTCGTTGTCCAAGAACACTCGGCCGACTTCTGAACCCCTCCTAACAGTTAAACTTGTAATTAAGTTTTAGCCTACTTACTATAGCTCATATAGAAACTCAAACAGTTAAAGTCCTAACAGCCAACCAGAAGAACGCCAAGAACAAGTAATAACTAGGATACCCAGTAACCTAAGAATAAAAAGGCCTCTCTTTTTGGTATTGGGTAACTTTATAAGGAACCTAGGACTACAAAAAGGGAATAAGGGTACTACTGGGCATCCTAGAATAGACCCTACACCTAAACCCTAGACCCTAAACCCCTGAACCCTTAAACCCTAAACCCCAGACCCTAAGCCCTAAATCCTAAACCCAGTAATAAAGTATTGTAGTCCAAACCAAGCCCTGGGTTCTGAATGAACCGCGTAGGAATTACGGTTTAGGGGCTTCGGGCATTTACTAGACCCAAGAGTAACCTGGGAATAAACAGGGTGCCCTTTTTGGTTTAAAGGGGCTTATAAGGGAACCTGAGCCCTAAGAAGGGAATAAGGGCCTACTCCGGGTCCTAGTTTAAGATTCAGGAGTTTAGGGCTTTTCAGGTTCAGAGTTTTAGGGCTGTCAAGGCTTGGGGCTTTAAGGTTCGGGGTTCAGGGTTTGATTAGAGTTCCAGCTCGAACAAGTAGAAGCAAGCGCCCAAGCAAGTAAAATAACAAACCAAACAAGCAAATAGCTACATCACCCGATAGCACCCTGTGACACAAGCCCTACTTTCGGTCGTGACACTGAAAACCCTTTCTAACAGCTAACCTTTCATGATAGGAACGAAAGGAAGCCCACGCAAGACATGGCCCTTTGGTCCCAGCCCACTTCCCAAACATGGCCTTAAGCTGATCCTAGGATCACTGGGCCCTGCAGTGCAGACCCTGGAATCCCCTAAACCCTAGACCCTCAACCCTGAAACATGCAAAACCTTGCAAACACCCTAAACGCAAGGCTAAGCTCGTAATGCCTCTGGCATCCATCTAGACTAGAACCCTATATTCTGATTCTTGAGCTTCCTACTCTAAACTCGTAGATAGTAATGTTGATCTCCGAACCTAAACTTATCGAATTCTAAAACCTGAACTCATAGCAAACCTTAAACCCCCAAATAAACCCTACTTAAACCCTATCAGCCCCCTTCAACACAAGGGAGACCCCCCCCCTCTCTCGCATCTATATCCCGGGTGCGGAGATGCCAGGATGTTTCCAACGTCAGCCCGTGCCTCGGCCCGAAATGTCTACAGTAAACTCCATCAAGTTAGAAACCGGAATAAGGCCACATAGTGCTGGGATTCCCTGTACATTACTCTTAAGGATTGAGGGTAACCCTAAACCCTAAACCCTAACTTTTTGGCTTCTACCGTAGGGCTTCTTGGTTCCTTTAAAGGGATCCCGTCACTTGGCGGGTCGGGGGACTTAGTAAGTAGGGGCTCCTTTAAAAAGGATTCTAAGGGTTCCTTTAAAGGGCTCTATAGGGGTACTAAAAGGTTTAGGGTTGAGGGGTTTAGGGTTTAGTAAGTAGGTAGTAAGTAGACTTATAAGTACCTTAAAAGGGACCCTAATTGGGGTTATGGTACTTATAAGTCTATAAAATAACCAGTTACTAAGTCTACCGGCCCTCCAAGCAAGGGTTTCCTTTAGGGCTCCTGTTGAGGTTCCTTTTGGGGCTCCCTCCAGCCGCTTTGGGCATTCCGGGATATGGGAGTGTCCGAAGCTTAGGGGGTACCTTATTTTGGGGTCCTTATAACAAGGATCCTACTATTTAGGGTACTATATTAGGGTTCCTCTATTTTCGGAAACTCCCATATGTCGAAATCCATGGTAAACAACGCCCGCTTATTACGAGACGGATTTCCAGCACCTCCAAGAAAATCCCTGATGTAGATTCAGGACTGCTTCCGAAGATACTGGTAGTATAAAAGTATAAAGGGCCAAGTACCCGGAATGGAGTTCGAGGGAGACCGTAATTGCTCGAATCTTGCAGGCTCCAATTTTTTGAGGGAAGCTAAAGGATAAAGGAGGGTTATTCTTCTCGACAACGGAAGAACATACCGATCCGATCTGTCCCACGTAACTGTACCCTAAACCACAAAATCCCAAAACCCTGAACCCCTAAACTCTGAACATCTTGAACGCCCGCTGAACTCCCCCTAGAGGGCACCTCTCGGGGAAGTGCGCTGATGGCGCGCAGCAAGAAGACCTGGCAAGGACTTGTGGAACAATGCTTGGGCTTTTAGTCGAAACCGTACTCTTTGTCTTGCTGACGAATCTTACTTGGCAACAGAAACACCCAAACAAGCCAGCAGCATTTCATTCAACCAGCCGTTCATTCATACACAGGCATTAGCTCATATCCGTTCTTTCATATTCATTCGTTCAGATTCTTTCGTTCCAAAACAACAAAGGGCGGCACAACCAGGGCCGGGAGCACTCAACTGAACACACCGTGGGCTGTAGTCAACCTCCAGGCGCTCAGAACCGGTTCTATGTACCTCAATAGTTGGGTTTGAAGGTAGATGTTCCCGTAGCTACCTTACTTGGCATATCTGCATATCTATATCTATACAAATATGCATATATACAGTATATGCAACCTTGTATTAAAGAAACCTTAAACCAACCCTACAAGGAACAGCTGAAGGAACCCACAAAACCTCACCAAAACCTACAGCACCATAAAAGACCTACACAACTCTACTAAACACGCCACACGGCAGGGCACCCACCTCAAAACCCTATAGGCCACTTCAATCAACCCATCCGCAAGCAACAACAAAACACAAAACCGAAGTAATCACTCCTAAGTGACCCTTGAAGGAGATACTAAAGCCTTTAACTCACTGGCCCAAAACCCCAGGAAATAAAAGTTGAAACTTTCAGAATCGATTACCTTACAAGAACCCCAAAAGTTGAAAAGTTGAGTTTACAACCAATAAGTTAAGCCCTGAACCTCGTAGAGTCCCAAACCCTGAAGCCTTGAAGCCCTAAACACTGAAAGCCCCCCAAGCACCTCGTAGGAAAGGAAGGAAGCCTCAAAGGAATCCCTATAGATCCCTGAAAGCAAGCCTTAAAGATCCTCCTTAAAGGAACCGGTTTAGGGTTTAGGGTTTAGAGTTTAGGGGTTTAGGGTTTAGGGTTTAGGGGTTTAGGGTTTAGGGTTTAGGGAACCTTTAAAGGCACCCCCCCAAGCACCTCGCAGGAAAGGAGCGAAACGTCTGCAGAGTCCTTCGAGAGCCGGGCGGCCAGGGCGGTTTCCTCCTCGGCCTGTCGGGGAGCAGAGGGATTTAGGGAGTTGCGTGGGTTTAGGGTAGAGGGGAACTTTATGGGTGTAGGGATTTGCGTGGATTTAGGGTAGAGGGGACTTTTTGTGGGTGTAGGGATTATATAGTGGGTTTAGGGTATAGGGAATTTTCTATGGGTGTAGGGATTAGTGGCAGAGTCGAGGAGCAGAGATTTGTTTGTTTAAGTGCAGTGGTCTTTCTCCATGCCGCCATAGGTCTTGACTCAGAGAGTTTAGGGATTAGGGCTTAGGGGTTTTGGTATAGGGATGAAGTGGGGTTTAGTAAGGGGGACCTACCATCATTCTATAGGGCTTCCATATAAGGATCTTTTATGGGTCTGTATAACCCTCCCCCGGCCCCTGCCACCCTATCACCCAAACAGAGCCTCAACCCTCAGCCCAAAACCCTGAAAAACATAATTTCGGGACCTCACAAGAAGCCTAAAGCCCGTGAAATCTTAAAACACCCTAACCTAAGAAATCCTTTAAGGAACCCTCAAGGCAACCCTTAACAGAACCCTGAGCCCAAAGCCCTAAAACCCTCCAAAATCCCCAGCCACGGGACCCCAGAGAGCCCAATACCCCTTAATTAAGGAATATAGCCTAAACTATAGTAGGATCCTTAATATGATTTAAGGAATACTCCTTTATTTAAGGAAAATAGCCTAAACTATAGTAGGATCCTTAATATGATTTAAGGAATATTCCTTAATTAAGGGAGGTTGGGCTCTCTCTTGGAGGGTCGGGGGACTTAGTAACTGGTTTTTTCTTGACTTATAAGTACCATAACGCCCGCCAATTAGGGTGCCTTTTAGGGTACTTATAAGTCTACTTACTACCTACATACTAAGTCCCCAAACCCCTCAACCCTAAACCCTATAGTACCCTTATAGAGCCCTTTAAAGGAACCCTTAGAATCCTTTTTAAAGGAGCCCCCTACTTACTAAGTCCCCCGACCCTCCAAGTATTGGGCTCTCTGGTACTATTCCTCCATTCCCTACTAACCAAAGGTAAGATAAGCCTTTAACTCACTGGCCCAAAACCCAAGGAAATAAAAGTTGAAACTTTCAGAATCGACTACCTTATAAGAACCCCAAAAGTTGAAAAGTTGAGTTTACAGCCAATAAGTTAAAGGAATCCGTAGAGATCCCTTTAAAGGAACTCCTATAGATCCCAGGGATATTAGACTCCCCTAAACCCTAAACCCTACGGAGCCCTTATAGATCCCTTAAAGGAACCCTAACCCTAGGTATGCCTTAATTAAGGGAGATTGGGCTCTCTGGCAACCTGATGGAGGCGCTTCATCCACTGGCTGATGGAGGCCTCGAACTTCTGCCTGCGTTGGGGGAGCTGAGGGTTTAGGGATTTAAGGCTTAAGGCTTAGTGTAGGAACCTGATTAAGAAACCTTAGGCCTTTATTAGGGTTCCTTGTATGAATCATACCCTGCGTTCAGGGATTGGGAATTCAGTGTTTAGGGTTTAAGGCATACCTGAACCCTGAATTATGATTTCCTCATATAAGTCCTTCAAAAAGTAGTTATTCCGGCTTAAGGTAGGGGTTCAGGAGTTTAGGATTTGGGAGTTCCCGAAAATCAGGGGTACCTTATGTTGGGGGTCCTTATAATAAGGGTATTACTATTTAGGGTAATAGATCGGGAATTCAGTGTGTAGGGTCTAGGGTTCATAGAGGTTTGGGGTTCGAGGATATAAGGATTTGAAGGTTTAGGGTTTGGGGATTTAAGCTTCAGGGTTTAGAGGTGCAGGGTTTCAGATTTAAGCTTCAGGATTTTGGGTTTCTGGTTGTCAGAGGTACACAACACAATGCGGGTAGAGATCCCTACTTAGGGACTTAGGGGCCCGGGGAACTTAGCAAGTAGGTTATAAGTACAGTTACAAGTATCCTGAATGGAGTTGCCCCAATTATAACCACTTATAGCCGACTTACGAGGACCACAGGGTCTGCACTTCCCCTATGCGACCTCCAATGCAAACGAGCTGCACAGGCATGTGTGCACCGTCCTTAGGTGCTTCAGCTGGCATCGCCCTCCGAAGCCCCTGAACAGGCTCAACCCATGAACCCATCAGCTCACGGCCCTAACCCCAAAACCCCGACCCTCACACCCTAAGCCTCAAAAACATCCAGCCATGAACCCGAAACAATGAACCCTAAACACGATGTGTCAAACCCATGAGCTCGAAACGACTCAAAGAGAATCGAGCAGTAGACCCTAAACCCCAAAACCCTAGCCCCCTAACCCCCAACCCTCAACCCCTAGCAGTAGCACATGGCACCACTTGAAAAATCTTGGGACCTGGAAAAGGGTTAATGCCATGGACTTGGGGACTATATTCTAGGTTCCTGAATAGCCCCTTTAGAATAAGGGTACCCTTGTTCCTAATACTCAGTTTTACGAAGGAAGCCCCAAAGCAAAAAGGGCAAACGGGTACCACTCAGTAACCTAGTATTCGGTCAAAAGGGTTTTGGGGTTCCCCGGGCATGGCATGGAACTGCCTATGATTCGTTTACATACCCACACAATCAGGGCGACACCCGAGAATGTAATAACCGAAAACACAGTCGCCTGAATTTCGCACAGCGGAGACTAGGCAAAGGTAGCCTAAATAAGTAGAGGGTTTTGGGGTATCATAATTAATTCTGTAAGAAATCAGGAGCCCGAAGGAATAGTATTCAGAAGTGTGCATGCCCCTATGTGAACTTAGGACGAAGGCCCATAGGCCAAAAAGACCAAAAACCCTCACAACCGCTTAACACCCGAAACAGCGCCTTAAACCACACAAAAAAGTAACTGCCTGGTTTAGGGCTTGTAGGGTTTAGGGTAGGGTCCAAGACCGGCCAAGTGGCTGCGAGCAATCGTGCCAAGACCGTGGCTGCCACACGCCGGGCGTCGTTGCCATCCAGGGCAGCCTGATACGGGTTTTTGGTTTAGGGCTTAGGGTTTAGGGCTCAGGGTTTACTAGGATACCCAGTAACCTAAGAATAAAAAGGCCTCTCTTTTTGGTATTGGGTAACTTGATAAGGAACCTAGGACTACAAACAGGGAATAAGGGTACTACTGGGCATCCTAGTTTAGGGTTTCTGAACATCAGTTTGCTTTTTGGGGTGGTCCTGACAGTGTTGATCCCACTCCAAACCCTAAACGCTAAACCCCCGGAAAGACCCAAACAAAGGTCAAGGGTCTAGTGTGTTTAATGGTTTTGGATGTTGTTTAATCTTTTTGCTTTGTTTTAGGCTTTGTTGATAATGGCTACAGTTTATATATTCACAGGCTTTAGGTTCTCGTTTTTAATGGTTTTAGGTTCGGGGCTGTCAGAATTTTGGTATCAGGGCTTAGGCTCTTTGTTCTTTTTGCTAGGGCCCTGTGCGTCGACTGGGTTTTTGGTTTAGGGTTTCTAAAAATTGGGGCCGCATCAAGACATTCCCAGGCGTACGTTTTTTTTGGGATCACTCGCTCTTGGGGATCACTCCGCAAGCTTCCGTTTAGGGCTCAAAACAAGTTTTATAGGGCTCCTTGACCCAAGAATAACCTAGGAATAAAAAGGGTGCCCTTCTTGGTTTAAAGGGGCTCATAAGGGAACCTGAACCCTCAGAAAAGGGAATAAGGGCCTACTCTGGGTCCTAGGCTCTATAGACGGGTACTACAATGAGTTCGGGGTTGAGGGTTCCTCAATGTTTTGGAGAGGCCCGAAACCTGTCGCCCTAAACCGGAACCCCAGGCCCTCCATCGCAGAAAGAAGCCTAAAATTCTGTTACACCTAGCACCCTGATAACCACTTCATAAACCCTCGTTGCCATGTTAAACCGCGAAGAAAACTGCCAAAACAACAGCTCAGAAACCGTTACATGTAGAGCACCCTGTTAACACCCAGAAACAGGCAAACAACTGTAACGCCCTTAAACCCCAACACAGCTCCTTCAAAAACTGTTTAACCCAAAACCCAAAACTCTAAACTCGAACCCCTAGACCCTAAACCCCAAAAAACAACAGAAGAAAACTGCCTGAAGGCTCTACAGCCCTGAACCCTAAACCGCCTAAGCCCCAAGAAGCACTGAAGTCATTTTATAAACTTTTAAGTGCCATAACCCCAATTAGGTTCCCTTTTAGGGTACTTTTAAGTCTACTTACTACCTACTTACTAAGTCCCCCGACCCTCCAAGCAACTGCCTGAAGGGTTTCGTGGCTTCCGTCAGAGACCCGGAGCAGAACTCCACAGCGGACCTGGTTTAGGGATTGAGTTAAGGGCTTACAGCAAACTCCAAAAAGTTGGAAACCTAGTTATGTGTAGTGCTGGGATTCCCTCTACTTTACTCTTCGGGATTGAGGCTATTGGTTTCCAACTTTTTGGCTTCTACTGTAAGGGCTTAAGGAGCTTGGGATTTAGGGCTCTGGTGCTTAAGGATTTGGGCCCTTGAGGGTTTAGGATTCAAGGACTTGGGGTTTGGGGTTGAGGGTTTAAGGGTTCAGGGCTTTCGGGGTTTAGGGATTGAGATACGGGCTTAAGGAGCTAGGGATTTATGGCTTTGGGTTTTCAGGGTGAGGATTTTTTGCTGGATCCTGCAAATTCCTCGTTTAAGGCTTCAGGTTTCTTTGGGTTGGGGGCCAGAGACAACAGCACCCGACTCACACCTCCACCACACCCAGCGGTGGAAGCGACAGCGAGGATGTAGACGACCTGAGCAGGGAAAGCGGGTTGCGCGCATAGGCTTTTGGAATAGAACTTTGGGCTTTAGGGCGGGATGAGAACGCTGGGCTTCAAGGTTTTGGGGGATTAAAGATTTGGGGGTTGCTTCGAACATTGGGATTTACGTTTTTACATATGTTCAAGGTTCTGACATTTTGGACGTCGGGGTTTGGGGATGGTTCCTTCTCAATCCTCACCGAGGCGTACCTTAATCCTGGGTTCAGATTCTTGCCCAGGCGTCTGATGTAAGATACCATCAAGAATTAGGGTTTAGGGTTTAGGGTATTGATTCAATGGTCAGGAAAGCATGTTACTAAACTAAAGATACTGTAGATCCCTACTATGTCCAAATAGGATACAGAAACTCAAACTAAGTTCCTTAACCAGGACCTAGAAACCGGACACCTAGGATAGCAAATGCAGGCCCAACATGAATAGCTCGCACGCCTCTGGTTTGTTTGGGGTTTCAGGGTTCAAGGGTTTAGGCTTAAGGGTTTCAAGGGTTCCGATGGTACAGCTTTTGGATGCAGAAGAGGCCTGGATGGAGGCTAGAGCTTGGCGTTGCCTGTTCGACAAAGTACGAGGTTGCAAGTACATCAACCGCAAAGCCCACACACGTTGCAGTGACAAGTATTGTAGCAAGAGTGGCAAGGACAATACAATGGTGCTGGTGTTGATGCCCAATCATCACGAAGAACTCCGGTCTTTGAAGCAGATCACGCTGTTTTTGCGATGATCAGGGCGTATCGGTGCCTGCCGATGGGCTTTCCTCTCATCGAGCACCCAACCCTCGAGGGGTGCCGAAGTGCGAGCGTATCTCCCGACGGTAGCTACATTCCCAGAGACTCCAATATCCCTTATAATTAAGGAATATACAGTAAATTATAGTAGGATCCCTAGTATGAATTAAGGAATATGCCTTGATTAAGGGATATTGGAGTCTCTGGGCAAGTTGGTCCCTGCACTGTCGCATCCCCGACCTTTGCTCTTTTAAACCACACGAAAAGGCTGAGTCGGGATCCAATCCTCGCGACTGTCGCAACCCCTCATACTTACGATGATGATTCTCATCATCACCTGCACCAGCAGAGAGCCAACGAGCACTTCCATGAAACAGATGTGAGCACATGGGGTTTAGGAATTAGGATCTCAGGTTTGTATCACAAGACAGAATCCTGAACCCTTGAACCCCGCCTGTGAGCGATGAAGCCAGAACCCTGGACCCTAAACCCGCCCAAATCCCAAACCCCAAGCCCCTAAACCCTAAGCCCCCAAACTCTAAACCCTAAACCCCAAACCTGAGCTTCTGTCTTCATCCCAGTTGCAGAGCTGCAGCCAACTCGTCGGAGTCGAGGAATTCGAAGAGGCTTCCCAAAGCCTTGAGTTCCGGCTCTGCGGGTTTTGTTCAGGGCTTGCTGGTTTGAGGTTTGTCTTTGGGATTTGCGGTATGGGGTTTAGGGCTCTCTGAGCATGTGCTGAAGTTCAACTTCACTTCTTCACTGATGCCAGAGGAGAGTCCTGTGCTAACTAAAGCATGCACGGCCAAAAACGATCCTGCTGTAGGATCGTAGCCAAACTAGAAAGAATCCAAAGGAAAGCCTGTACAAAACTAAACAAAAGCCTCAGGCAGCCGGATAGGCCCAGAAAGCCCGCAAGGAAAGCGGGGGCGGGGCCGCAGGAGCAGAACCGGCAATGATGGCGCGAGCAGACGAGGCCAAGGAAGCAGAGCTCGCAGCCAGGAAAACAGGACCTGCAGGGGACCAGAAGTCCAAGAAGACGGCAGAAGGAAGCAGCCGCCGCAAGAGGACGAGGCCCTGTTGACTGGGGCGCCCGGGAATCCAGAGGGCGCCAAACCGCAGAACAACCTTACAGGACATGCGGAAGGAGATCAAGGCAGCAGCAATCCCCAACAGAGACCATCTGCCGGAGGTCGCATCGCCAAGAGAGACAGGAGCACCAAGCCCGGAAGACGAGGCGCGACGGAGGACGCCAAGCGACCGGAAGGCCCGGAACTCCCAAGGGGCAAGGAGCTCCAAGGCTGACCACAGGGGCCAGAAGCAATGCCACGATGGGGGAAGCCGAAAGACCCCACCCATGGCGAGAAGCCCAGGCCACCAGGGCGTAGGCAGAGCCCAATCCTTGCCTGAGGCGGCCCCATCGACAAAGGAGAACCAAGAGGGCAAGGAACCCACAAATGACAAAGATGAGGCAAGGCGAGACAGGGAGGGCTCCGAAACTGGAGCCGTAGCTTGGAGAGATCCAAGTCCGGCAGGGGTTGGAGCAGCGATGGAGGACCCTGTGACGGCCCGTTGCAGGTTGCCGGGGACGAGGTCGGAGAGGGCCGGTGAGCGCTGCGCTGTATCCCACTCCTGTTGCAGCTCCTCCTCATCAGCAGGCAGGCCCAGATCCGCGGCCCGACGCTGTGCTGGGGTGGCATTGCAGGGCCCGCATAGGCGTTGTGGGGGAACACCCCTGTGGGCCGTTCTACCCCTGCGTTTGGTGCCAGACCCATATTGGTAGACAGGCCCTACCGTCACCCGAAGCCCATGCAAGCAGGCCCGGTGGGATTGCAGATGGTATTTCAGCCGATCCGAAGAGTGGAAATCGTGCATACACCAGAGGCAAACAGAGCCGGCCATGTAGGCAGTCACATCGGACAGCACGCCATGTTTGCGATGCATGTGGGCTCTGACCGCGTGCAGGCTCGGGAATATGATGCTGCACACCGGGCATCGATGGGCCTGGGGGGGTCCTAGAATTTGGGTGGCCTTACGGGTAGAGAGGTCATCCCACAGCTGAGCACAGGCAGAGTACCTATGTCCAAACTTGCTGAGTGCCTTGCAGGCGCGAAGGAGGGCACGGCTGTGGGTATGAACAAACAGAACCGTGACGGCGGGGGGAGAGTTAGGGTCCCAAACTTCAAGCGCAACCCCAACCCTCATACATGCTGCAACGAGGGCCTGGCACCAAGGGAGGGCCCTGTTCCACGCAGCGTCGACGATTTCACGCACCGCCGTGGGTGCTTTGCAGAAGAGCTGGACGCAAAGGCGACACTGACTAATGGTAGTAGCCAGGTCAGGAGGAGTAATGTCAGCAAGGAGCCGAAGCAGTGGGGTGGTGAGCTTGTGCCCGACCTGCCACGAGGACAACAGGATCCTGGCCGTGCGATCGAAGAGGCCAGTGAGAGGGGCCGTGGCACGGCCGGAGTCGGCCAGAGACATAGCAAGGGAGGAATACGCGGAGGGCAGGACTCGTCCCGCGACCCACGCCCGTTTAAGTTCCCAGGGCAAGCAATTGCTGCAGAGGAGGGTGCGGGCAAGGGAGGCCGCAGCGGCGCCTCGTTGGGCGGCAAGCTCACAATCGCGGCGGCCCGTATCCCGAGGCAGCTGAGCCACACCCAGATACTTATACTCGGGACACAACCTGATGCTGTCAGAATCAGAGATCTTTAACATGGCATCGCCAGTAAGGAGAACTCCGCGGGCCGCCCGAGCGCCCTCCCCCCGGATGTCAACAAGGGCCTCAGTTTTACCCGCACCCAAATTAACACGAAATCGGAGGAGTCGGAGAGTGTCAAGGATAATGCCGACCAGCACGGGCAGTTGAACAAGAAGATCAGCTGGTCGGTCAAAATCGGCCATAACCGCAAGGTCGTCAGCCCAGCCGATGGGCTTGACCCCTGGGGAGAGGCCGACTTCAGCGCCGGCGCTGGTGTGAACAATGCCCTGGCGGGTGGCAACGCGCTGGATATGCTGAAGACCGACAGCGAAGAGGGCCCCAAAAAGGATATCAGCTAGGCCGTCACCTGGACGAGACCCCCGTGACGCAAGAAAAATGTTGGAAGAGCCAGAGAGTGACCAGTGGGAGAGGGCGACGCAGTCACGGAGGAGCGCAACAACGTCCTCTGCAACCCCCAAGGCAGCTAGGGCCCCTTGTTGTTGAAGGCTGAGAACCAGCCCAGCAAGGTGGTGATGCTCTGGCAAGGCAACGTCATCAGGAAAGCCTTCAAAGAGGAGATCCCGGCTGGCCTCATAGTACGCGGCCTGGATATCGACGAAGACCACGGCAACACATCGGCCGGCAGAGATGGAAAGGTCCCAGGCACAACGGAAGGCGGCCAACGCAAATCCTGTGTGGACACCTTTGCGGCCCCCAAGCTGCATAGGCTCGTATCGCGACAAGACGTGGCCACCCACAGTGGAGCGCAGGTGCGAATGCCAGAGCTTCGCGATGCCGTTCAATAGCGCGATAGAGCGGTAATTGGCAGGAAGAGAGGCAGGGCCCTTCTTGTAAAGGGCACATACAATGGCAGCCTTAAAGGCAAAAGGCTCCCTTCCTTGGAGAGCGATGCGCACGCACAGGGGCCAGAGCCACTGCCCTGCTGAGGCTCCCTGCGCGCGCCAGAGCTCGTTCCGCAGTCCGTCTGGTCCTGGGGCCTTGGCGGCCGCCTGTCGGACACACATTTGTTCCATCTGCAAGAGGGTGGGAACCGCCTCGGCGCACGGGAGGCGCGGTTCATTCATCCATCGCTCAGCGGCGCTGGAGAGCTGGACTGGGCTGACCAGACTGGCCCCCTCCTGATCACGGAACTGGGCCTCCAACTCACTATCAATGTCGAACCCACCGGCTGCGTGGACAGACCGGCGCTCGTGGGCCTTGCGGGAGGCCCAACGCAGATGCCGGATGGATTCCAGAGGGACTCCAGTAGCTTCCCAGTGTTTGGTCGCCTCCAGAGTAAGTGTGCGGAAATGAGCCAGCTTGTCGGACCTAGCAAGATAGTGGGCCTTCTGCTGAAGCCCCCGAACATGAAGATTACAAGCCTGGAGAAGGAGGCGGGCATGCTGCAGGCCCGTCGGATCAGGGCGCAGGGGTGCAGCATCGGGGTGCCGGTGTGTGCACCCCAGACGCCAGACTTGCAAAAGAAAGCGACGCTGCTGCCACTCCAGATTGGTCCGCAGCCGGGGGAGCTGTTCTCGCGCCTGCCGAACTCGATCGAGTGCGGCAACAGAGGCCGCTGTGATGTAGGGCTGTCGGATGGGGCGACGTGGAGGGCGAGGAAGGGCCCGGAGCAAGCAGGAGTGCTTGGTCTTAAGAGCCTGCACTTCAGCTCCCACGCTGTCAATGTGCCGGAAGGTAGACGGCAGAGCTCCCCAGAGATCGGCAGCAATGGCCTGTGCCTGGTGCACAGTTGCGCGGGGTGGGGCCGGCGCTTTGGGCCGGATGGCCTGGCCCCGAAGGTCGCACTCGACCAGAAGCGGCATATGATCCCGACGACCATTGAGAATGTCCAGCTCAGGAAGCTGTCGGGTGCGACGGCAGGACCAGGGGCCAGCCTGGAGCAAGATATGGTCTAGACGCTTGCGGGTGCCGCCAGTATGCTCCCAGGACCAGCCCGGGCCGTCCTGGAGGTCCGAGAAGGAGGCGGGGGCGAGGAGGCCAAAACGCTGGATGGTATCAAAGAGGCCTTGCTCGCCCGCGCCTTCTTCACCATTACCAAGAGCATCCCCGATATAGGCATGGTCTTCATCGGCCCAGAGGAGATCAGCGTTAGCGTCGAGACCCAGGACTAAAGTGAGGGCCCGTGGGAGCTGGCACAGCTGAGATTGCAGTGAGGACCAAAAGTGGTGGATTTCGGGCACTGGTCTGTCGGCGTGTGGAGCATGCGCCGCTACAACGGCCAAAGGGAGGTCCGCCCGTTTACAGACTATGACTAAAAGTCTTGGGTCAGCACAGGCAATCCGCCAGTCATCCAGGCGGAGGGGGGGGTTAACTATCTGGGGCCTAACCCAAATTTCGCAACCGTAGCTACCTTTTTGGGCACCGGAGCGCCAGGTGAGAAGGCCGGCTGTATCCCATCGGCCCCCTTTGCTGCGCGTCTCCTGAAGGCAGACCACATCGAGGCCCAACTGGGCGACTTGAGAGTACAAGTATTGACGCCGCTGGCCATGACCCGAAGGATTGAAGAAGGAGGCACAAGAATCCCGCATGGTTTGAACGTTAGCCGTAACAATGCGGAGGGATAGCGAGGGTGCTAGCGGCAACGGTCGCTGGGGCTCTAGCGACGGAGCCGCACAGGGCACCTCGGCGGGAGGGCACTGGACAGCGGGCCCTCGACCTGCTGGTGCGTGGGTAAGTGACTGCGCGGTGAGACGGATCCAGGGTCTGCCTTGGACCACCTTGGCATGTGGAATGAGCCAGAGCCAAGGCGCCGCTTCCTGCAGCAGAGCGGGGAGGGCAGCATCGACATGTTTCCAGGGATGCCACGAGGTCCGACCAGCCCAGCCAGCGAGAAAGTCGGCGATCGTATTAGGGAGAATGCCAACATGGCTGTGCACGTGCTGAAAGCGAGTGGACATACGGGACTGGACAGCCTGCCAGATATAACGAGTAAGGGTGGTGACTGGCTCATTGGCCTGCGCTTGCCCGGCCGCGATCTGGAGCGCAGAGGCATTGTCAACCGCAATGGTGACCTTGGCAGGCGCTGCTGACGTCAGAAGGGAGAGGCGGTCAACCCAAGCGAGGAGCCAGAGGCCCGCAGCCTGCAAGGCCCAAAGCTCAGCGTGAAAGGAGACACCACTCCCGGGGGCCGCAGTTCCAGAGAACCAAGGGGTATCGGCCCCCGCGGCGCCGAACCACCCGACCCGGTGCCACTTGTGACGCCACCAAACCCATACGCAGAAGGCCCATGCGCCTCCCCGCTCGCCACTCCCATCAGTGGCGATGAGAACCTGATCGGGTACACCGCCAGACCATACTGGGAAACTAGAGAAGGCCTGGCGATAAGGCGCTGGAGCGGATGCCGGGAGATTCTGGAAGAGGTCGTGCGTCCACCACAACTGGTGCAAGGAAGCCTGAGCGGCACACTCTTGGTGAATATCTGCCGCCCAGGAGAGTCCATCCGGGCTGTGCCAATCTGGCGCCCCCCATGCACGAAAATAGCAGCTGGTGCGGGAGAGCAACCCGAAATCCACTCCAATGGGCGAAGGCCCTGGAGTCCGCGCAAGGGCATGAGTGGAGACCGGCGGGAATCCAAGGGCCGCCGTACCCGGAAACAACTCGGGCAGCCCAGCCAGAAGAACCCAAGCACTGAGAAAAGAAAACCAGTGCCGACCCAGACGCCCGCGAACGGCCAGACTGGCAAGCAACGGGAGCAAGGTGCGGGAGGGAGCGCTGCCCAGGGGGGAGCCGCTGTCACCATCCCGCAGGAGTCCATCTGCGCCATGGCGAGGCACAACTCGAACGCTAAGGGGGGGTCGGGCAGACAAGACATGGGCCCAATGAAGATTAGGGCTTTCAGGGACAAGATGGAGCCCAAGGTCGTCAACCCGGGCTGCTGGAATCCAGCGGCCGACACTGAACCGGACCAGAGAAGGGCGGAAGGTGCAATGTTCAGGATCCCACTGTTCATCGGGGACAGTAAGCGGGACCGGGTCTCCCGGGGACCAAGCAAAGAGGAGTCCAGGCTGCCTAACGCGAAAGGGGCTGCCCCAGAAGGCTAGCTGACGAGCCTGGAGTAGGGTTTCCCAAAACCGCCCGACAGGTGAGCGGAGGCGCGGGGCCCACGTGGCGCTGGCCAGAGTCAAGACGTCACCAGACCGGAGGAATAAGGTGGGGGTACAGGTCGTAGCAGTACCGCACCAAGCCTCCGGGGGAGCCAAGACGTATGACAAGTCAGGAATAAAGTGGCTGCTGGCTCGTGCAAGATCAGCCACAGCACAGGTAGCGGGAAGAAGTGCAGCTCTAGTGGCAGGCGGGCACTGGAGCAGCACAGTGGCAAACAGCGGAGCCGAAGGTACCGGGACCCAGTCGATGGTCCTGAGGTGGTCGAACCCTGGTGAAATCGGACCAAGCGGGTGCGGCCTCCTGGAGAGCAGGTGGGACAAACAGAGATGGTCCCGGAAAAGGTCCAAGGAGGCCCCGGGCGGGGTCCCAGAGGCGGTGGCGGAAGCCAGGCGGTTCGGCAGCTGACCCGTCACAGTTTGACGTTGCCAAAGACCATTGTCGACTGCCGCTCTCGTGGGGAAGACGTGCCCCCGACACCGGGGGGAGAGCGAGCAGCCCAGCAAACATAAGAAGATAGCCAGGGGCCGAAGAGGCAGAGCCAAGTGCCCACCAAGCTGCAAGCCCGAAAGAGCAGGGGAGCCAACAGGAGGGGAAGAGTCCTGGGCAGCCGGAAACAACATCGCCGCTGCGAAGGGTCGTCCCTTGGCGCAGTTCCTGGTGTGGGACACCAAGGACGCGGGGCTGAGAAGAGATAGATGGGAGCTCAGTCCAGAGTTGCCAGGCATCGGTAACGGCTGTGACAAGGGCACACCAGCAATGGCCGTCTGCTTCCACAATGACATTGACCCTCGAAGGGTCCTCCGGCAGCAAAACCAAGTGGGCATGATCCTGGGCGATCCAGGGAACCGGAACCCAACGCCCAGGGTAGTGGAGGCTAAAGTCACCATCAAAAGTATAATCAAGAGCACGCCAGCGGCTGCCTGCCGGTGCGTGTCCCCGGATGGCTCGAACAGCAGGCCTCCAGAGTATGAAGTTGACACGGGTGGAGACCGAGAAATCAACAGCCCAAATGGCGCAATGCCGCACTTGGGCGTCGGAATGAAAGCACGGGGGCTGGTATTCGGGCGCAAAAGCTGCAGGAGGCAATGCAACAACCAGGTCTCCAGATCGCCAGCGCACGCCTTGGTCAGATGTGGCATCGGCCGTGAGAGCACTGGGTGCACGAACCGAGAGAGTTTGCATCGGCTGTAGGAAGCGGAGAGCCGCGCCCAGCCAGGACACAGAGGTAGTGCAGGGCACAAGGATAGAGAAGTGCCGATCCAAGGAGGAGACCGCTAAACAGACAAGGTCTGGCGTCAGGGGACGGGGAACAACCAGAAGGGCCGGTATGGCAGCTGTCGGCCACACAGGTGCAACTTCAGCACCCCAAGCTGGGTCGCAGGAGCGTGTGAGAGCATTGAGCTCTCCGGTAGTCGAGGCAGTGGGCAGTCGCCCAGCCTCCTGGGGACCTGTGAAGGGACTAAGAAGGACAATGTCAAGCTCTGTGCGATTGGTGAGATCAACCAGATCAGCCGCAGCGGCTGCGGCCCGCCACGGGAAGAAACCCACACGAATTGGCTGTTCCGGCAAATCTAGTGCGGGAGTCATACCCTGACCGGCACAAACCAAGCAAGCCAGGGCGAGAAGCCGGGGCCATCTGGCCGAAAGGACCGCAAGCCAAGCCCAGCGACCAGAGATGGCGGCGGCAGCAGAAGACGAGGGCCCCCAGCATGGGCGCGCAACTGGGCCCGGGGCCGGGTCCGGTAGGGTCCCAAACCGTGTCAGCAGTCGGGTCCAGCACGAGGACATCTCCATCTCGGAGAGGACTGTCTGCCCGAACGTACTGCAGAGCAGGTAGAAGGCGCCACCCAGGTGGAGCACGGTAGGCATTGCAACCAGCGAGCAACAACCCCTGAGGCTCAAGATCGGGGGGCAGTAAGAGAAGGACATGAGCCTCACCAGTGGAGGTGCTGTGTACCAGGTGCAGACTGGAGAGATCCCCAGAGAGGACAGGGACCCACGACCCTGACAGCGCTCTGCCATTAAGACTCCAGAAGGTGGGGCCCTCAGGATCCCAATAGCCGGTATCCCTGATCCGAATACAGTGGCCAGATCGACGGCCCGTATACCACAGGCAGACGTAGCCGCCCGAGTCAAAGCGAAAAGGGAGCGACCAGCTGGCAACTTGCCGTGCCCGGTCCAGAGAGGCATACTGCAGCAAGGGATAACGGGTAGCACCCGGATCGGAAGGCTCAGGAAGGAGGCTAAAAGCATCGCCGTTGCGGAGCCGGATATGCGCATTCGGGATGGTAGTGCGCAGCACAGGTGGTGCTATGACGCGCCAAAACCGGGTGTGAGGAAAGACGCGAACAGCAAGCCGGTGAATGTCATCGAGAGACGAGTCCACCGAGGCAAAAGCAACGGCCGAACACCCTCAATGTGCAGGGCCACAGTAGCAAGACCGTATGGTGCAACCGGAGCGACTGTGATCTGCGAAATTGGGAGCACCGCCCGGACAGGGAAGAAGCGATGGGCCCAAAGCCCGCAGTGGCGCGTACCTTCCTGCTCGATAGACCGCCATGATCTGGTCGTGTCAAGGAAGCTGGTCTCGCTCCAGCCCCTCAGGGGGCACAAAACACGAGCCGTGAGTGGTCGGGGACCAGGGAAGTAACGTGCGAGTGGGCCATCAGGGCTATCGGGCTGCCAGCCACCTAGCGGAACATAGGGCTCCCCATCATTGAAATCGATGGCAGGGGGAAAGAACCTTCCCGGCCAGGGATAGGAGGGTGAGCGACTTCTGCTGGGCCGTCGCCTAGTGCGGATGGTACGCGCCTCGGAAGAGTCCGCGCTGGGGCAGCGGCCAGAGGCACTGGAGGACGCTCCCCACACAGGTTCAAGAAGCCCGAAGAAGACAAGAGCTAGTTGGGCAGGTAGGAGAGGGCGCCTCCCCAGGAGACCGAAAGCAGCAGAAAGGACCCACCAGTCTCCGTCCCTGGTCTGAGCAACCTGACAAGCCCGGCTGGATGCAGGTCGAAGGGAGTACCCGGCAATATAGAAATCATGCGCAGCGTCCCGAGCGGTTTCAACACACCTTGTGGCCCCACTAGACTGAATAATATTGGCATGCCCCTGAGAGGGAGACTGCTCGACGAGCCAGGGGGGAGCGCCTAGATGTCCATGGCAGGGGGCCCAGCGGTGGTGGCCAAGCTCAACCTCATGATGTAGCACTGTAGCTGCCGCTGCGTCCCATTTGGCCTGATGGCCCAGCAACACGACCCTAGCGGAACGGCTAGGGGACCACAGAAGCACACAGGAGGCTTGGGCCACCACAAAATCAGAGTGCCAGGCCGCAGCGGCATGGGCAGCACCCCATGTCAAGTACACCGGGGGCTCGCGAGGCCCTGCGAGAGGGTCCAGTTGGAGAGGGCAGACAGCTAGAACGTCCCCAGAACGGAGTGCGAGGACTGGCCGATCAGAGTGAGCGGTGGCCCCCAATCCGGGCTGGAGTTTAAGGCTCACGCGGCGGCCAAGCCTCATCTGGAGGGCCTGAGTGAGGTCTCGAGGGGTAAGGAAGGACGGCAGGATGACACAGAGCATCTGACCTAAACCCAAGACAATAAGGCAAACCAGCCTACTTCCCGGGAGAGGGACAACAACCTGGGACCCTTCTAAAACCAGGCCAGTGGCAGCAAATCCCCGATGCCATGATGTCAAAGTGCGGTGGGCGTCTGCCATAACATCATCGAAAAGGTGACGTGGGTCGGCCTCAACACGATGCCATGGTGCAAAAGGGTTGGCAACAGTGACCGAGACCCTGGGTGGGGCAGCTGGTGGAATAACCGAGGATGTGGTCTGGCTCAACACCGAAGTTTCCGGAACCATAGCTTGCGCGCCATGTAGGCACCAGGTCAGCATAAGAAGACGGGAGAAAAAGCCGGAATGGGCCCCAAGGGAACCCAGCAGAATCGAAAGAAAGGTGCCCGTACGACAGGAGGAGAAAGCTGGGACGAGGCCCAGGGCCAAACCCCACAGAAGTGGACGGCCGCTGCAGGCCCCTCGGGCAAAGTCGCCGAACACGACATCCCCGTTCCGAAGCTCACAGGCCTGATTGAGAGCGTAGGAGGGGACGCCCCCCACTTGCAGGGATCCAGGGAGGAAGTGCAGTTGATCGGCAAGGCTATCGCGCGAGGCGATCCGATCAACGGTACGGCAGAAACGGCCTTCGGGAGAGGCAGCAACCACGTTAACCTGAGCCGCAACACCATGGACCTCGATCAATTGCAATGCCCGGGCACCGGACCACTGAACGGGTGTCCACATGCCCGGAAAGTGGTTACGGAAAGTGCCGGTGAACGTAAAGGATTCTGGGCACCAGGCTTCTCCAGCTGAGACAGAGGCCAACAGGGGTGGGCGATTGGGGCGAAGCAGGTGCACAGAAATGCCGAACATAAGTTGAACGCCCGTAGCCCAGGGAGCGTGGTGAGCTGCAAGGCCATCCTGCAGGTGCCAAGGATCGACAAACTCGAGCGGCTCAGAAGGGTCCTCCGGAGGGTCATGGATGTACACGACATCGCCGTTGCGAAAACGGAAAGCCGCGGGCGGAACATCAAAGAGCTCGCAGATCGCGAGCCCGTGCGGCAGGGAAATGCCATCAACGGGGCTATTGATGTGACGCGAGATAAAGGCTGTCAACCACGCCACTGTCATGGTCCGCGGGGTAAGCGTGGCCCGATGGTGGCCCCGCCACATCAGCATAATGGTCACAAGGGCCGCATCTTGTCCCACCGGGACCATGGACAACTCGTTGAAGGCGGGGCCCGGCCACACAGGAAAGCTGAAGTTCAACGCTGAATCCGAAACGCCCGGAAAGTCAGAAACCCCAACCTGAAGCCAGCCCAGTCCCCACCCCGCAAGGGTTTAGGGTTTAGGACCTCAGACGCCGAAAACCGCTTCTCTCCAACACCGCCGCAAACAACCAGAAACGTATTGCATTGCTCCCCCCACATCAAGCCCGGAAATCTCGGAAGAGCCACGGCATAGCCCACTTTGGGGGACCTAGAGAGCGAAGAGTCAAGAAATTCCTTAAACTATAGGCACCCTACACCCTCCAGCTTAAACCGTAAACCCCCAAAAGCCTAAACCCCCAAAACATGAAACCCTAAAAGCCCTCCTGAAACCGTAAACCCCCAAAACCCTAAACCCCCAAAACATGAAACCCTAAAAGCCCTCTGTCTTTCACCACGTGGCCGGCTGGTACTTCGTGAGCCACTCGGGGATGGCCTCACGAGATTTCGTGTTTAGGGCTCAGGATTGGCTTAGGAGTATAGGGTTTAGGGCAGCTCCGAGTCATTTTGAGGGCATAGGGTTTTGATAGCTTTATATACTTGGGTCTTCATAGGGGTGCTGACAGAGAACTGAAGGGGCGTAACTAGGGTTTCAATGAGGTTTTGATAGGGCTTCGGGCTGGGGGTGTGCATAGTGTTCTCTGGGGTTTCCGGGCTGTGAAAGTTTAGAGCCATGTCTGCAAACCGAGAAAACTGTGTAAGCACCTACCCAATGTCGGAGCTGGGATAGGGTTTGGAGTTTAAGGTTTCCAAAAGTGTTGCATGCTTGGGTTGTGGAGTTTGCGGCCAGGGTATGTATCACAGCAGGTTTTGCAGACACACCAAGCACATGACAACTCAAGTATACTCGAGCCATGCGCGAAGAAATCACCCTAAACCTCTGAGCCCTGAACCTATGCAAAACCCTTTTGGGTTCACCGTTGAGGGGCGGGCCTCAACCACGTCCACAAGGAAGGGTACAGCAGTGATTGTCCTGATGGCATCGTTGATGAGCTCCTGAAGGCTGTAAAGGGAGCTCCAGAAAGTTGGAATATGATTAATGGCAGGATCCCCTATAATTTACCGTAAAGGGGTTACGATAATGATATTCCAACTTTCTGGCTTCTACTGTAGATGATAGTTAGGTCGTGGGTAAGTCTTTCTCGAGCAGTCGGTGTCGGTATCGGGTATGTTGACTTATTTCAAGCAGGGTCAGTCGATGGGTTGGGATACTAGTCAAATTCAGCACAGCCAAACGGCCCAAGCCTGAACCATCGCTATCCCTAAGGCCCTATACATCGTATAGGCCCTTCCAGCACAGAAAACTGGCACAGACCTAGCGGTGTGCGTTGAATTACAGGTCTTGTTCTGAAAAATGAAGTTCCCTAAACAGTGTGCTTGTTGAGGCGTCAAACGAAAACAGTACGTTGCATCATAACCAAGCCTCCAACAAGCACTTAGGGGATCTGTAAGTTCCATGTCTTGCTGAGTTGAAAGGCCCACAGAACCATCCTGAACAATTTTTCTATGCGGTCTTCAGGAGATGTAACAAATGTCCCAAAGCGCCACCTAGCTTGTAGAAGCAATACGCGATTGAAGTGGGTCGAATTCAGGCGGGAGTGCATTGCGCGCTAATTGCGGGAATCATCTCCGTTACATTGGGCCGGGTAAGCCACTCAAAGCCTGCAGGCTGAAATTCAATAAATTTCAACCAATGCATTAGTCTTTGCAAGGCTCCTGTCGCGTTTCCTGGGAGACAGCGCCGGAGGTCGGAATCGGATCGTCGCGGGCCGTCTTTGCCAAGAGTACCTGGCTCGTGAAAGCAGGGCCGTCCTGTCTAGACATCCGTCAAGAAAATGCTTGTAGGTTCGGGGCAGTTAAAACTTGATGAGTAGTGTACTCACAGATCGCCAATCAGCCAGAAGCAGTCTTCACCTCCAGCAGACACATCGATGAAGGTGTCCGCTGACGGGGCCCAGTGAAGAACGCGTGTTTTTGCTTGCCCAAGGGACAACAGTGAATCAAACAACTAAGCCACCCTAGACCATAAACGCTAAACTCCCGTCTTTAAGAAGGTTTCGAGCGTAAGTCCGTAAGACAGTCCTTGGTTTCAAGGGGTCGCAGGTCTTTCGGTTAAGGTGTGTAGGGTTTTGGGGGTTTAGGGTTTTAGGGATATTGACGTGAAGAAGAGCCCTTAAGCAGAATCCTTACGAAAGACATGCAAACACATGCCTGGAAGCCTATATCCCTCGCAAAGACCGTACAGCACAAGGTCACCGTGATGAGCCGCAGAATTTCTAGAACCACACCGCAACCTTGCCACAATACCGTTATACGCGTTTAGGCCCTATATTAGGAAGCTCCAAAATCTAGGCTATGGCGGGTTAAGTAGGATAAGCCGCCATGAAGATAGAATAAAGGCTGACAACCTGAATCCTAAACCTAAACCACGAAGCCCTAAACCCTAAATCCTAAACCCAAACCACGAAGCCCTAAACCCCAAACCCTAAACCCAAACCACGCAGACCTACACTCTAAATGCTTCACAAAATCCTTACGGAACCATAAAGGCAGCACTCTAAGGAACCCTTAACAGAAGCCTTATATAAGTGACGCCTGAACACTTGTAAAGGAACAATTAACAGAAGCCTTGGGGATTAGCTTTTCTTGTTGAGCGCCTTATTTCCGTCGTCCAAGAATCCGGGGTTTCGGGTCTAGGGAACTTCCGAGTTGTCCTTTAAGCCCTTTGAAAATTATGTACCATTATGGTTCTCTACAAACTAGTAGGGGAAATGAAGAAAGATCCCAAAGGACAACCCAGACTTCAAAGAGAGTGTCGTTAAAGATCCCACCTGGAGAGATCGGCTCGGGAAGGGCCGCGAGGGTTCCTGCATCTCGGACTCGCCTTGGGAAGAGAAAGTACGGGATTTATATAATAAGGGTTCAGGGTTTAGGGTTTAGGGGAAGAGAAAGTACGGGATGTATATGGGTGGCTGTCCAAATTAAGGTACCTTTTTGGGCACCCCAAATATTAGGTGCCGTACTATATTCGGGACCCAAAAAGGGACCATGACTTTGACAACTAATTATCCAAAAAGGGGCTCCTTTCAGGGCTCCTTTTTAGGTTTTAGACTTGAGTGTGTAGGGATTTAAAGGTTCCTTCTAGGGTTCCTTCGTGGGGATTTCGCTGTGAGCGTTTAGGATTTAGGGCGCCGGGATTTACATGAGGGTTCCTTTCTAGGGTTCGTGAAAGGTTTCCGTTAAGGGTTTCTTTTGGGGGTTGAGAGATTTAAGATTTGGGGTTTGGCGGTTTTAAGACTGTGGGATCGGCTTGGATTTAAAGGGGTGGGACTCACAGTGTGGGGATTTGGCAATTCCGGGATGCGTGATTTGGTGTTTCAGGCTTTAAGACTTTGGGTCTAAGGCTTTAGGACGTAGTGTTCAGGGCCCAAGGTCCGAAATCAGTGATTGAAAGAATCTCGTTTAAGAACTTTAAGAACTAATTGAGGGGTATGGGCACTCTCTGGGCTAGATGGAAGGATAAGGGGTTTAGAGTTGACTTCGAGTTTGCAGTTCATGGGAAAGTCTATGGTTTCGGATTTAAGGTTCGCGACGAAGTAGTACAATCTCGGAAGTAGTTTGCAGGTTGATTGTGCTTCCTAGGTTTGCAATGAAGTCGCTGGGGTTTCGTGGGGATAATGTTGGAATGCAGCTTCGTGGCCATCGACCCAGCCAGACAAGGCTTTCTTCACATCCTCGCGGCGAGGCGCTCAACCCTTGACGCAAACTCCGAAGACCCCAAAGTTTAGGGTTTAGGGCCTTCTAAACCAGCACCCGGAAATCCTAAACCCTAAAACCGGACCCTGAACCCTAAACCCTATTCAAACCCTTAACCCTGAACTTCGGGGTCGAAACCCAAGACGCCAGGAGCCTAAGCATGCAACTCCACTGCCACAGCCGGTGCGTTTGGAGTCTGGGCTTCACCTAGAGGGTCACAACCTGCTCCTTGTTGAGAGCAGCTTTTATGGTTAGAATCTGCTATATAGAAAGGGTGCCCTAAATGGAGGGGTAGCGTATCACCCTATAAGTACGTAGGGTTCCAGAGTCAAGAAGAAGGGACATGGAGCTGGAGGACCCCTTGTCCGAAACTTACTCGGAGGCGCCTCAGCAATCAGCAGGTCTGGCTTTAATCAGGGATCGGGGCTTGGTCTGGTGTTTAGGGTTTGGTGTTTAAAAATTCAGGGTTTCGGGCAAAGGGATTGGTGGCTACAGTACCGACAGTAGCAACACACAGAGACTAGAAGGGAATGATAGCAATGGGGTCATGGGATCCCATTGTTATTGCCGGAAGGAAGTTCTCCTCCCCAAATCCCAACCTTACGCCCTAAACCCCGAACCTTACGCCCTAAACCCTCCCTGAACCCTAAACTCTGAACCCGAAACCCTCAACCCCGCACCGGACCCTGTAGCCTGAACCCCTAATATAGGGGCCTTCATAATTAAAAATTGGGATTTGGGGTACATTATGCTTTTACCATATTAAGGAACCACCACAGTAGTATTGGTAATTATTTAGGCCTCTATACCAATCCATATAGTAATCCTTTTAGTAACCCTTATAGACCCTATATAAGAACCCTTTAAAGGAACTCAAAACCCTCAACCCGACACTCTGAACCCCTAGACGTCCTCGTTGCAGGCGAGGCCCAGGAAATGCTTTGAGACGCGCTCAAGGGCGCCTTCCAAAGGGACACCTTGGCAGCCGAACACTCTCCAGACTCCCCTCGTTCCGGGAATGTTACGGCTCTTTTAAGGGTTCCTTTAAGGGTTCCTTAAGGGTGCTATAGGGGTTTAGGGGTTTAGGGCTAAAGGGGTCTACAGGGACTTCAGAATCCACTCGTTCTGGGAATTTCAAGGTTCTTTTGAGGCATCCTTTAAGAGGGATCTCTGAAGGGTTCCTTCGTTCCGGGAATTTCAGGCTCCTTTCAGGGTTCCTTTAAAAGGGATCTTTAAAGGGCTCTTTCAACAGGTTCCTTTCGAGGGTTCTTTAATGATCGGGGTCTTGCAATGCCTCCAACGTAACCTTTGAAGGGCTCCTTCAGCCTCCCATTGGGGTTCAAGGGTCTAGCGATAAAGTGGGCTGTAAGGCTTTCTATAAGAATACCTATAGAGGTTTTGTACAGGGTCACTTGAATAGGATTCTTTAGAGGTTCTAACATGAAGGTTTTATAAAGGGGAATAATACCATATAGGGGCCTGAGTAACTGCAATAGGGTCTTGCAAGAGACTCCAAAAAGCCTATAATGAAGGGTTCTTTACAGGGTTCCTGAAGGCAGGGTTAAGGCCATAACAAATAGAATAGGGGCAAACTCCGTAGGTTGACGTCATGGATCCCATACTTTTCGAAGCCTACTTGGAGGTTCAGGGGTAGCTTTTAGTGGGGTTGAGAGTTAAGGGTTTACTGTTTCGGGTTTGGAGTTCAGGGTTAAGGGTTTATGTAGGGTTTAAGAACCGGAGAAATAGCCGGGACATGGTGGCAAAGCTCCAGCAGGGTGGTCTTGGTTCCTCGCGGTGGAGTGCTGAACTCCGGCTCTGCCTGATTGAACTGAGTGCACATCCTTCCAGGATGACCCGACTCTGGATCAATCATCTCCTCAGGCGGCGAAGACATCCGCCTCCGCTTCGACTCTTGCCTCGGCAGTCGACCCGGCAGGCCAGGTATTGTCGAAGCTTCTGAAATGGCTGGAGACATGGCCTTCGGCGAGCATGGAGTCATCCCTGCCCGGCTTCCTGGAGCCCCAACAGCAAGGAGGTTTGTGGTTCAGGGATCAGGAGGCCTGTGGGTATTGGGTAGCGTTCCTTGCAATTTTACCAATGCAATTCCATAAACGATTGTCCCAATTTCGTGTATCACTCAAAAGCCATTATCTGAATGGGCCTCACTCGCTGGGTTTGATCTAGTCATCGCCCGTCCTGGCAAAGATAATTGCTTCCAAAACCGTTATGGGATGCATAAGCAATGCTTGGTTGACTTCTATAGAGATCACCACTTTGGGCGAGCCTCGCAGGTCCCCCAGAATTCCATAGAGCCCGAAACTCCGAAAGCGAAAAGCCTACCCTTTCACGAGCCGTGCCTTCTCGAAGCAAGCGCCGCAGTAGCCGCACAATCGGCGGAGCTGCTGAGGGCCTTTCAGACCGTGGCTGCCCCTTTAATGAGATTTCAGGGCTTCCGGGTTTAGGATTCGGGTTTAAGGGTTTAGGATTCGGGTTCAGGGTTTAGGGTTTGGGATCCGGGTTCAAGGGTTTAGGGTTGGGGGTTTTGGATTCGGGTTTAAGAGCTTAAGGTTTTTCGGGTTTATGCTTCCAGCGTTTGAGCTGGGGACCCACACCCAAAACCTTAAATCTGCGTCCGAGAGGCCCGTCGAAAAGGGGAGACAGGCTCTCCGAGAGATTCTGGGCAAACGTCGCGACGAACTCACCATAAAGCTTCCTCGAGGGTGTAAGGGTTGAGCGACGAGGAGGATTTGGAGTTTGGATTACCGTTTTTGGGCTTTGAACCCTGGAGACAAAACTCTTGGGGATGTAGGAGTGCGGGGTGTGAGGTTCTCCCTGGAAAGCTAGGGAGGGCTTCACAAAGCTCTAGGGTTTAGGGTTTGGAATCTTGGGAGAGGGGGTTGTGTAGCATTTAGACGGGTTCACGGGACGTTTTGCGATTTGTCTTGGTGTAGAGAAGGCTTATAGGGTTAGGGTTCATGCGGGTTCTGGAACAGGCCCCGAAGTAGGCCTCCAGTGTCGGACAGCCATCGGCTGCTCACAAACCCTAGAAGCACCACAGTCTATGTAAACCCTTCTGGCGGTGTAGCTTCTATGCAATTCCGAAGTCTGTGGATAAACCCGACCTGCCTACAAAACCCTCCACCATGGCCCCGAATTAAGGATTTGCAGGCTCAAAAGTATATGGGTGGTTGTCAAAATTATGGTCCCTTTTGGGGAACCCTGAATATTAGGTGCCCTACTATAATAAGGACCCAAAAAAGGGACCATAAGTTTGATAACCACCCATATGGGAGTTTCCGAAAATAGGGGACCCTAATATAGTACCCTAAATAGTAGGATCCTTATTATGAGAACCCCGAAATAAGGTACCCCCTAATTTTCGGAAACTCCCAGAAATGCAACTGGACTCACAGGAAACCTCTCGGGAGGGTTCTGAGGATGGTCCTCAGGTCTCGCTGGCCTCCGGGCAGTTCAGTGAGATCTCTACCGGAATCTTTTTGGAGCTTTGTGGAGGACCGTTCTAAAGCCTTCAAGCCTGAAAGCGAAGCTGCGGACCAAACGAACCCTCAAACGACCCCTACAGTACCATATACACCCCAGATGGGGGTTTCCGAAAATGGGGAACCCAAATATAGTACCCTAAATAGCAGGATCCTTATTAGAAGGACCCCAAACTACAGTACCCTCTTAACCCCAGATCTCCCTGAACCCTAAACCCCAAGCGGTGCCGAGCGTCTCAGTCAGGCCAAACTGGGCGAAGTCGGGCACTGCGTAAGCTCGGCAGAGGCCCCTCTCAGCTCCTGAAATGGGGTTTTAGAATTTAGTGCTTTTGGGTTCCGTCGAGAGGCAGCTGTACAGAAACTTTGTTTTTTCTGTGGGCGGGTTTAAGACCCAAAACTCAACTACGAAGATGTGAAGATCAACGCCAAAGCCTTGACCTAATCCCTGGAAGAGGTCATCCAAGATTCTTCCCAGGCAAACCAACACTTCCCGCAACCTGGCAGTGGCTAGGTCTGTCTGGTTCTTAGTAGGGAATGGGGGAATGGATTTTGGGGACTATTATTGGAGATTATACAGGGGCTACTATAGGGATCCATTCCCCCATTCCCTGCTAAGCACCAGGGAGAGTTCAGGGATCTAAGCTGCTTGAGCCCAACATACAACCTCTTAAGGAGAACGCAGAAGGCTCAGGCTCTAAGATTCCCCACATTGAGTTTAAGGCTTTTCCTTCAGAGTTTAAGGTTTCGGATTTCGGGACTTCGGGTTTCGAGTTTGGGATGTAGGGTTGATCTGCTGACCATCCACGCACACACAGCCCGTTCTTGACTCCCACCCTTTTGAATAAAATGCACTTCACGAAGATAGGGGCCTTTCACAGAAAGATCCACCCTAAACCCAAAAATCCTAAACCCTAAACCCTAAATCCTAAACAAGATCCTGCGATGTCGGGTCTGTCACGGCCCTGATAATCCTGTGTTAACTCGGCAGGGTCGACCGTAAACCGACCCGACCCTGAATCTTAAGTCTTCCGGACCCTAACATACATCCTATAAAGGAGTAACTAGAGTGATTATTGGGGTAACTATACTTATAGTTACTTATAACCCCAATTAAGGGACTTATAACTATAGTTACTAGGTCCCATGAACCTCCAAGTACAGTAGAAGCCGAAAAGTTGGAAACCCAATAGCCTCAATCCTTACGAGTAGTATATAGGGAATCCCAGCACTATTTGGCCTTTAATTATCCGGTTTCCAACTTTATGGGGTCTACTGTAGACTATAGACCTCAACCTTTTAGCTAATCCTGGGCCCCAAACCTGCCTGCCGGCCGAAGCTTTTTCCGGGGGTGGGGGATCTAGGGCCCTGGCCCTCAACCCGAAAACTGGAAATTCTGGAAACAGCTTAACCCCGAAATCCTAGAAACCTACTTTAGGGTGTGCAGGAACTGCATTTAACGGTTTGCGGTTTTGGTGCGTGCAAGGTTTCAGGGTGTCAGGTGGGAGCCTGAACAGCAAAGGGTGTCCTTGTCCCAGTGTCCCTTTCAACATCTTTTAACAAAGATGTCTCTAAAGGGCACAAAGGTACTGCTTGCAGACCTAACCTAAAAACCTGTAGAAGCATTCGAAACCTTTAACTTTACACAAAAAACATAGACACCCCCTAATTAACCCCTGATTTAACCTTTGGCCCAAAATAATCACCCCCTCAAACCTAAACCCAAAATAGACACCCCCGAAACCCTAAACCCAAGATAGACACCACCGAAACCCCTGCAACGCCCCAGGCACATGGGCGCACTACTGCGGAGCCGAGGTAAGCCCAGGTCTTCCAACAGCCCTTAAGGAATATACCTCGGCCCTGAGGACCCTAAATTTTTAGGTTTCCTTTTTTACGATTTCCTTATCTGAACCCTTAAACAAGAGATTAAGTTATTTGGGGGTTAAGGTATACCTTAAGTCATATTAGGGGTTCTACTATAACTTCGGGTATATATGAAGCAGTCATGAAATGACCCACACCGGCGAACTCACAATGAGTTCCGAGCAAACTGCAAAAGTATGGTCTTTACAGCTGGGTTAGAAACAGTCCAGCAAGCTCACGACTTCGGCATGACCGGCCATTGATGCTGCCATCAAAGCTGTTCGGCCTTCATTGGTTGCCACATGCTTGTTGGCCCCGGCCTCCAGCAGCAAGCTTACGACTTCGATATGACCTGCACGCGCTGCTGCCATCAAAGCTGTGAAACCGTTGCTGTCTGTCACATCCTTGTTGGCACTGGCCTCCAAAAGCAAGTTGACGACCTGGAGGTGGCCTGCGCTAGATGACACCAACAAAGCCGTGACACCAGCATCGTCTGCCAAATTCTTGTCAGCGCCGGCACCCAGCAGCAAGCTCACAACTTCGGCATGACCATTGAAGGCTGCCCTCATCAAAGCTGTGCAGCCAACCGGCTCTGCCACATCCTTGTCGGCACCCGCCTCTAGCAACAACCTGACGACTTCGACATGACCTGCATGAGATGCTATCATCAAAGCTGTGAGACCGCTGTTGGTTGTTACATCCAGGCCGGCACCGGCCTCAAGCAGCAAGCTTACGACTTCGGCATGACCTGCTTGAGATGCTGCCATCAAAGCTGTTCGGCCGTTGCGTCTTGCCACATGCTTGTCAGCGCCGGCCTTTAGCAGCAAGCTTACGACTTCGGCATGACCCGCCATTGACGCTGCCATCAAAGCTGTTCGTCCGTTGTGTCTTGCCGCATCCTTGTTGGCCCCGGCCTCCAACAGCAAGCTTACGACTTCCACATGACCCGCATGCGCTGCTGCCATCAAAGCGGTGGTGCCGTCGTCTTGATTCACATCTGGATCCTGGGGTATCTGCAACATGGACTGCACCTCCTCCATGGAGCCACGGGTTGCAGCGTCGACTAGATCGTCCACCTGCTCCTTCGAAGCTTCAGCGAATTGCAATAGGACGAGATCCAGGCCCATTGGGGAGTGCAGCTTGGCTGTGTCTTGCAAAGCCTGGCCTTGGAAAAGGAACCTCTGCCTATATCCCAAGGGGAAGCCATGCAGTCGATTCAGGTGGAGCTTCAAGCCCTCGACGTCCTCTATCTCGTCGGCAGGGATGGTCAATTCTGCGCCGGAGAGCATTCGGATTTGCAGCATCTGGGAGGAATCCCTCACTGGCAAAATTGAAGCCCAGAGACTCCACAAACCCCTTCATTAAGGACTATTCCTTAAATCATGTTAGGGTTCCCTCTTGATTAAGGACTATTCCTTAAATCATGTTAGGGTTCCCCCTTGATTAAGGACATTCCTTAAATCATGTTAGGGTTCCTATAATGATTTAAGGCATATTTATTCCCTGGTTAGGGGGTTTAGAGTCTCTGGGAACTGATCAACGCTTGGAGCAATGGACCCCTCTCCGGTCAGGGCTGTGTGCCCAGAGACTCCAATATCCCTTAATTAAGGAATATTCCTTAAATCATATGGGGGATCCTAGTATAATTTAAGGTATATTCCTTATTTAAGGAATATTGGAGTCGCTGGGTGGGGCACTCACACTCGCTCACTCAGGCTGGGTTGACACGACTCTTCAGGCACAGAGGCAGATCACTGCAGGGTTTAGGGTTTAGGGTTTGGTGTTGTCGCATGGGCTGCACTACCAGAAAGACCATGTACACGGATTTGCATGCAATCCAACGACAACAAATGCCTGTACATCGGCAGATCTACCCTTACCCAAAAGGAAACACACCTCTAACTCTAACCCTAAGCCCTCAAACTCGAAATGAAAAAGTTACCACTGAACCCTGTGAAGATCACTTTACATGCTTAAAGTCTTAGGAAGCCCTTATGAGCCCGATGCCTTCAAACCGTGCTAGGACTTCGACAGCAGACCCGGCATCAGCGCCGAACCCTATACCCTAGGGTTGAGGCTGGTTTTGTCCAGCTTTCCCGGCTTTGGAGGCTTTTTGTCCCTAAACCCTAAATCCTAAACCCCTAACCCCTCAAACACTAAACCCTGAACCTAAATCCCTAAACCCCTAAACCAGTCTTTAATGTTTTCGGGTGCTTTAGGGACTGTCACACTTTGGGGCTTAAGCTGGGGATCCCAAAAACCTACGGTTTTAGGGGTTAGACCCTCTAATTCAGCGGTCGTAATCTACTATTTCTAGGGTTTGGGGGATACAGGAAAATCTCCTGCACAAGAAGCACTTGCACGATAGGGATATCCCATATAAACCCCCTTATAATGAAGCCCAATAAGGTAGGGATATCCCTATAAAATGCTGTGCTTTTTGGGTTCCTAAAAATCTCTTGCATGGCCAGGGAGCAGTTGCACGGTGGAGGAAGAGGAGAGCTGAGCCTTTGCTTCTCGCAGCTCCACGTCCAGGATGTCCTCAAGAGTGGGAGGGTTTCGGAACTTCGAACGTTCGGGGTTCGGGGGTTGAGGGCTAGGGCTTCAGGGTGTTGGGGTTGTGGGATTAAGGTTGTAGGGTTGATGAGGAATAAGAATTGAGGGGTTTCGGCTCTGTGCAGGGATGAGGGTTTAGAATTGAGGAGTTTGGGGATCTGTAGGCTTTTAGGTAGGATTCAGGGTTTCAGGGTTACTTGGAGGGTCGGGGGACTTAGTAACTGGTTATTTTTTGGACTTATAAGTACCATAACCCCAATAGGGCCCCTTTATAAGTCTACTTACTACCTACTTACTAAGTCCCCCGACCCTCCAAGCAGGGTTTCAGGGTTAGGATGTTGGCGGGAATTGGAGGCTCGCGGTATGTAGAACCTGGCTAGAACTCTAGCATAGGTGGTGAAACCTTTCTAGGCTTCATCTCGTCCTTAAGGAATTATAGCCCTAAACCCCTAAACCCTAAACCGTAAAAAAAAGACCCTAAGTAAAGTCATAAGCGAGACCCTAAACCCTAAACTCCCAGCTATCATCCCGTACCCAGAGACCCCAATATCCCTGAATTAAGGAATATACCTTAAATTATAGTAGGATTCCTAATATGATTTAAGGAATATTAATTAATTAGGGGGTATTGGAGTCTCTGGGTAGAGATCACTGGGCCGCCACATCTCCGAGCCCTGAAACCTACCCCATATACCTCAAAAGCTGCCCCCACCCTGTAATAGTGGTATAATAGGAATATGATAGGGCCCTAATATAATCCTTATAGTCACTATTACAGGGTGGCGGCAGCTTCTAACATATACCCTAAAAACCCAAATCCTAGAGCCCCAAACCCAAAGACAAAGTTGAATATTTTGGAGCTCAGGGCGGAAACCCCGAAGCTCTAAACCCCAAAGCCCTGAACCCACCGTGCCACCGAGTCTCCATGAGGTGTTGCGCAAGCTGCTTTCCATCCGCATCAGCAGCGGCATCTGTGCCTGAAGCTGCAGCTCTTCGGGCTTCGAAACCCTACACCCTATATCTGGGTTCTTGTTAAGGAATTTACTTTAAGTTACCATAACAGGGATTTACAGTAAACAATATGGCTCCCTGACCATGGTAAGTATTAACTTAAATGAAATTCCTTAACAAGAACACCCTGAACTAAACCTTGAACCCCCAAAACGACTGAGGGCTCAAGGGCCGTCAGAACCCTAGGAAGGGTTGGGGGTTTAAGATCGAGGACTTGAACACGGATGCGCATGGCTTGTTGTTGACCTTCATGCCGAAATCCTGGGCCACCTGGGGAATCCTGCAAGCCCAGAACACGGGCGCTGTTCCAACATAGGGCTGCTAGCAAGGGGTGTAGGGTTTTGGGCTTACGTTACTCGTATGTAGACAGGTAGCAACAGGGAATCTCTACGGAATCCGCACCTCCTGCGGTAACGCCCATAAGGTTTGAGCCTGACAGTGGACATCGAGAAAATTGGAGCAGTGCATTAGGATGACTGTTGCTCCAACCTTCTGGTAGCAACGTCAAGCCCAGGGCACGTTGCGAAACCCAAGTTGTGAACATATTTTAAACTGTCAAAACATTAATATGGTGCTAACTGCCATGCTGTTGGAAACCCGTCGTCCTCATGCTCCAACAGCCTACACGCACTCATTACTCTGTCTTCAGTGCTCCAACTTTTTACGGTTTTACTGTACAGTAACCTTTAACCCTCCACCATATACACCCTAAAGCCCCTTAAGCGTAAACTCTAGACCCTCAACGCCTCAACCCTACACCCTGTAAGCGGGACGCCCTAAACTTACTCTAACTAGCATTCTGAACTTGGGACCCTTGCAACAATCTAAATTTCAGCTGTTTCTTAGGGAAAATACAGAAACTTTTCCAAGTACCCCTAAGACTAAAACCTCAACCCTAAACCCTCAGCCCTAAACCCTGAACCCTAAACGCTGAACCCCAAACCCCTCAATCCCAAAACCCTAAACCCCTCAACCCTACACCCCCAACCCCTAAACACCAAAACCCCTAAACCCTCAATCCCTAAACCCTAAACCCCTAAACCCTACACCCCCAAACCCCTAAACCCTCAATCCCTTTACCCTGAAAGTTTCAAGATGGGCTGCTCTTGGACTCGTCCACAAGGGTTCCGGCCGCTTCTGCCAGGCCTGGGCCAGCTTTTGAAGTTCTTTGGTTTCTCTTGGGGCTTAGGGTTTAGGGGTTAGGCTTTAGGGTTTTGGGGTTTAGGGTTTAGGGTTTTTGTTGAAGTTCTTTGGTTTCTTTCTGGTAGTTTAGGGTTTAGGGGTTTAGCGGTTTAGGGCTTTCCCTTGTGAAGAAGAAGACTGTTTCTTCTCTTGATGGTTGGCGATTCACGGTAACGCACCCTAACCCCTACTTGGACCTTAAAGACTCTTTTGAAGGGTTCCCTAATCTGAATTTGTTATGCAAGTCCTTACAAAGCTTGGTGAGTTAGGGTCCCGGTTTATACCTCGGTTCCTGAGTGGCCCCTTTACTTATACGGGTGATCTGCTTCGTACTATTCGGTTTTACTAAAGGGCTCCTAAAAAAGGGCCCTACTCACAAACCTACCCCCATAGATCCCTTTAAGGAACCCTTAAGGAGCCCTTTATACTCATCCCTAAACATCTGGGATATTTGGGAGGATGCGAAAGGTTCCTTACAGCTTCTATGTTACAAGCCTAGGGGGCCGCAGAGGCAAACGGGTGGGCTTCGAGTAACGGAGACCCCCTGCTGAGGGTTTAGGGCTGATACGGTTTAAAGTCTAGATTCATAACCCAGCTTACCTTGAGAAGTGCTTATAAGAAGGCTCCTAGTATTGTGGCCCTCGAAGAGAAGCGGATGATTTATGATGGGTTCACATTCAACACATTAGGTTAAATCCTAAATCCACAAACCTAGGATCCAAACCCGCTCCTTAATCTCCAAACAGCAAGAACATCCAATATGCCACAATAGGCCCCAAACCCGAAGACCCTACACTAGCGGGATTGGGGTTGAATATCGGGGCCTGGAAAATTCCAAGCTCTCGCTGACGGGTCTTCGGGGCTCAGGAGCAAGGGACGAGAAGTTGGGGAAGCATGGACGGCTTAAGTTTAAAGGCGTAAGGCTTGGGGTTTTACATCCATTGGCCAGACCTGGTAATGAATGAACCTTTTCAACAGCACTGCCCCAAAATAGCCCCCAAGTACACAGCTGAGAACCTTCCCGTAACACCCTTGACCGGAAAATGCGAGCCCTAAAAATGCACAGATTTGAGCCCGAAGCTCCAAACCCCGAGCCCGAATCTCTGTGGAGTGGAGTTGTGCCCGGAGTTCTTACTCCAAGCGTCCAAAGGACGCCAATAATTAGGTACTCTGTTTTGGGGTAGTAGTTATGTAGGTTAGAATTTCGTAGAGTATGTGATCATTAGGTACTTGGAAACTTGGAATTATTTGCCCCAAAGCGGCCTGACTTCGCGTCGATGTGACGATGAAGATCTTCATGAACCTTAGGAAAAGTTCTGCTGCTTGCCCCTGAAACGACACAAAGGCAGTCTTCCAACTATTCTTCGGGTTTCTGTTACAAGGAAAACGAAGTATGAATGCTGGAATTACCCCATCGAACAGAGGCCCGACAGCGATGTTAATCTTTACGTCTCAAGACATGCACATGCAAACATGCTGGGGGCTCATTCATCCGACGCACGAAAATGCGAGCCTGAATAGGTAGTCCAAAATCGTATTCTACCTATCAGCAAGGGCTGTATACTCAGCACTAAGTTTCCTTGCTGAAGTTCCTAAGACATGCTTTTGCTTTTTGGTTGCGCCTCTTCAGCTGTCATTTAGCTCTACAGTTCAACACCAAAATCAGCGCTTGACTGAATACTATATTATGCAACAGGCTTCGCCACAAAACAACGTACCGTAACACAATACGCAGCGCATGAAGCAGCATGCTCTGATCTCACATACCAAGGGTGAAACCAACATCATCACCACCAGTTTTTGGTGTGCACCTCCTGCTGCTGCCCAGGGTGATGATGATGATTTAGGTTTTAGGGTTTAGATGAAGATGAAGACGACAATCATAATCACAGCTGCCAGTACGGATGTGATTGGGGCCGTGCCTGTGGTGACGATGGAGATGACGATGGTGGTGGTGGTGGTGGTAGTGGTGGTGGTGGTGGTTGTGGTGGTGGTGGTGGTGGTGCTGGTGGTGGTGTTGGTGAGTCAAAATACGTTTTCTCCCAAGACCCTACGCTAATTCTTACACCCCCCACCTAAATTGAACCCGTATCCCATGAGAGGCCAACCGTTTAAGCAATCCATTTCCCATAATCAAGGCCCCTATATTAAGCCTTGTAGTAACCGTTAAAAACCGTTTAAGAGGAGCCCTTTCAAGCAGCACTCTTCCGGTCATGGAATCATGAAGGGCCCTTTCTACACCAAAATCCAAAATCGTAGAGGAGCCCTTTTAAGCAGCACTCTTCCCGTCATAGAATCATGAAGGGCCCTTTCTACGCCTAAATCCAAAACCTAAACCCTAAGCCCTAAACTCTAAACCTAAATCTACGTCTAACCCTAAACTCTAAACCCTACACCAAAATCAAACTCCAAGCTGTAGGCCAAGGCAAACTCCAGGAAGGACAAGGGGAGCTCGCGTGCGGACTGGATTCCACCTGGGCGTCTTAAGATTTTACGTTGCGGCTTAGGGCTTAGGGTTTGAGGCTTAGGGTTGAAGGGAGGGATTAGGCACGGTTCCGCCGTTGGGGTTCGAGAGTTTATTGTTTCGGGCTTAAAGGCCCGGGATTACCCGAGGCGTGAACCTTATGCTATAAAACAACACCAGGCAAGCACACCAACCCTAAACCATCAACAGCATGTAAAACTCGACTGCCAAACCCTGGACGATGGCAACAACAAGCCTTATAAACCGCACGAGGAGACTTTAGAACAAACCCTGCAAACACCTGAACAGCCCCCCCAAACCCCCAAACCCCCGCACAGAACCCTGATTGAGTCCTAATTCAGCCCTAATAGAACCCGGCAGAACCCTTTTTATTGTAGCACCCAAAATCAACCCTTACCCCTAAACCCTTAAACCCCTAAACCCTCAATCCCTAAACCCAATGCCGTGAACCCCAAAACCCCTAAACCCTGAACTCTAAACCCCAAAACCCCAAAACCCCAAAGCCCCAAACCTGAAAACCGCAAAAGCCCCAAACCTCAAACCCGAGCACCCCAAGCCCCCAAACTCACCGAAACCCTATACCCGCCTTAAAACCATAATAAAAATAATATGTTTAATATTCTCTTGGGTTTTATATGAACAAGAAAAACTAATTCTTAAGGAAACTACAGAAACCCTAAGGCCTGAACCCCTAAACCCTAAACCCTTAAACCCTAACCCACACCAAAACCCTTAAACCCTCAATCCCTAAACCCTGAAACTTTCAAACTAATTCCCTAAACCCTAAACCCAAAAACCGTAAACCCTAAACCCCCAAGACAGATATAAATAGAAATTGCATGTCTTTGTTTGTAAGCACAGCCGCGGCCCAGCAGTTGGTTCTTCTCCAAGCATGCTCCGGCCTTCTCCAGACCCCCCCCCTTTTCCAAACCAACCCCATCAAAACCCCCCAGCCCACCCCCCCGCCCAAACCGCCAACCAGCCCCAGGCAGCCCCACCCCAACCAGCCCGACAGTTCTATTCTCTGACGACTGGAAAATCATCCGTGCTCTTTCTGCAAGCTGCTATTTGTGAGACACCTGACCTGGCCCAATTAAACACTAAAGACTAAAGACACTTCCACACCACCGGACTCTTTGCACAAGACTACTGCCATCGGCGGCACAGCAAGTAAACACGAAAAGGCCTGCATGCACAAATCGATGGCCGCATTCACTTGTGAGCGAAGTCGACTGCTCGCAACTTCGAC